TCTCAACAGATCAAGTGCATCGCATATGCTGATGATATCTGTGTGTTTGTCAAGGTTGCCACTGATCTTATGCGTCTCCAACATCACTTGACTAAGTATAGTGCTGTATCAAATGCAAGATTTAACAAGCACAAGACGGAAGCTTTCTCACTGAGTGGAGTCAAGTCAGAATCTTGGGAATCTTTGCTTTTGAGTCACGATACCGAAACATACTACCACCATCATTCCCCTTCTGCTTTTCGATACCTTGGCTTTTATATGCCATACACAAATTCTCAACGGAATCGTGTCCAGGATACGTTATTGGAACAAGTGCGTACACGGGTTCATGGTTACTCTCAGCGTTACCTCTCGCTTCAAGGAAGAGCTACCGTTGCCAACACTTTGATTTTATCCAAAATTTGGTACTGCTTGCGGTTGTTTGCGCCTACTAAGCGATTTCTGAATGAACTTCGTTCGATTATCTATGCTTACGTGTGGCAAAAGAAGTTTCCTTATGTTTCTTTTGACCAGTTATGTCTCCCTAAGAATCAAGGTGGTGTAGGAGCCCTCAACCCTATCACACAATACTTGGTGCTGCAGATGAGATGGGTCTTTACTCTGTTTAGTTCGTCTAATCTAACAACTCAGCTCCGAGTGCTTATGACAAAACACTTTGGGATCATGTCTCCGGATGCTGACAATACATTGCTACCCTTTTTCTCTAGAGCTCTTCGCCGTCATGACCTTTGTCATCCCACTTCAGTTGTCAATGGTATTTATGCTGCCTTTGATCACTTTGGTATCAACTTCAAACTTGATAATGTGCCTCTTGCCAACTTGCTTTACTTTCCGCTAATTAACATGTTTCAAGAGGTACCTCAGAACCACTGGCTTCATCGACATTCAAAAGTACCAGCATCTCTCTTCTTCCTCTTTGACGAACAGAGTAACAGGTTACGCCTGAAGGTTCGCCATGAATATGGGACATTGCCAGGATTGTGCCATCAGCTCTTTATAGACGTTCTTCGCAGACGAACAGTAAAACTTCAATCTTTCCTGTGGCAATATATTACACAAGATGTGACACCATCTACTGTATCTGTCTATGATGCTTTGACCAAGCAATTAACTGACACAAGATTGTGGCGCTCTTTCACTTCTAGGGATTTCTGCCTGCATCCTTATGAAGACAAAACTAAATCCCAAATAAAGGCTTCTCGTACTTCGCTCTCTCTGTTTTGGAGGACTCCAATGCTCCCTCAGGCTAGAACACTGTGGTATCGTGTGCTTCACAAGAAACTGCCCACTGCGTCCGAACTTTTCAAGATTGGTACTGTCTCTACTCCTGTCTGTCGGCTGTGCAAATCACAACCGGAATCGTATGATCATTTCATAGCCCACTGCTCTACCAAGTGGAGTGTTTGGTTGGAAATACTGAACTGCTAATACCCTCTGGTATACTTTACTCCGTCCTCCCTCCACAAGGTCCTCACTCTTCAAGCCTTTCCGCCTGCCATTACAAACCGCTCCAAACTTGTATCCATCGTTGCGATAGCTCAATAGAATATCTGGAAATCCTATTGGAACCTGATTCTTAACCAGGTTGCTTTTGAACATTCTTGTATCATTTCAGATACAATTTACCAGGTAGCCTTAGCTACAAAAAATCACTCCTTGCTAAAATAGCCCTGATTATTGTATGATCTTTACTTCGTCTTTCTTTACTCCTGTTTTTCGACGTCCCACCTCTCTGCGATGTGTGACTAATCAATAATATTGTAAATAAAATCCAACTACAAAAAAATATAAGTATGAGTATTTCGTTAATTTTTTTTTTTTTTTTTTTTTTTTTTTTTTTGCTTTTTGCTAATAGCTTTTATGTTTTCACGATTGAGAGGAGATATTCTCATCAGAATCAATGACGGTTTTCATCATAACGACTACAACATCTCTTTCTTTTGTGTTTTCTATATTTAATGAGTCAATACTAACTGAAATTTAATTATCTCGTTTATTTTCGATTCGATACTTTCATCTATAGGCACTGGAGCATTTGACATATTGATTGATTTTAAGGCATGAGTTCTCATTGGTATAATTTATTGATATATTTGTATTTTTATCTTTGATGTTCTATCATATTTTATGATTTTAGATACAAAGTGGTTATGTAACTTAGAATTTGATAAAATATTTCTAAAATCACTATCTATCAAACCTAAGGAATTAGCAGCAATTGTTAGCATCTTCTCAGTATTTTTATTACTGATGCTATCTTTTATATCCAGAATAGTGATCTTCTTCTAATATACTTGGATTCTTACTACAAATAGAATCTGTATCCGAATTTACATATTCATCTACTTTCTGTTTATTTTGTTTTGAATCATCTAAGTTATTTGCATTTTTCTCTTGAGTTTATGTTAATTTTATGTTAGTTTTACTTTAACTTCTTTATGTTGATTTTTTGGCAATAATTACATTTATAAGAACAAAATTACCTGTGTTGCTTCTGATGAACTCATGTCACTTGCTGCAGGTGCAATTTTTTTTTTTTTTTGTTCATCTTGTTCTTCTCATCGAGTGTCCTTCAAGTCCTTAGAAGCAAAATGATTAAAGTTGCTTTGGAAAAGAATTAAGAGAAACTTACCTAGCTATTGGACACCTGTTTCTTTTGCCTTTCCCGTAAAGAAAGCACTCTATCTACTCTAATGTTCTCTCTGAAAAGCAGCCACTTTCGCGCGAATGGTGCTCATTTCTGAAATAGAAAAAGTAATTGTAATCGCTTTATTGAGAAAAAGAAAAGAAATGATTTATCAAAATTATGTTCAATTGATCACTTTATAGCAACAAATAGGTTTTTTATTGTTATTTATCATACAAAAAACCAGTAATTCGTCATATGCATCTAAAGATTAAAAGAAAAAAAAAAAAGAACATTGTAAAACAAAGTGAAAAGAACTGGCGTATTTTGAAAACTAATAGCTATTATATTTTCAAAATATATGCATGTATGCTCCTTTTTGGAGCGGACAGAGTGTTCCCTTTTTACAAACTCTCTCTTGATGCTTTGCCCTTCTTCGTCAGAAATATGAGCATACAGAACAAATTCTGTCTATAGAATTTTACTTTGCTCACACAGTGAAGATAAATTCAGTAAATGTTACATTATTTTTGCTGAAGCTAATAAGCGAAATAACGATTACGCGAAACTACTACATCGAATAAAACTGGCTTGGAAAGAGGGCTAACAAAAAACCTGTCTCATCAAGGTCATTACTTTTTACTTTTTTTAAACTATGACAAACAAACTGTAAGCTTTTTTTTGTTTGTTTTATATATAGACTTTATTTAAAAAAAAAAAAAAAAAAAAAAAAAAAAAAAAAAAAAAAAGAAAAAGAAAAAGAAAAAAAACCTATAAAAAAAAGGAAACAAAAAAAAGTGCCCTCTTTGCTTCTCATCGCGATACACAAACACTGTTGATTCAAAACCAACGTATGTAAGTGTCTTTGATGATACAACAAGTTGAGAACACCAAAAAAACTGTTATTAATAGAGCCCTGGTACCCTAAGGAACCCGGCCGTATGAAATGGTAAAGCAAGCTCTTGGTAACAGGGACCACCACATCAAGGCAATATGGAACTCATCAAGTCTTACTTATCTAGGGAATAGGAGAAACAAGTTCTTAAACACTTACTGGGCGAGGCCAGTCGAAGCGCCAGAAAAGGATAATAAAAACAAAAAGAGGATGAATAGATACCCAAGGGTATGAGAACTAGCTACAACAACAAGAACACCAAGAGCAACACCAGAAACACCGTTGTAGATAGTACTTAGAAAGAAGCACACCAAAACACCAGAGCAAACAAACTTAGAAAAAAAAAAGGAAAAAACAAGAGGCGTGTATACCCCCCTTCCATTTTATGCGCATATTACAATTTTCAGATTCAGACGAGTGACGAAACATGTACGATATTATCTTCGAATGAAATTCCTGGCAGGTTTGGCTTGCTTTTGACTTGCTTTTGACTTAGAGTCATTGCTTAGAATTGCATCTTTATGCAGTTATTTTGTTCTAGTACAATAACAAAAGCTGTAGGTTTATGTCTTCTGAGTCTACTGATTTAGATAACATAACCACTTTGCTGCTAAAATATTGAGCAAATAGACAAAAGTGTTTATGAGGTTTTTCGCACATATCTCATCTTTTTCATAGTATAATAGGCAAACAAATACATTCATCAAGAAACTAGAGCCTTTAGCGCACATTCTGTGTATCTAGTAGCGTTGGTATCTTTATTTTTCGTCTCGTAGCGTCAAAAACAAGATCAAGAGTTTTCAAAATGACGATTTTCATGAATAGTACCCTTTGGTCAGAAGGCATATTTTGGCTATTTTTCGCAAGTCGCTTTTTTTTTCATCCTATATATTAGTAAACATGACTTTTGTATATTTGGAGTAACCATGCGTGCATAGACAGGTTTTGTACTACCTGTATATGCTTAATAGAGACAAAGATCTGTACGATTATTGTCTTTTTTTTTTTTTTACTATTGAAGTATCTATTTTTTTAGTGTCTCTATTGTATGAACAAGTAATGTACTAGCAAGCTTTCTGTTCAAACAAATTAGCTTATTAACACACATTTGATCCATTGAGCGGGTCAATTGGATGAACTGAGTTTGAGTCGAGTTGACTTGATGTTTGTAATAATAGACTGCTCGATAAACATTCGATTGAAATGGATAGTCGAAGGGGAGTGTTTCAGAGATACGTTAATTCGGCAAGATGTACTCAGTGACAGCGGAACGGAGAAATTAGGTTCCGTCTAAAGTTGCCTAATAAAATGAAATTCCTTTCCTATATTATTGCTTATATAACATTCAGAATAAAGTGTTTGTAACAAAACTAATTCCAAACATTACAAATTTGTTATCATAAGCTACAACAACATGAATTGTCAAATCAGAAGAAAAAAAATTTTTTTCTTCTTTATTTTTATTTCTTTTTGAAGAAAATGTCAAGAAATGACTGGACAGAATTATTTGGAAGTGATGACGAGCAGTACGACATCAAACAGCCTATTATTACTTTTGAAACTATTCCAGGTCTCAAATTAATAAGACAAGGTCTTGACCACGAGCAACAAATGGCACTTGTACACGCTCTTGCTGATCGCAACTATTTTTCTGGACCTGATAATAACCAAGCTATGATATTTGGTAAACTTCCAAGTTTTATAGACTGGATTTGTCCCTGGATAATTCAAAACTATCCAGATTTATTTCATGCAGATATCCTAAACAGAGAGCCTTTGTTTGATCAAGCCATTCTCAATATGTATAAAAAAGGTAAAAAAAGAAGAAAAAGCATGTTATTTTACAAGGTTTCTATAGGCGAAGGCATTACAAGTCATGTTGATTTATTAAGGTAAACACTATAGGCGTTAAACTAAAATTGATCAATATAGGTTTGAGGATGGTATTATTATTATTTCATTATTGTCTTCATGTGTTATGAAAATGAGACCAGCTAGATCAAAAGCCACTTCATATGCTATTCCAAATCATGCACCTTCATATGATATCCTTTTAAGGCCTGGTGATATTTTGGCCCTTTCTAAAGAGGCAAGGTACAATTGGGAACATGGTATTGACCATACTACTATGGACGAATACAATGGCGAATATATTCAAAGAAATACACGAATCAGCGTAACACTTAGAAAACTCGTCCATACCAACCACGAGTCAGAAGTGTCTTTAGGAACACGCTAATGGGTATATATTTGCCGGTTATCAGGGTCCTAATGTCGGTTTATGGATTGCCGAGGCGACGGGAAAAGATTTTAAGCCGGCAAAGTTGAAAATTAAAACTCATAAAAACTGTGCATTTTTTTCTTCTTTGTTTTATCGTGTTCCTTTATAGATCTCATGAGCTCAACTACGTTTACAGGAGCTCTTGTTCAGATGCTTGCTTCTGACTTTCCTATGATTTTATCACTTATTTTCGGTGGTTGTTGTAGCAACGTGTTTGCTTTAGAAGTGCTCGTCACGTAAAGTCCTATTTTTCTTTTTTTTTTGAGTATTTGATCCTGATTTTATGTTTTTCTTTATTAGGGATGCACCAAAGAGTGGTAAATTTCAAGCACAATGGCTCTTTTTTGTATTAATCAAACCATAGGCCAACTTATTACATTTGGTCAGTTTGCCTTTGTTGCTTTAGAAGGCATTCGAAACCATATCACTTGGGGTACATATGGACCCAAGTTGAAACCAACTGTAGTACCACTATCAAACTGGTTATTTCTTGTCACAATGTTCTTTATTGTATCTGTCTTGAACAATTTAGCATTGGGATACAACATCTCTGTGCCATTGCATATCATCTTTAGAAGTGGTGGATTGATTGTCAATATGATTTTAGGTGCATTGATATTAAAAAAAAGGTACATTGCATTGAAAAAAAAGGGGTAAAAGTAAGATTGACCATGGTTAGATATTCTTTGGATCAAATTGTGGGCGTCTTGTTTGTCACTGCTGGTGTGATATGGGCCACGATTGATAATGCATCCACACACAATGAGGTAAGAAAGTAGTAATGTCGGATCAAATAGTGAACTCTTTTTATAGAGCAATCCCGGTAGTACAGCTGAATTTATTACTGGTATTCTACTCTTGATGATTGCCATGCTTTTATCTGCTGGTATGGGCTTGTTCCAAGAAGTCACTTACAAAAAATACGGAAAACAATGGAGAGAAGGCTTGTTTTATACTGTAAGTGTTCACCTTGTTCAATAGATATCTAACGTGTATGAGACAGCACTTTCTTGCTTTGCCCTTCTTTTTGTTCTTTTATAAAGACTTGGTCAACCAAGTTGCTGCTTACAACAAATCTCCGTTGATGTCTATCTCTGATGTTTTTGAGCAAGTGCCCCTTATGGACTATGTAAACCGTACAATGCCTCAAGTTGTTCTATCTATCCTTCAAACGATCTATGTACCCAAGCTATGGGCTTTCTTGTTTATGAACATGATAACACAATATGCATGTATTGCAGGTGTGAATCGTATGACATCTGTGGCCACTTCATTGACCTTGAACCTTGTACTCAACTTGCGTAAATTCTCATCCCTTTTGTTCTCTATTGTTTATTTTGAAAATGATTTTGGATTTGGTGCTAAAATGGGTACTGCCCTTGTATTCTTGGGTACCTTGATTTACACCCGTGCAGGTCTTAAAGCCAACCATAAGCAACAACAACAAGTTGCTAGTAAAAAGGCAAATTAAATGTCTTTTTCTATTTTTCTTTTTATTGTGTATATAGCCATTATTCCTTAATAAAGAAACAATCAAGCACTTTTTTTTTCCCCACTTTTTACAGCTATTTCCCGAATCCATCAAGACTTTGACTGTTTAACAAAAACATATCTATATGAATTTTTTTTTCTTTTTAATTTTTTTAATTCATTATGGAAGTACCTTTTGCTTTGTTTGGTGAGACTACACAAGAAGAACAAAACATACTTGATAAAAGACAGCAACAATACAAACGAGATCTTGAGTATCGATTAGCTTCTTTGTCAACCGATCCTCATGAGCGATCCATGTCAGAAAACAGACTTGTATTCAACTATAGACGTCAATCTCATTTTGGTGAGCCTGGTATACAGCATAACTTATTAAGTTTAGAAGAATGTCAGCATGTATTACAATCTGTTCCACACAATGCATGGACAACAGCACGGCACTCTGCCTTTGCTACCACGGACATTCCGATCCGAACCAATCCTCAACTAGAATACCTTGAGCCTTTGATCAAAAGACGTCTGTTTCCTGTCCTGAGCAAGCATTACGGTTTTAAACCGAACGATCTAGGCTTTCGAGATGTATTTCTGGTCAAATACGATGCTCAGAAACAAAAGGGACTCCGGTTACATACAGACGGGTGTCTATTTTCACTCACTTTATTGATTAGCCATCCCAATGACTTTGAAGGTGGAGGCACCTATTATCAGAGCATAGATCGTATTTTGTATTTAGAACAAGGGGATTGTGCCTACCATGATGCTCATGTCATGCATAGTGGAGTAGACATCACAAAAGGAACAAGGTATATTTTAGTGGGCTTTATAGATACGCTGGACACAATTCAAAAAGACAATAAAGCACTACGTATTTAATCACATTTGATATTCATCAGTTTGGCTACTTGTTTTCTTTTCATATGGCTAATGGCAAAATGAACATCATCATCATTGGTGCTTTTTCTGGTATCTAAAATGGCTAAGAAAGATCTAATTTCTTCAGATATATCAATCATAGTGCCTATACATGGATCAGTCACTTGTTTGTAGGAGTGATGTCTGACTTACAAGACTCTTCTGTCTTGATACCAATGAAATAATAGGTCAAATGAAGCGTACCAGGATTAAATGGCTCTGAAGAACTTGTGGCTTCCATCTCATCCATCAATTCACCTTGTTGCAATGCTGCTCTTTCTCGATTGGTTCGGTAGTTCTTTGTATACTGTTTAGGCCAATATGCGGGTTGAATCAGCTTAAAGTCTCGGCGTGATTCAATCAATGAAACAAGCTGCGGTACATTATAAGGCATTTTCCGTGTCCTTTTTAGTTAATTAGCACCCTATAAATGCAATATGGATCATATGTTTACCATATTTCATGACTTCTTTGCCTTGAACAACTTGTTGTGATGCTTAAATAATGAGTGAATCGCTTAAAGTAGTCAAGACCATGGAATAGTTTTCTTAATACTTCATGAGGATCAATTTCGCTTGCACCCAAAATAACAGCCGCTAAAACAAGTCAGTTAATCCACTCATGACTCAACAACTCACCTCTTTCGAATTCTCTCTGAATCACTTTTAGTGTCGATTTAGTGACATTGGGTGCAGTACTAATGACAGGGTAACATGGTGATACAATCGGCATCACAGATTCTTCAAATTCTTTAAGCGTACGGTATTCAAGACGCGTTCCGTCTTTTCCTGGTATATGATTTGTCAAAATGACAGGTGCTGGCCATGGCCATTCAAGCCAAGTCAGAAAGAACTGTTCAAGTAAATGAGTGATGGTCAACTCGTCTGAATTGTTCTTTTCTTTTTGATATGTTTTGAGAAGCAACATGGTCCAGGAACTGCCATTCAAGTAACCTGTGGGTTTATTGTAGATTTGGCGTCGTGTAGCCCAATATTTGATGCATTGAAGACAAGTACGAAAAATGGTGAGATGCTGGCTTTTGATCTGTTTCATGATGAACTGATGTACTCTGGGACCATCTATACTGGCAAGACAGACTTCATCTAAATCATTCAATAGAGTGTCATCCAAAAAGTTCATTTGTGCGTCTACTTTCTTTTCTTTTAACCGAACAAAGGAGATATCGATCTATCAATTTGATTAAAAAGAAGTGTATGACTTTTTATACACTTACCGATATATTGTCCACTACACATTTGATAATAGGTACAGCAGTACGTTTAATGCACTAACAACATAAGCTTTCCAAGATACACACATCGTACTTTACCTCGACATCTCTTATGGTAGCAAGCTGCTTGAGGTTTGTAGGAAAGAATTTGAAAAAGTCGTTTCGTTTGATGGAACTTGGTGCAATCATCACAATGTCAATATCTGCGTTTTTGATATAACCACCAATACCATAAGAACCAAAAGGAAAAAGAATAGGAGGTAATACTTCGCGTTTGTAGTCATGTTCTTTTTTTACGCAACGTATAAACTCTTGAAGTGTTGAACGAAGCAAGACAATCACTTTCTCCCTAATAAAGAAAAACGTCAGCTTATTATGTAACTTTTTGGTTTTCTACCTCTTTAATTTCTCTTCGTGTGTTTCTGTCACTTGTGCATTTTGTAAGTAGTTTACCCAAAATTCGTCTGAAATGTCTGTTCTTGACATAACAGAGTTATTCTTTTGGTATATGTATAAAAAAGGAGAGTATTAGGAGTATCTAAAGAAAAAAGAAAAACAAATGGCAACTTCATGCGAAACTAGAACAAGCCACGCTCATCTATCGGACTACTCCGAAACTTTATCTCATGCCGGATTCTATCTTTTTGAGTGGTATACAAAAGTTGCTTTATTTATATATTACAAAGTATGAGTTTAAGCAGAATTGCCACTTTGGATAGTGAAGAGACCAGTGTAAGAAATATTGGGAGAAGTACCCAACATTAAGGCATAGTTATTGGCAGCAGGTGTATCAGCAGGAACAGGCCAAATATAAACACCTCCGGCAGTAGAGACATTTTGAGCAATGGTAGTAACATACTGAAGAGCAGTAGGGTCACCTTTGGCCAACACAATTTGAGGAATGACATCTGTGCTAGGGTTGATCCTATACATTGTGTCAATACATTTTGGCCATTTCTTTTATAAAAGAAAAGAAAAAAACTTACCATGTAATAGAAGCATTTTGACCAGCAGTATAGACAGTACCAGTAAGAGGAGAAGTAATGCTTACAACATTGTATTGAGCAGAAACAACAGTGGCAGCAATGGCAGCGAGAGTAGCGAGAACAGACTTCATCTTTTTTTTAAAAAAATAATAATAATAATAATAATAATAATAAGAAATGGATTCTTTTCTCCTTTATTTATATACAAACCAGATTGTTTACTAAGATGATGCCATAAATGTCAGTGATACCAAATTTATTCTTTTCTCCTTCACCTATTCTTAGCTATATGTTTATTTCAAGATTCTTCATCGTTACGTAATGTCCATAATGAAGCGCCGATATATCATCTGATAACAACAAGCTTGGCGTTTCTGCACTGACTGAATGTATGTCTTTTTTTCATCCAATGGAATGTATATTGAGTATCTAACATGAAGAAAAGACAAATTGATAGACAAGCTTCAAATTCTATTTCTTTTGAATCTGTGTGCTTTTTGTGTCGTTTATTTCCAGAAATGGCGTATGATGCATTTATAGTAACATTCTGCAGACATGTTGAGTTCGACTTGATTGCAACACAAAGTGTTACATTTACGTCAATTTCATGCTGCTTATTCCCGGCAACCAGAAGCCATTGTATCTCTCTCTCTTACTTGGAGATGATAAAAATGAGTACAGTCTATCAAATAAGTGGGTCGTATTTAACAGATACACAACAGTGAAACAGATTGGCTACATGTTTTCTTGTTTTCTGCAAAATAAATCCATTCAAGTTCAGCTTCCGTTCTTTTGCATTTTGTGAGATGAGGACTAAAAGAAAGAAAGAAAAACAAGAAGGGACGGTTTGTGCTACCTAGGCTTGAGTAGAGGATATTTGCATTATTATTTCTCTCTCAAGTTCCAAGTCTGGTAGATGGTTTGGAATGTTTTAATTTGTCTTGTAGATTTTATTTGACAGTCCTCTATCTTCTCAAAGAGACCACTTCTTCTTGGCGAATGCCACTGTTGACTTGACCATCTTCATCTTCACAGACGTCTTTATTGGTGTTGCACTACAATGTCTTAAGTGTGCATACTAGAGTTTTATTTTTGAGGTCCATTTTTTTTTTTGTCTTATCTCTCAGACAGTTCATCATGATTCTTAAAGACATCCCTCTTCTCTCATTTTCTCTTTTTCGACCCGACTGTCTGGTTTGATTTGTATTTATAGTAATCCAGTTATGTCATAGAGTGGCTTTGCGACACTACTGAATCCTTGTAAGACTTGCTATATTTGCCATCATTCATCAATACTTCTTTTTTCTTTTGTAGGAAGAACCCTAATGAGTACCAAAGAGAGAGGGAATGGTTCATCAAACTGTAGCAGTTCTAGAAAATACAAAATGCATGAATGCATTTCTTTCATGGCGAATACACTGTCCATAGATGTATGCCTTTTGAGAATTAGTTTTAAAGTATCGTTTTGTTCTGGTTTCTCTGTACAATAAACAATCAAAGCCTTTTTGTTATAAAATAGTCAATTGAAAATGATTTCGCTTTTCTTTCTCTTTCGTAAAAATGGTTACAATCATCTCCTCTTCATTAAATTATATACTTGTACAAAAATAGTTATTTTTTAGAGTTTTCTCTAGCCATCCTCTCTCTCTCTCTCTCTCTCTCTCTCTCTCTCTCTCTCTCTCTCCTTAGTATTCTCTGTAAATTCCAGTTTAAACATAACGGGAAAGAAAGCTATTTTGTAGTATATATAGAGAGAGTGACATGCAAAACAAGCAAGAAGATTGCAAAAAAAAAAAAAAAAAAAAAAAAAGACATAGTTAGCAATCATAAAGTCGTAGAATAGACCTTTCCATACCAATGCAGCTTAATAATACCTGAATAGCTTGAACAATCGACAGCAATAAAAAAAAAATTGTAATACTGAAGAGAACATCATCATCCAAGCTTGTTATAAAAGAGTTTTTTTTTTCAGGCATTGCTGCCAAAGAAAAAAAAATCATCCTCACCCATCTACCTGACTCCAATGAAACCAAAGCATAATAAGCAACAAATCCGTTTTTTTTTATAGTATTTCACCCATAGTTTTGGTGAGCCATTGAAATGTCAGACTTCAAGGCGTAGATTATATAACTCTTTTTTTTTACTTTTTTTTTTTTTTTTTAATTATGCCTAAACATAAACCAAAAAGCAAGATCAGCAATATAAAGCGTAGAAAGATTGAAAAAAAGAACAGATCTCGGGATAATGCGTTTGGATTCATAAAGACAAAAAAAGTGAAAGAATACGAAGGGTTTATGTCTGATGAAGAAAGCGATACCAATCCACCACCTCATCATGATCAAGAAGGTAAGATGACTAGACATGCTTTATTTATTCTTCTTTAGTGATTGTGGTATCCAAGGATACGTTTGCTCATCAACCTAAACCCAAGTCATTCCATCAACTCTCTCAAGTGTCCATGACAAACTTAGTATCTTCTATCGATACTTCACTGAATGAACCTGATGTTGGTTTCTTTATCGATACTACACCTACTAAACCAAAACGATCAAAAAAGATACTTAAGGACGACTCTATTTATATTGAAAGTGATGATGATGATGATGATGGGATATCTATCAGTAGTAGTGAAGATATTGACATATTACAAGCCTTATCGCATTGGGGATCCAATACTGATTTACAGTTTGACCAGTCTGTCAAGGTTAAGGGTCGATCCGATAGAGATGATATTGCCTTGTTACAAAATACATTTATGGAAGATATCTGTGAATCTTCTGAAGAACAAGAAGAAAAAGACATAGACATGATAGAAGATGATATAGATAATGTACCAGATAGTTTAAAGCATAGTTATCGAATCATGGTCAAACAAGAAATATCAGAATGGAAAAGACAACACACTCAAAGAAGAAAAAGACTGTATCTACTATGCATTTACTTGATCAGTAAGTAAAAAAAAAAAAAAAAAAAAAAAAAAAAAAAAGATTGAATATGTGTGATAGGATATTACATGACTTTATAGACCAAGATCAAGTACAAACGTAATTCATTAGTTTAGATGGGTGTATGTATTGACTGTGTCTTTATAGTTATTCACTTGGTCATTTGACTCATCATGGTCGTACTATGATTGTACCTATCCTAGCCAAACTATTTCAATTGGAAGTCACACCTATGGACACCAGTCAAAAGTAAGTAACCATAGAGAATGAATAGCATGACTGACCATCATATATATATGATAGACATATTATGTTGACCAAGACCGTCCATACATCTATACCTTCCTTTTATACAGAATCCACACACAAAAAGAAAAAGACAAGACAGAAAAAAGAATGGCATGGTCAACAGGTGGCTTCTGACTCAGCCCCTATTCCATCTTCTAATATTGGTCATCGTATGCTATCTGCTATGGGATGGAAAGAAGGTGAAGGTATCAATAAAGACGGGATTAAGGAACCTGTCAAAGTGTTTATGAGAGCCAATAGAAAAGGATTGGGTGCATCATAATCATTCTCTTGTCTTCTGTTGCACATAAACCGGTAAATAATTCTAGTGTATAAAGATCAGATTTTTGGTGTAAAAATCCTGATGATATGTTGTTTAAGGTACATTTTGTGCAACCCCACTTTAAGAGATGGGATTTTTTAAACTTTGAATGACGTCGTCTTTTATAAAATAAAAATTTATATATATCATGGTCTCTATTTTGACACGTAATAAAATAAACAATAGATAGACAAAGAAGCGTTTATCTACTTGTATAAAGTAAACTTGTAAAAATAAAAAATAAAAAATAGGTTAAAATAGTAAGATATACGATGACGTATTTTGGACCTTGAAAAGGGTCGATCAGAGACCTAAAAAAAATTTTTTTTTTTTTTTACTCTCTTTCTTTCTTTTCTCTCTTTCTTTCTAATATACCTTTTTGAATCATGACAAGTCGCGAAAGTACTCCAGCCCCTAAAGAGACTGAAATGGTAATCCACTTTAACATAGGATATACAAGTTTAAACAAAATGTAAATTAGAACAACAAAAATACAAACAACAAAGATACCTCGTCATCATCCACATTATCACCTGATTTGACACAGACAGAAGCAAGGGGTGAAGATACTGAAAAGATATTGAATCCTGAAGATCTTATTGACATGAACACATTTGAGCAATTGCTGGATATGGATGAAGAAGATGATCATTCTTTCTCTTACAATATTGTCAATGATTATTTTGAACAAGCTGAAGCTACATTTAAAGACATGGATGAAGCATTGTAAGTAATAGATATAGACATTTACATTCTGATTTAGAGGACATGATTAGAAAAAGTAAAAATTTAAATGAATTATCTCGACTTGGTCATTTCCTTAAGGGTAGTTCAGCAGCTATTGGTTTAAAGAAAGTGAAAGCAACATGCGAAAAGATTCAGAATATTGGTAATTGTCAAGAAGAAGATGGTTCAGGTGAAATCACTGAAGATGAAGCACTTGAACGTATTACACCATTATTACCACAAGTAAAGACAGAATATGCTGAAGCAGAAGATTATTTGAAGAACTTTTATGAAGTACAGGATACGAAATAAAGGTATAAAGACCCATGTTTCTTAGTCATCATTTTAATTATTATTATTATTTTAGGCTTTTGGTAAAAACTTGATAGTAAAGAACACGAGTACAAATATGACGCATACAAATAAAATAAGCGCCATTGACATAAAACTAGTACCCCATGATTTAGCATAATGTTCATCCAATCTTTGTCTTTCTTGAGTCATTTTAGACAGGTTATGTTCAACTGCTTTCTGTGCTTCTTTAAGGATCACATCATCCTTGCTGAGTGTATCACCAAAGGCTTGGCTGTTTAGTTTGAGTTGTTGTGCCATTCGACCCAAATCAGTCGTGAGTTCATCGTGTAATTGTCGGTGATGTTGTAAAACGTGTTCTACATTACTTGTTTCATTTTCTCGAGCTACGTTTCTAATTACGTTTTAATTTCTGTTTTCTGCATCTTTTTTTTTTTATTATTATTTGTGTACTATACCTTAAGCGTAATTCTGAGTCTTGTTTCTCTGGTATGTCTTGCTGTTCTTCTTCCTCTTCCTCTTCCTCTTCCTCTTCTTCTTCCAATAATGTCTAATGCTATCAATCACCCTTTTCTCTATAAAGATAAATGTACCTTTTTTCTTGTCATGTCTTCCAATGGTTCTTGTTGCTTTAACTGAATTAACCAGTTGGGATCTGGCTTTTCCAACTCTTTCAATGCTTCTCTATGTTTCTTTTTTACAAGACGTGCTTCCACAATCCCTTTTTCTACATCTACATGCTTCATGCTGAGATGAGTATACCGATAGGTTCATTCTATACATTACCGAAGTATGAATCGAGACCATCTCTGACAAGTGTTGAATACGCTTAGAATAAGGTGCACTAAAGATGTCAATCATGACGCGTTTGTTTATTTCCTTACTCTGTGTGGTCTGATTGAGACTGTAATTCAACAAGGTATTTCACATACTATACACATATGAATCAATAGAATAGCAACTACAACATATTAGCTTACAGTAGCAAACTTTCTCTTTTCAGAGGGATCCCATACAGCAATGGGTTGTTTCTCTAATCTGTCTTCACAGTTCTTTAAAAGTCGATATAGATTAATTTCTTCTGTTGTTGAAAGCATAAAGAAAGAAAGAAAGAATAAAAAAGAAATGTGTATATATATATATATATATATTATTATTATTTACAATTAAAAATCAAGGCTTTTTTGTCTGCCTAATCTTAAGACATACATCAGCACCATAAGTATCAATAAACTTTTCAATCTTTGTCCGCAGTGAATTCTCCATAGATTTAATCTTTCTGCCTGATTGTGTCTCTTTATCCACAATATGATGTGTTAACTATAACATACATATATACATATATAAATATATACATATATATCTATATTAACGTCTATTGAAATCTATATATATATTTTTTTTTTTTTTACCTTTCTTGCTAAATCTTTAAACAAATGCTTGTCTCCTTTCCATAGTCGTTGTTGTCTTGAACTTAGGTGTTTTGTTACTACTTTTCCCACTTCTCTTTTAAGATCAATATCATTTAGATAATCATCTTCTTCTTCTGTACCATGATTGGAACCACTTGTAGGTGTCAGTAAATGATGAGGGGATTCTATTTTTGTTGTGATTGTAATAGGTGGAGGTGGAGGTGGAGTAGATGTTTGTTGATCGAATGGTGGTGGAGGTGGAGGTGGAGGTGGAGGTGGAGGTGGAGGGGGTGGTAATTGAAGCTCAGGTGGTATATACCATTGTGTTTGTTGAGTCAATAGATTATAGTAATAAACAACACCTTGTTCTGTTACTGCAGTTTGCCATGAATGAGAAGAAGAATAGTCTTCTGGATCAGTAGAATAGTAATAATACGTGTAGTCTGTGGGTGAATAATACGTTGGATAAAAGGGATATACAGAGGGAGGCTGTGATGGGGTATTGGCCTCTTGTTTGTTCTTTTTGATGATAGGTGGAAACTGTAGTTTGAATGCCATATCTTCATAAGTTGCATCCATTGGAATATACTCAAGATAATCATTGTCTGGATCAAACAATTCTCGACTGGATTCATATCGTTTTCGTTTCTTGAATCGTTTCTTGGTCTTGTTGGTGACCTTCTCTGCTGTAGTCTCATCAGTGATGATAGTCGTTGTTGTTGTTGTTGTTGTCGTATGAGTATGCGTATTAGCCTGTATTCGCTTAGGAATACGATAGACACTCTTGAGTTCATTCCATGAAGCCAATAGATATTCAGACAATTGACTGATTTCTTCATTATCATGATCCACAAATCGCTGAACAACATCAAACAGCTGACAATCCTCCAGTCCATTTCGATTGGCCAAAGGTAGTTTCTCTAATACCTGAAGTACTCTCAACACGATTGTCTCATTCGACTTCCATTCTCCTAACCAAAACTTGAGCATTTTTAATCCATGCAGTCTGACAATCATCTTGAGTATCTCTCTTCCATGCGAATGATCGACATTGGTCATCTTGAGTCGCATCAATAGTTTGTTGACCAGGCGAGGTTTGCCTACTGAATTCAACATCCGTTTCACAAATGACTGGACCGTGTTGGGATCTTGTAAGGGTTGTAATTGTCTGGCTTGCTTGACCACTTCCTCATCATCATCATCATCATCAGAATCAGAATCATCATTCTCTGAAGAAGAGAATACCTTGACATGTTCAAATACATGGTCTTCATGGCTGTTATCAGAAGCACCAATGTATCCCTTACAGTTGAATTCACCACAATAACACGCTTGAGCCACTGTACCGTAACGTTCAAATTTATAATCAAACGTTAATTCTTCACCTGCTGTAATAAATCGACTGGTAAAGATACCAATCCTCATCTTCTTGCCAATCACCCATTTCTGCGTCACACAGTTTGGATTACAAGAATGATTCATAAATCGAGCTAAACAACCTCGCTTAGTAGCATCAATGATCTATCAACATAGGATAAGCAAAACTCCTTTTCTTTGATATGATTCCTTACCTCGTCATTCTTGAGTGTCATGAAATAATAGTGTGTATATCCTTCTGCATCATATTCTCGAGTACGGTCAAGAAACACTTTTTGTGGTATCACTTCACCCATGTATTCCATAATAAACGAATTACTAATACATCAGCCAAGTGCCATGGTGATACTTTTTTTCTTCTTTACTTACGGTGGTAAATTCGTCAAGGCTCTTAACCCAAATCCCTTTTTTTGTGTCTTGATCACATCCACAGGCGCATATTGTCCAAGTTGAAATCGTCTGTTGCGACATAATCGCCCACAAGGACAATCTTGTACCATACATTCCATAAACATCATACGGTTAATACAGCGATTATCATCACCACACGCATCCAAAGGAGGATCCAATTCAGAGTCATATTTACATTCACATGGCATACTCTCTTCTGCCATGGATCGACCTGTAGCTGAACCAATATAGATGTTGGCTGTAATGTTCTCATAGGTGGCTAATGCTTCTTCTGTTGCTGCAGGAAAATACCTAGAATCATCTAAGTAGACACCATAAGTAACTCATATAGATCGATCTAGACTACCTAATGCCCATCCATGATCTTCAGATTCACTTAAAGACTCTTCTTCTGATGATGATGACAATAAGTCGTTGGTGACTGTCGTACTAGGCGGTCTCTTTGAACCAAATTCAAAATGAAATTGAAACAGATCAGAAGGACCTGTAGCCACTGTGGTCCTTTTTTCTTCTTCTTCTATTTCTTCTTCGGATAGACTACTGGCAGTTAGTATATCAAGATCTTCTTTGTCTGAACAAGAATCGTCATGCCCAGCAGCATGATGCGTGCTATCCCACATGGCTTGTGAAGTCGTGGTGGTCGTAGTAGGGGTGGTAGTGACTTGAGCGCAAACAACATTCACAGTTGAAGATAGGTGTTTTTGTGTAGTGTCCACTAGAGCAGTAATGAGTAAAACTCAAGTCATGGATAACTTGATCGTACTTGCCTGATTCAACGTGCTCTAAAATATATTTCTTTTCTCTTATTTGCAAAGACAGTGCGTTCGATCTATAAAAAAAAAGAAAAAGAAAAGTGAACACATGATATAACACATATGATTTCTTTTTACCTTATATCGGTACTTTGCATAAGCCCAATGTTGGCACAAATAAGCGAGAGAAATATTAAAAATAAAGGATAGAAAAAAAAAAAAGAAGAGAAGCTTCTATAATATACACTAGGGTAAAAGAAAAGAGAGAATAGAAAAAAAAGCTCTGACTTTTAATATGGCCCGCCAAAAAAAAAAAAAAAAAAAAAAGCCAAGTATATATTTAAACTGCGTTCTCTTTACTTTATGATTGTAAGTGAACCGGGATTTTTCTCTCTCTCTCTCTCTCTCTCTCTTTCTTTTCTTTTCCTTTTTTTTTTTTTTTTGTAAAGTAGTTCATATCTTTGTTTGTCGTGACTGTATAAAATCTTGCATGAACAAACAGAAAAGAAAAGAACCTGCTGTCAAATCAAGCTATTTTTCGATAGATAGTTATTTCAAGGCACCTAATGATAGCAACAAACGAGTCAAGACAGACAGTACAAAAGAAGAACAATGTCCTATATGCAACGCATTTATTCTGGTGGAATCCATATCCATGGAAGTACATGTGAATAGTTGCCTTGATTTACAAGAAAAAGAATCACTAAATAATCAGGAGAAAAAATCATTATTACTACGCAAGGATTTGACAGTTATCAAAGATTCAACCATAGCAAAAGATAGCCATCAAATACAAGAGACACCAAAAGAGAAGAAAAAGACATGTCCATTTTATAAATTTATGCGAGGTAAAGTATGTATGGATACTAAATAATAATAACAATAAAAAGGCACTCGCTTTGTAGTAGACGCTTTTAAATATGGCAAGATTCCAGACTGTGATGGTTATTTCTTAACCCATTATCACTCAGATCACTTTGGTGGTCTTGGACCCAATTGGTCTCATGGTCCTATCTATTGTTCTCAAGTCACTGCTAATCTTGTCAAACAAGAACTTAGAGTCAAACCTTGTTATGTCCATCCTCTCTCCATGGACACACTGCTCCCTATCCCAAATTCAACCATTCAGGTAGCCTTGATTGATGCAAACCATTGTCCTGGTTCTGTCTTGTTCTTGTTTGTGATTGATGGCAAGACAAGACATTTGCATACAGGTGATTTTAGAGCAACACCACGCATGTGTCTACACCCATTGATTCGTCAGCCTCAAAACCCACCTCTTCATTCAGTCTATTTAGACACAACCTATATGAACCCACAGTATGCATTTCCTGCGCAAGAAGAATGTATTCAAGCCGTATGTGATGTTGTTTCTAATCACAACAAGAACAAGACGCCTTCTTTACTAGAGAAATGGATCAAGAGTCCTGTCAAGAAAAAGAAACCATTGATTGTTGTAGGGACCTACACGATAGGAAAAGAGCGAGTGTTTATAAGTAAGTTTTTTTGTTTATTTATTTTATTTTCTGAGTGTCTTCTTGTTAGATGTAGCTAAAATGCTTCAATGCAAGATATATGCACCTTCAAAAAAGAAGCGCATCTTACTCTGTCAACAAGATGATCAACTCAAAGCCATGCTTACTAATAACCCTCATGAGGCTCAGGTACACATTGTACCACTGGGTGATATTCGTCCTCCTGTAACGATCGAGATGGATACCTATAATGTACACTTATCTCAAAATAATAGGCTATGTTCGAATACCTTAGACACTATCAAGATACATTTGATCATCTTATTGGATTTAAACCTACAGGCTGGACATATCGATCAACCAAGACAGAGGCCTCGGATATGACATTAGCCCCTTTATTCCACATCATCACACCACCATCTGATAGATCAATGCGTCTCTCGCCTTATTTTGAAGACACCAACATCCAATTGTTTAATGTGCCTTATTCAGAACATTCTAGTTTTCGTGAATTAGCTTCTTTTATTGCCAGTCTAGAGATACAAGACATTATACCCACTGTGAATTTACATCATATCGATCGCATGAAGATGTATTTTGAGAAATGGCAAGAAGAGAAACGTTGTAAACGCATTGAAGTAGTGGCTCATTCTAACCAAGACCATTGGTAAATGTCTGTGCTCTTAATAAAGATTTGATTCTAAACTGAACTGCCGAAATCAAGGGAGAGATTATCATGCACCTTGAAGAGATGATGATGTCGTTTCTTTATTATATTTTCCCATCAAGTAGTACAAAAAAAAGCATGTATATATATATATACAATACTCCAAAAAGAGGGAGGGGGGAGACAGAAAAGACGACATTCTTTTTTCTTTTCTTTTTCTTTCTTTCTTTATGTATTCCCCTCCTCAACAACAAGAATATACAGACCATTTCAGCCAAGTAGGTACACCCCATACCACAGTGGGTGCTGTTCCTGTAGCACGCAACAATCGATTGTTGAATCCAAACTACCATCACCAACGTCAAAATTCGTTCGGTACTGTAGCCTCAGCCATGACAATGAGTCCTCCTTCACGTACGATGTATGAAAACAACTCACAAAACTGGTTTGGGACAAGTCTGGACTCAAATGGCTCTTCTTTTGGTCAATCGCCTGTGTTTAATAACCATAGAGATATCATTGTTTCTCCTTCTACTTCTTCAAGTCATCTGGATAGTTTCACAAACAATCAAGAAGACGATGAAAATCAACAAAGAAAGTAAAGTATTTATACATATTTGTCAGACTGCATATTTATTTGTTTTAAAAACAGTCTTCAGGAAATGTTTGAGAAACGACGTCGGAGAAGGGAATCACATAATGCAGTAGAGAGAAGAAGAAGAGATAATATTAATGAACGTATTCATGGTAAGTTTGTTTATATGTCTTTCTTTCTTTGTCTGATATGCAAGAGATAGAACTGTGTACTCTTTTGCCTGAACGACTTTTAGATACAGCACCTACAAGTTCAAATGTGATGGCTGTCTCCAGTGGCCAAGTAGGTACAAATGGAAGAGCCATTAATAAAGGCACCATTCTGAAACTCTCAGTGGATCATATCAAGGAACTGCGTGAAGAAGTGCATCAATACCAAGAAAGAATTAGAGAACTAGAGCGAATGGTTGAAGCAGCCAAACATGGCGAACGAATACAAGAGGAGGACACACGTATTGGATCCATACAGTTCAGGCAGCAATTTAATAACATGCAGATTCACACCTCTCATGAGCCATGATGATGCCCACTTTAAGTAACATCGACCAAGTTTGTGACTTTTATTTAGTACATTTCTAAAATAGTTAACAAAAGTGCATCTAAATAAACATTTCATTTCAATTTTATCCAACAGTGTTATTATTATTATTATGAAGAAGTACTTGCCTTTACCTACAACCATTGTAATTCATGTCATTGAGAACTACAAGGAAGAGATCAAAAACTCTGAAGCAGTGTTTGGTGCCAAATGGGTTCACAAGAGATGTGTCACCAAGAAGGACAAAGAGCAATGTCTGCTTAGATCTGGAGAAAAACAAGTAAGAGCTGACACTGCGAAAGACGGTATCAATGCCAAGACTAGAGACTTGCAAGAAAACCAGATATCCTGGGCTTTTGAAGGTACCTTCCTTTGAAAGATAATCCAAACATTGTTCTTAAAGCAGCATAATCATGCAATTTGGTCAGCTTGAAGATTTCCAACATCTTTCTCTGTTGAAAAGCACCAAACTGTTGATTGAGAATAGATTGCTACAGAAAGAGAGGCGCTAGAGTTTCTATCCAGAGAAATTTCAGAGATTATATCCAAAAGGACTACCAACAAAACAGTCCTTGGATGTGGGCAGAATGGGACCTGAAGAAAAAAGAAGAGGAAGAAGAGAAATATATTAACAATAATGTCTTAGTATTAATGGTGGCATTAGAAGCACTAGGATGCTACAGTGTTGCCTCCTTCACCACAGAAGAGGTAGAGAATAATGTCATGATAGGCTGTTCTTGTGCTGATTTCAATGGAACCAAACATCTTGCAAGCACATATATCTGTTGAAATGCATCGAACCTATCATTAGTATCTATCAAGATATGTAAAATCGTCAGGAACGTATTTGATAGTAATACTCGGATTAAGCTAGTTCTTTGACTGCTTCTGGTTTAAGCTCTTAGCTTGTTTCCGATGGTTTTGAGAATGTGAAAGCAGTGTTCAACGGCTACATGGATGATCCTCACAAGCAAAGAGATCTTTCAAATCTAGTCTTAGCCATCTGAATGATATTTTGATTCCCACTTCTGAACGCTCAATCTCGTCTAACTCATTTCACTACACAGCGTAAATAAATGTTTAGTACTGGAACCGAGATGTTAATGCCACACATAACATAAGAAGCAGCTTATGTGAATATATTCGTTCGGCTTATGACAACAACAGCAGACCATAACAGCTTTTAAGAAGCCAAGGTGACCTAGGTGCCATTAGTAACACCTTCCTAGGTTAAATGGTAAGTATATTCTCTTTTAAAAATAACAGTCACTAAGGCCTATGTCATCTTTTTTTGTGGGGTATTTATGTAAAATCTCGAATATTTCAAACATCTGTGATAAATAAATCAATGTTGACCTTGCCTTTAAAAATTTTGTTACTCCACTTTTTTTTTTTCATAAGTGAGGGATGGTTCATATACGGTGTCAACACCTCCAATCAAGGCTCCATCAAAAGGTCAATCAACGTCTATTATGGAGGACTCTTTTACAGACTTGTCAAGTAAAACAGGCATCGACCCTTACACCGAGATCAAGAAAAAGTAAGTCTATGGCATAGACCAAGTATATTTATCTGTTTGTTTAGGTTTCCTAGACGAGATTGACAGCTTAGAACAGCAACAACATCACTTACTTTGGCAACTCAAATCAACAGGAAAGAAACGTATTCCTGTTCACGTCAACACTAAAATTAACAAAGACTTGACTCCCACTGTGTTGTCTATTCACGCTGATTTACAAAAGAACGATCCCGAAAGTGCTTGGCAACAATTTGACAGGTTGGGTGCTGATAACATACCACGATCCACAGCACATATGTTGCTTGAATCACTCCATACACTTGTCCATACCCATCTACCTCGTCTTACACTCGACTTTGCTAGACTTCAGACACTCTATACATCAAGACTCGATATGCTTGCTGGCCTAGTGAAAAGAAACAAGGATCTGAATTGGGACAAACATCAGTTTGCGATGGTGATTGAGCTCTATGGCAAATTAGATCAAATCAAAAAAGCAGAATCAATTTTTCGCAACATGACACAGTACACATCAGCCGCACCCAGTGTAGACATCTATAATGAACTACTAGCAGTGTATGTGCGTCGATTGCGATATGTGGATGATGTGACAAAAAAGCGGTTTCTTTCTAAAATGAAAACATTGGAATCAGAGATGGTTCGAAAGACTATGGCACTCAATACCACTTCCTATAATCTATTGTTGGCTGCGAGGATCAAAGCGCACGATTTACAAGGAGCAGAAAAGATCTTTTTGAACATGACTTGTCCTCCTGATCGCATTACTTACAATATTCTGTTGAATGGATGCTTGAAAGGATGCCGCGACAACAGAGAAAAGGAAATTGCAACTCAATGGATGGAACGATTGATAGGCTCAGGTATTGCACCTAACAAAAAGACATTTAAGAGTATCATGGATGGTTTAGCAGACCAAGTGAGTCGTCATGCTCGTTTGGGAGAAACACACGATATGGAAACAACTACGCAATCCGTCTCAAATCTTTACAAGGTGATGCTTCAATTGGGCCATGCACCAGACACAGAAACAGTCAACACGTTACTGAAATGCTACACAGCAGCGAACAATCAAAGCCAGATAGACAAAGTAACGCAGATGTTGATATTGCCTGAGAAGAAATCAGGTTGTGGTCAATGTGGGTGTGGAAACAAGGCTGTCAAGACACAAGAAGATGACAAAAGTGTTAAAGTGAAACCAGATGTCTTTACGTTTAACATGTTGATGAAGCATCACCTTGCTAACAACCGTACAGATCAAGCATTTGAAGCGTATGATACCATGGTTCAATTGGATCTTTGTCCTGATACTGTTACTTATAGTAACTTTATTGGGTTCTATGCTGAACAAGGCAATGTGTCTGAATGCTTAAAATACCTGGATGTTATGGAACGAAAAGGTATTCCTAGTAATAACTTCATTTATAATATCCTCTTGAACTGTTCTCTCAAGTACCCTGAACAAGCTGGCAAAATCACACCCCATCTTCGTTCTATGCTAATGAATGGCACAAGTACACTCGATACAGTTTCACAAAACATCCAATTAGCTCGTTACCAGCCTAAAGAACAAGAAGGATTACATGAAAGCTTTGAACATTATACAGACCTGTTAGAGCGAAACATGTATGACAATACAGGCCCAGTCAACACACGTACCTACAACACTATTCTTCAATCAGCTGGTCAATTCTACAAGAGAGCAGCTCATCTTCCCTCTGCTGAAGAACGTCGTGGATTCCATCAAATGCTTGACTCGATCATTGCTTCTCTTGATACCTCACAGATTCGCTCTGATCTATATACATACGCACTTACGATTCGTAATGCATCTTATGTAGGTGATATGAAGAAAGCAGAATCCACCTATCGATCCATGTTACATGCAGGCATTAAGCCCAACCAGTTTATTTTCTCACATTTGATTTACGGCTATGTATCGATTGGAAAGACAGAAAAGGCGCATGATATTCTTAATCATATGTCGACCAAAGGCTTTGTTCCAACAGCCGTCAATTATGCGCCTCTCATTAAAGGTTATGCAGAATCAGCCGAGTTCAACAAGGCTTATGAATTACTTCGCGAAATGTTGGACAATAATGTACAGGCTGACTTAGTGATATACACCACACTAGCGTCTGTCTTTTTAGATTCACCTGTCCAAGGCAATGGAAAGAAGGCGATTGATTTATTGGAAGGCATTTCAAAATCGGGTATGGCCATGGATGCTGCCTCGCTTACCCTCTTAGCCGAAGCTTATGCCATTGAAGCCAAATCGATTCTACTCAACATTCAAGACAGTAAAACGTTACGTCAAGAACTTACACACCATATTGCCAAGATTGATTCCATCTATACCACACTTAAAGAAAACCAATGGCTAGACCTAAAAGCAATTACTACTTTACTCACTGCGCATAATCATCTCAAGAATCCAGAAGGTGTATGGAAACTATGGAATGAACTCAAGGCCAGCACCTCTGTCACGCTTGTTCCGCACCACTATAATGCCGTCATACATGGCTTGACAACAAACAAAACGTGGTACCCTGTGGCCAAACTGGTGTTTGAAGACATGTTACATCACCCTCATGTTCAACCCGATGCAAGCACGCTTGATCTCATGATTTGGGGTGCCTATGGCGTCTCTGACTATGATACCATCCGTACCATGTGGCGTCAAGTGCATGTAGCACCTTTGCTTGTCAGATCCTATTATGCTTCCATGGTTGCCATGTTGGATCAAAACCAGATTGAAGAGGCTCGTAAAGTCTATGAAGCCTATCTTCATTTGCCCACACCTTCTCCAAGTTCATCTACAGTTTGGGTTGGTATGATCAATCAGTTGGCAATACAACATGGCCTGAAGACACGGATACAACAAGAGCAATCATAATACCTTTATAGATTTTTGTTTATTTTTTTTTATTTTTTCTCGCTACTGTGTACAGATTTTTGTAATAAAATTGTATCTATTGTTTTTTTTTTATTTTATGCGATTCTTTAAGCAGTTAGATGATGTAGTTGTAAAAAATTAGTGGATCAAATATATTATTTTCTATTTAATTATAATATTGGCTTTTTAGAACAAAGGTATATTCTATATGTTGTGATGTAAGAGAGAAGATAAAAACAAAGAAGTCGATTAGAACTTGTATAGGTTTATTATCCAAAAATATCTCTTTTTCTAGCTCTTCATTCTCTAGGTATTTATACATGAAGGGATGTCGGAGTAAGTAGTAGTAGAGTTCATGCAAATGACTGAGTCTCTATTATCATAGACTACTTTAAATTAATTAAATAATGTAAATTATGGATTTCGGTTATAAGTCTTGATCTATTAAAAGATACATTGTCTTATTCAGTACAAGAGGTTCTTTTATGTCTATTTATATAGATTCTATATGTTCACAACACTATAGAAAGCTTTGATACTATAGAAAGGTACAATAAACGGCATAAAATGATGCAAAGATCTATCTCTACTCGGACATAGAAAAGAGAGATACAGTTCAATTCGAGTTTTGAATTCGGGGCCGTACGTTTAAGTATTGGAAGGAATCTATGTTAAGTTTTAAAAATTTCCTGATGCGTTTGCGGTTGATATGTTGTTCTTTCAATTCAATTAAGTCGAATCTCTATATTCCAAACCCTTTTTCTACAATAATTGCCAAGAAATTTGAAGTTCAAATCAACTCTCAAAATTAAATATGTATTCTTCAATTACAGTTCCGGCATTATAATTTCTATCCGCAGAACTCCGGTCCGTCCCATAAATGGTCACGTGTTTAGGTTAAATTTCTTGAAGTCATATTAGTGTTTAATTTTTTTATTTCATATCAGGGGATGTAGTGTAGTGGCTATCACATCTGCTTTGCATGCAGAAGGCCCCGGGTTCAATCCCCGGCGTCTCCATTCTTTTTATTTTCTCTGGTCACTTATGAGGGGTGTCTGTAGTTACCTTAATTCATGTTTGCTCTGTCAATCCATCACTCAATGAAACAAAGCTGTAGGCGAGGAGTCTTTTTTTCGTTAATATTCATTGCATCTTGTATGCGTATTATCGATATACAAAAACCCTCTATGCTTTTTTTTGGGCTTATCTCGTATGAAAATGTTGCTTTTTCTAGTTTTCAAAAGATGCGGGCACAACCAAACTTTAATGAGAAGGAATCACAAAAAAGTTATTCTTTTGTTATGGCATGATAAGTAATCAAAGAAAAAGGATTCTACTTGATTCTTTTTTCTACAAAAACTTTCATACCGTCCTGCATTGGGAGTGTCAATGAAACTTGATATGTGATATTCTGTCCAGGCACCAATGTCAATTTGTAGTTTTTGACTATATAGATCATGGCCATTAAAGTCTCAAGTGTAGCTAAGTTTTGGCCAAGACAAACTCGAGGACCAGCATGAAAAGCAGGCCATTGACCTTGTGACTCACGACGTAGTGTTTTGTTATCCGTGATCCATCGTTCTGGTTTAAATTCTTTTGCATTTAGACCCCACACCTTTTCCGATCTACCTTGAGCCCAAGGACACCACATAACATAGTCTCCTTTCTTAATACCAGTACCGTCTGGCCATATGTCATCACCAAGTGCATATTTCTGATTGTTTGGAACTGAAGGAAACAATCTCAATACTTCATAAAATCTATTGTCGTTATGTCAGGGCTCCTTCTTTCTGATTTCTACTTACACAGCATGCGCATATGTCATGTTTTTAATAGTTTCATATAATGCTGCAGGATCTTCGTTCGCACTATCTGAAATCTTCTGGTGAATCTCTTCGAGTAATTTACGCTCGATACGAGGATGTAATAAGAGCATATAAAATGTCCATGATAGCGCCTGTGCAGTCGTATCTCGACCGGCAATAACAAAGTTTAAAACAATGTCCCTTAATTCCTTGTTATTTAGTGGCTCATCATGCTCGTTATGTGCATTCATAAATCGAGACAATAAATCATGATAATCCAGCTCGCCTCTTGCTATTTCTGCATGACGTTCTTCAATCACTTGGTTGGCAAATTCATTCACTGTCTCAAGATGTTCAGCTATACTTTTCTTGCACGGAAAAAACAAGAACGAGAGCGGTTCTGTCATACGCCAAAAGGGATTTACAAATCGTTGGAAACTGTTGAGTTGACATTGATCAAAAGAGACTGCAAAAGATACTTTTTCTTTGCTTTCCAAGGCATTTAATCGAACGCCAAATCCAATTCTAAATGAATTAGATAAATACCCCCTTTTTAATTTTCAACATTATACTTACAGGATAAATGAATCCAATGTAAACTTAAACATAGTATCATGAAAATCAATCACTTGATGACAATCACTTGCTGGTTCCAGAATTTCCTTAAACATAATGTCAAGTTGTGTTAAAAATACTCTATCAAAATGCATGAATGATCAACGAAGATCCAGAAAAAAAAGTTGCGTACTTTGTAAAGTTGTCCCTGAAATTCTTTACATTAAAGATATGGCTTGCTGTCTTTCTTTGATACTTCCACTGTTCACCATTTGCATTAAAGATGCCATGGCCAAATAAATCCTTCATGGCATGATGTAGTTGAGGCCCTTTGGTGTAATTTCCAAAATTGTCTATGCATAGAGTTCAGATCCAATTCTTATATACAAATACCACACTTACTTTTGAGAATATGTTCAATGTTTTTAGGATCAATAGTAACAATGACGCGAGGGATAAATAAAGAAGATCCAGTTCTATGGTAATGGGTGAGTCTTGTTTTCTTTTAAAGAGAAAAGTGTTATCTGATACTTGCGTGGTCAAACTATTGGATTCTATAAACCCATCCAAGAAAAATTCATGCATTCGATGCTTATTTATAAGAACTTGAGGAAGAGTACCTACGAGTGGCCAACCTCTTCTCCGAGGTACGCCTTCTCGTTCTTGATGAAATAGAGCGCAATCAGGATATTTTAAAGCCAATAGACCTAATATGACCGCAGGAATACCAACTGTATGGACGAGAACATTATCAGTCAAATTGGTCATGAGAGAAAGTAAGATAGAGAAAAAAGAAGGGGATACATACCACTTCTTACTCTTTTATATTTACTTTTAAATGTATGCATATAAACAAAAGCAGCAGGGATATGCACGTATATACATCTATCGCATATTCTTGATGATTTATTGTACTATTTATGTGTTGTAGACTGAAACAATGGCTGATGGCATCATATTTATATTAACTACAGCGAGAACAAGTCCATTGTTCTTTATCGTTATCAAGACCTATACATAAAGCGTGGAAGCATACGCCACAACTATCACATGCAATCATAGGCCGGTCGTCATCAAGGTCAGGATAATTACAAATACATTGAGTATACGAAGGTTTCTTGTTAATAAAACTTATTTTCCTTTCCTTTCTGGTGAATTGAGGTAAAGGGTCTATTGGCACATCAAAAATAGATTCTGTTTCATCAATCGTATATCCTCCCATGGCGTGGTTTTTTGAATGGCTTGGCTGTGATGGTAAAACAACATCTGTTGCTAGATTAGGTGTCGTTAGTTTAGAAAGTGTAAGTGGATGGACTTTCTCTGCTAAGATGCTGCTCAACAATCCAGGCTCTTGAGCAAACATCGTGTTACTTGGTGCAGCATTTTGTTTGGTAAATTCGTTCAACACAAATGTATCGTGTATTGTATGGGGAATTGACTCAAGTTGAGGAAATGCTGCTGTATGCTGTCTTTTCCAACGAATAGTTCGTGTCCATTTAGATGGAGATAAAGCAGCATATAATAGCCCAGACTGATCTTGTTCTGCTATAGATAACATATCAGAAGGTTTCAAATGAGTGAATGGGTTGTCCATTGATTTCAATTTCGTCTTCGCTGCGTTAGGTAAGTTTTGATCTGTGACACTATCATTAATGGTGCATTATCAGCCAGGGCAGGAAATGGAGGCAGATAAAATAGAACATAATCTGAGAGTCTTTCTTCCTTACATTTTTCTTGATTTTCCTCTATTTGTCTCTCATTTTCATCTTCTATACATGACTGTGGCCAACTGAAACTATATTCAATTGGACTCTGCTGGCCACGCTCTATAATATCTATCAAAAGAAACAAGTGAATGGCTGTTTGTATGTGCTTGTATTAAACCTTGAATAACACAGCTTGGGCCTCCTTGCTCTGTCCAGCCATTCTCTTAGCATTTATATATCAATGACAAGCTCATTCAAGGCATTGAGCACATCATACATGTTTCCTATTGATCTTCTAGCTAAACAAGAATAGGCCGATACAGTGCGAGCAAGTAACTCAACATGCCGTATAGAAACGTCTGTCAATGTTCGCATTGAGTCAGTATGACTTGAATCAAAACCAGCTGCTTCAAGTATTTGCATTATAGCATGATACATCAATACAAAGTAAAATTCGTCTGTCATTTCATAAAAATAAAGAAAAAACAAGAAAAATGTCCCGAACAAGTTTTACATGATAATTTTATTTAGTCTAGTTAGCATCTAAAGCCTTTTGCAACATAGCAAGCATCTTTTCGTTTTCTTCTTCAGTACCAACGGTGATTCTTAGACAACTTTCACAGCCATATTCTGTACCTCTAAAGCGAACAACAACACCAAGAGATTCTGCCATCATTAAATATACTTTGTGAGCACGCTCATTAGAAGGTTTTCTAGTGGTCTTGTCAAGAATTTCAACAAGGACAAAGTTAGCATCATTTCCACCCAAAATGCGGCCTGTGTCTTTGAAGGCATTCAATTTTTCAATCAAAAATCCACGTTGATTAATCAAGCGTTTACGATATTCAAACATCTTTTGTAAGCCTTCGTCAGAAAGTGCTTCCGCAGCCAATAAGGCACTGGGTGTACCAATGTTGTAAGGCGCCTTTGTGTTGTTCAAGATTTGAATGATGTCTGAATGGCCAACAGCAATACCCACACGAATACCAGCCAAACCAAAACTCTTACTCAGGGTTTGCATTACTACCAAATTGGGGTATTTGTCGACCCAAGTAGCAACAGAACCTTCTTCTTTATCAACAAAATCAACATAAGCTTCATCTACTACTACAATGCCTGAATAATCTGATTCAAGAACTGTGCGAATACTAGCATGGCTGAGACAAGTACCAGTAGGATTACCGGGAGAACATAAAAACACAATCTTGATTTCGGGATTCGATTTGATAGCACTAAAAACCTAGACATTTTTTTTTAGCTGTCAAAATAAAAAAGATGTTGCTTACATTATCCAGGTCAAGTTGATAAACCCCATTTTCTACATTCAAAGCTGACTTGACAACTTCAACATCATTAATTTGAGCACATACAGAATACATGCCATAAGTAGGAGGAGTGATCAAGATCTTGTCTTTAGCAGGAACGCAGGCAATACGGATTAACAAGTCAATAACTTCGTCAGAACCAACACCCAAGAACAGGTTCTTGGTAGACTTAAGATTACGCAACTTGAGAATACGTTCTTTAACTTGGGATTGGTATGGGTCGGGATATCTATTCAAGTCGCCTGCTTGCTCTGTACTTAAAGCAGGGCCATATGCATTTTCATTGGCATCCAACAAAACACCTTCACTGAAATCGTCACGTGCGCAGCGATAGGGCTTTAATGCGAGGATATTAGGGCGAATTACTTGAGTAAGATCAAAAGGCATAGTTAGAATTAAAAGAAAGAAAGAAAGAAAGAGTAAGAGAGCGATTCTTTTTTATTTTTTTTTTAGAGTGAGTCACTTGTCTGACAATCAAATTCTATTTTTGCTTTTTGGTTGATGAAAGAGCATCAAGAGCATCATCAATGTCACCAACAAGTCCCTTTAATTTGTTCCATTGAGCCAAAGGAAAACAAATACCTAAGACCAGTGTTAAATAGCATTCAATTGTATAATTGATTACCTTTTCCTGGTTTCATTTCTTGTGTGTTCTTGTCCATATAGAATTCACGGATATCCACGGATCCTTCACCACTTGAGAATGCACGGATAGTCACTCTTCTTTTAGCAGATAACTAACAGCAATGTTGGTCATTCTGACTAATTTGTGTACCTTCCTTACTTGAAAGATTCGATTCCCATCTTTATCCGTCTCATAATTATCGTTTTCTTGTCTCTTTCTCTTTACTGGTTTGGATTCTTCCTGTATAGATGTCAACATGCATTTGCATTAAAGTTGTTACATACTTGCTCTTCAAACTCTTCATTATCGACTGGTTCCTTACCAGGCTAAATAGTATTAATAAGGTATTCTATTCCATTCAATTTCTGTTCTACCTTAAAATCCTCATCTTCGCTATCGTTAATATATTTCGCTGTCTTGGGCATTATTGAAGTGAAAGATAAAAGAAGAAGAAAAAAACACGCTTGATTATTTTACACGCGTCTTCTAATCCTTATGAAGTGACGTGCTTATTTTCTTTCTCTTTTCTCTCTTTTTATCTCTTTATCTTTTTTTTTCAAACCATGAGTGATACTTCTTCACCAACTTTAAAACCTGACGAATATACAAAGGGACTTGACCAAGAACATATTAAAAAACTAACAGAAGATGCCTATAAACATTTTACTGAATACACAAAAGCAGAGCTAAAGTGTAAGTTGTTCTTTGCTCCTCTATATATTCATAAATCAAGTGACGGTAGAGGATTGTCAATTGCTTGAGACTATGAACAAAGCAACACAGGAAAAATATGCTCAATTAGGGCAAATGAATCAGCGTATTATGAAAGAAATCTCGGGATTACAGGCAAATTGTAAATATTCTCTATAAAAAAAACAAGCTAGCATTAATGCACCCCCTTCTCAGATGCTGATTTCTCAGGATTTCTTAAACAGATTGATACGCTACATCAACAAACAATTCAACTGGAAAAAACAGCAAGAGCACTCAATGATTACTCCAAATATTTAGGTATGTACAAAGGCTAGCGTAGTCGACTATGTACTTAATGAGACAGAAAACAAACTTTTGAAGGTCCAAAAATAAAAAATCATGACTCACAATGTCAAAGAGTCGTGACTTGAAATGGAGACTTAAAATTTTAGAGATAATCATGATCCTGTTTTTCTCTCTTTCTTTCTCTAAATATGCATCGTACCTTGAGTAAACTAAGCCATTCTACGCCTTTTATCTTGGTAAGAAAGAAATTCGATACAGCATTTCATTGACCCTATTAGAGGCGCACTTATGCTGCTTCAAGTACCTTGATTAAACCTGTTACTAAAGTAAGTATTGTTTTTCCCACACTTGAGCTAAATATCACATTAGTTGACACACCCTGATGCAGATGTGCCTGCTGGTACACTCAAAAAAGTGCAAGAATACAGTAAATACACTGTCAATACTTACGCTAGACCTGATCTTGTAATGTCGCATGGTAAAGGATGTCAGCTCTTTGATACAAATGGCCGCTCTTACTTGGATTTCACTGCTGGTATTGCCGTCAATGCACTTGGCCATTCTGATCCCGAAGTAGCTCAAGTCTTATTTGATCAAGCCAACAAATTAGTGCACACTAGTAACTTGTATCATCATGAAAATGCTGGTGAATTAGCCAAGGCACTTGTAGAAACCACTCGTCAACATGGCGGTACTTGGGCCAGTAAGCTCTTTTTGGCTAATTCTGGTACAGAAGCCAATGAAGGTGCACTAAAATTTGCTCGTAAATGGGGCAAGCATGTGAGTGGGTCAGAAAAGCACGAAATTGTGTCCTTCTCAAATGCTTTCCATGGTCGATCTATGGGCGCATTATCTGTCACTTATAACCCCAAATATCAAAAGCCTTTTGCTCCTCTTATTCCCGGTATCAAGACAACACCCTTCAATGATATCCATGCTGCTCTTGAAGCCATCACTGAAAAGACCTGTGGTGTTATTATTGAGCCTATCCAAGGTGAAGGTGGTGTACACCCTGCTAATGCAGAATTCTTGCAGGCCTTGCGTCAAAGATGTAATGAAACTAACTCTTTGTTGATCTTTGATGAAATTCAATGTGGCCTTGGCCGTACTGGTAAAATGTGGGGTCACCAACACTTTGACAAGGACTGTGTGCCTGATGTTTTGACAATGGCTAAACCCTTGGCTAACGGTGTCCCTATTGGTGCTATCCTTACCTCTGAAAAAATAGGCGAATTGATCAAATTAGGTGATCACGGTACTACTTTCGGTGGTAACCCTCTTGCTTCTGCTGTTGCCTTAAATGTAGTGGGTCGTATTACTTCTCCTGAATTCCTTGCCAAGGTGAATGAAAAGGGTGAATTCTTGAAGAGCTTGTTGAGTCAAGTTCAACAAGAGCACCCCGATTTGATCAAAGAAGTACGTGGTAAGGGTCTTTTGATTGGTGTTGAATTCACCAAGGACCCTTCTCCTATTGTTAAAATGGCTCGTGAACGCGGTTTGTTATTGACAACTGCTGGTTGTAATACAGTGCGTGTCATTCCTCCTTTGATCATTTCTGAAGAAGAAGCAGTTGAAGGTGTTTCTCGATTTGCTGGTGCTGTTCAGCAAATGGCTTCTTCTGCTTAAAGGAAGAAAATATGTAATAAAATATACTTAGAAATAGAAACCAATCAAACAAAAAAGTTTTGTCACACAAATAATGATCTGCTTGCATAAAGTGTAAGTCATACGTCAGCAGTGTGTACCTTTTTAGTTCCTTTACCTTTCTCTCTTTTTTTTTCCTCTTTCTGAAAATATGGAGGATAGAGACAACAACAGCAAAAAAAGAACACCAGAAGAAGCCACTTTAGTTTCAGAAAACAAGCGATTCCGAACTGAACTAAATGTATTAAAACCACCAGAACCTCTCATACAACTTGACTTGATTAATCAAATAAAGACGAAAAACGAAGGCTATGAGTTTAGGTTCATATCGAAAAAATGGTATGTACGTTGGGAAGCTTATTGTCTCGGTATCAATTCGCGCCCTCCACCTGTAAATAACTCGGCTATCATGAACGAAAAGAATAAGCTGAAGCAAGGATCGGAAATTGAAGAAGACTACTTGGTGATACCTTTAAGAGCTTGGAATTACCTTGTCTTATGGTAAAACACAATGGATGTTTTACTGTATGCTAACAATAGAGTAGGCATGGCCTTGTTGATCGCTCTCATGAATTAACATTTTTAAAGCCTAATATCGCTCCACCAACCAAAGTCAAGAAATTGTCCTCTAAACCCAAGTTTCTTGTGAAGAAGGAGCTCCTATCTGATCCAATTTATCATTTCAATGTGTATAGAGTGGGACAAACAACCAAAAGGAGTCAGTCGTTTACTATCTCAGCATCTTGCAAGGCTATAGAATTTCAAACCAGTCTCCTAAACACCCTGGATCATTCACTAGGAACACAAGAAACATTCAAACTTTGGCTCCTGAATCATGAAAACAACCACCTTTTATCTCGACTCAGAGGATCTTCTTCCTTTGTTATTACCACTCAATTCTTAAACGACAAACGCTTTGCTATTCAGATCGATACAAGTTCTATTTCTGACAGTTCTAAACTCATTGATATACTACCTCACAGCATGAATGCAAAGGAGTTTTATTTAGCAGTCAATCTTATAAAAAAAAAGCCTCCTCAAGAACAAGCAATGCCATTGTCTTACAAAAAGACATTAGGCTTGATTGGTTTACAAAATTTAGGCAACACCTGTTATATGAATTCAGCATTGCAATGTCTAAGTAACACGCCTCAACTCACACAATGGTTCACAAGTATGTATGTATTTCTTTGCTGGTATGAGTGTGTATAGACTGACATGAATTTAGACAATCACTACAAGCAGGACTTGAATACCAATAATCCACTTGGTTTAAATGGTGATTTAGCAAGTGCCTATGCAGCTATTCTTAAAGACATCTGGAAAGAGAACACAAACTTTACTACTGCTAGTCGGTCATCTATTTCACCTAGAGAATTCAAGGTTTGCAAATAATCACATAGCGCTGGATCTTAACCACTGTTTTAGAGTACATTTGAAAGGTTTAATCCACACTTTGTTGGTTTTTTACAACAAGATTCACAAGAACTGCTTAGTTTCTTGCTTGATGGTCTACATGAAGACTTGAATCGAGTTCATGACAAACCCTATATCGAAATACCTGATTTTGATAACCAGTTGTCTGATTTAGAGATTGCCACGCGATTTTGGCAGTATCATACAGCAAGAAACGATTCCATTATTGTTGATCTGTTTCAAGGACAATACAAAAGCCGATTGGTTTGCGATGAATGCAAGAAAGTCTCAGTAACATTTGATCCTTTTATGTATTTATCTTTACCATTGGCTCAACAACAGGACGAAAAGAAACGTGAGATAAACATTGTTTATGTACCTTATTTGCCCTCACAGAAGCAATTGAAAACGAAGGTTTATCTCGCTCAAGATGCTACTATAGAGCAACTCAAACAAGAAGTCGAAAACAATATAAATTTATCCTCTATCAATTATGAATATAGTGTAAGTTTTTTTTCTTTCTTTCTGATATTGATACCCATTTAACATTCACTAGTTGCTTGTAACAGAGATTGTTGCTGAAAGAATTTACAAAGTGTTTGATTCGACTGAACTTGTCAGTTCAATTCAACCAACTGATCATATCTATATCTACCAATTGCCCTGTCCTTCTTCTTCTTTAGACCATCCAGATTGGGTTATTTTCCCAGTTTATTGTTCTTTACAATCAAGTCTTCGTGATGACCATACGGATAAAGTTTCCCCTATACGACAATTTGGCTATCCTATCGTACTTGCCATGAAAAAGGGCGAGCTACAAGATGGGTTTGATCTGTATAGAGTCATTGTTCAACATATTGAACGCTATTGTATTGTTAAATTGTTTGAAGAAGACACATTGTCACCAACTATAGCACCATCCAAAAATGCGCTGTCTGTTGATCTGCCTCAACAGCCCATTCATACAACAGCCGCTGTTACTTCTGCAGGTGGTCGACCCACGACACCCGTGCCCAACTTATTTCAGATCAAAGTATTTGAATGTCAAACATCTAGCCCAGGATTATTTCCTCAAACAAGTCAAGCAACCGATTGGAAGAAGCCAGCATTTCAAGAAGACCTTGTTCAACAAGGCCAAGGTGTTATTATTGAATGGACTTTGCCTAAAGCACAGCAAGCATTCGGATCTTCTTTCTCTTCTATCAAAACAGATGCATGGCATGATTTTGACGAAACAAAAACAAAGAACGAGATCACACTTCAAGACTGTCTTGATGAGTTTACCAGTGATGAGCGATTGACAAGCGAAGACTCTTGGTATTGCCCACAATGTAAAAAGCATCAACACGCATCTAAAAAGATGGATATTTGGAAATTGCCTGAAATTATGGTAGTTCATTTAAAACGATTTAGTCAGTTCAGACGATGGGGAGAAACCAAGTTAAACACCTTTGTGGATTTTCCACTGACTGAGTTGGATATGACAGATAAAGTACTAGGTCCTCATGAGCATAGATTAGTATATGATCTATATGCTGTAGACAACCATTATGGTGGCATAGGAGGAGGACATTATACTGCATTCGCACAAAACTTTCTTGACAAAGAATGGTATGAATTTAATGATACACAAGTGACTAGAATAGAATCAAATGAAATCAAGGTAATTTATAGCTTAAACAATAGCATATGCTCATCGTAGTTAGACAAATGCTGCTTACCTTTTGTTCTATAAAAGACGTGCTTAATGCAAATAAAAAGGACTGTTATTTCACAAAAGAGTGTGTGATGCTTTTTTTTTTCTCTTTCAAGAATTATGTTTTTAACTTTTTATAAGCTAAGATGCAAACGAGTGTACCATCAGAGTTAAATAAACCTCCTAACAATCGTCGTCGTAAAAGACGTCCAAGAAACAGACGAAAGAAAAACAAAAAAGTAGAAACCCAGGCTGAAAACGCGCCAAAAGACCTGAATCTCGGTGACTTGATAGCGTAAGCCTATATATATATATATATATATTTTAAAAAAAAAGAGCAGTTATTTAATTATTATTAGTGAAGCACACGCTTTAGAGAAGCAGCTAACTGAACTACAAACACAACTTCGAATAAACTATTCTAATCTTCCAGGAAAAGAGCAAGGTCGTATTGCAAACGCGATTGCAACAGAACAAATAACAGCGACCGAAGACGAAATCAACTATGTTCGCAGTAGTCTTAAGACAACCTACCGACAATTGTTTGATACTGACCTTGTATATGCTGCAGCACATCATATTGAAGATAAAATTTGGCGATATATCTTTTATGCCAGTATTGAAGACATTCGAAGCAGGTTACGCAAAACCGAGAAAGAAAGTGACACAAAGCAACTACAAAAGACATTGTCTCAACGTATAGATGATGCATTCAAATTTTACCGAGAATTAAACCAGACTATTAAAGCAACATACCGTATCGAAGATACGAAAGTGTTTGGAATTGATTTGTTTCGACAAGCGTCCAATGTAGATGAAAAAATAGGCGTTTTACTTCAATCCAACTACAACTGTATGGGTGATTTGGCACGCTACCATGCTCAGCAAGCCAAGGGTACCAAGAAGGTTATGATGGAGTTTTGGTCAATGGCAAAGACATGTTATCAAAAGGCCGTTGATGTATATCGAAAGAATGGCAAGCCTTATTCTCAATTGGCTTTGGTATCTATGTCTAATGGTAATGCAATGGATGTTGTATGGTATTATTGCATGAGCCTGGCAGTGAAGCAACCTTCCAGTATAGGCAGAGACAATCTTAAGTCGTTTTATTCCAAAGTTCGATTTAATCTCTCTAAACCCCAACAAGATACAATGACAGGCATGATTTCGAAATTTGCAGAATCTTTTCTCCATATGCATCGCACAGTCATGTTTAACCACAAAGATCCTGGAGAGTTTAATGCTATGCTGTCTATAGCTTCTCAGTTAGGTGCTGCTTTATCTACATTGATTCTTTCTGTAAGAGACGAAGAAGAAGAAAAGACGCTGCCAAAGTCAACTCATTCTTCATTGCATATCGTCCGTACTACTTTAACACGCACTATTACCATTTTGATGATATCTGTCTGGATTGCAGGTGAAAGATTAAAAGACAAGGCTAATTATGCTGCTCGGCCTGTTATTTTATTGTCACAGATTCACATGTATACCTTTGCTTTCAAGCTATTGACTAGCGCGTATCGATCTTCACGTCAGGCATTTGAAGAAGTGAAAGACAGTCTGGGCGCTGATAAATACGCCAAGTTAGAGACCATGGTAGATGATGCATTGTTGCCTGGCTTAAGTATTTGGTGTACTTTTATCAGCACGAATCTCACAGCTGTTGCTCAATACTCAATGACAGCAACGAATGATACAAGAAACAGAGAACCTGAAAAAAAGACGTTGGTCAAGGTAATAAACCGTGCATTTACTGTGTTTACTCAAAGATAGTGTAGTCTATTCAATCGTTACTTTCTCTTTTGATTAGTCATCCTTCCTTTCCTGATCCTGTGCTTCATGTATTACCACCTACATATCCCGTATCTGAAGACTTGCTTTTACTTGGTCTTATTCCTTTACATAGTTTCCATTCCCAAGTTGATTTCTTCAAAGAAGTCATGTATGAAGTTATGGACGAAACAAGCCCTGATGCTCGAAAGCAAGTACGTTGGGGCCGTATTCGTGGTATGATCAAGAAACTTGCTGATTCAAGCTCGTTTGATTTTATCCATTATAACACAGCAGAGCAAAAATACAGTATTATTGATGAAAATGCAAAGCGACAACAACAAAGTCGGTTTATGAAGGCATTAGCTACTCAACGTCTGATGGAACAAGTCTCTTCATTAGAGAAGAATGTGAGCCGCATGACAATCAAGCCTACAGTACCAAATCAAAAGCGCGACGTGTATACGTGTGTGGTGGACATTACGGCCTTTTTGGATGGACTTGTCAAGGTTAAGAAATGGGCCAGTCAGACATTGAATGTAGACAAACGATCCCAAGCAAGTATTTTGGAAGTGATTGTGCCTTTGGAAGTCATCGACGCGCTTGATGATCACAAAAAGGGCACTTCGCACATGAATATGCAAGCAAGAGAATCCATTCGTTTCTTAGATCAAAAGTTGTTGAATAAGACGACTGAATCCACGCCCACAGCATCTTATCTTCGTACTCAAAAAGTAAATGAGAAGTTAGCTGATTGGGAAGATGCAAAAGATTTTTGGATTGGCGAAGAAAGTCGGTCAAATGTGATGGAAAACTTGTTATCTGAAGGGGAGAATACTGAGGATGATACAAGTGATGCAGAATCAAAGAGTTCTAATGAAGATTTACTTGCAAGGATGAGAAGAAAAGGGGATTCTGAATCCGAGGAAGAAGCAAGCTCTGAAGAAGAAGAGGAAGAGGAAGAAGTATATGACTATCAGGAAGATTTTGCTGAAGAAGACGAAGAGGAGGATATCCCATATACTCTAGAAGATGTTCCCAAATCGTACAGACCAATTTTGAGTTGTGTATTATATTATTACAGCAAGCAATCAAGCAATGATACAGCAGAAAAACTCGTCCTTGTCACCAATGACGAAGACTTAGCTTGGTGGGCCGAACTCTTTGGCAACCCCAAAACAGGCAAGCGCTTACTGATCAAGACAGTGAATGAATGGGATCAGATGGTCAGTAAAATTGATTTTGAAAAAGAATACGAATATTCTTGGAAACAGCGTTAAATAAAGACATGTTGTTTACTTTTTATTAAAAAACATTTCAATTTATTGCTTCTTGGCAGCCTTAACAGCAGCACCGACGGCGAAACGACGCTAATAAAAAAGAATAAGCATTCACATCACACACACACACATTTTAAACTTACTTGGTTCTTGAGCTTGGCCAACTTGAAACGGTCAAAATCGGACAAGTTAGCACGGACCTTGCGTTGTTCGAGCTTCTTAGCCCAAGCAGTCTTGTTCCAAGCAGCAACAGTCTCGTTCTTTTCCAAAGCCTTGGCAAGGGCAGTCTTACCAACGTTGCGAGGAAGGTTCTTGAGGACAAGAGGAGTCAAGACCAAACGCTTGTAGGGGAAAGCTTGACGAACAACACCGGTGGTGGGACCATCGATGAGAGCCTGTAAATATATGTGTAAGTGAAGTTCATGATGCCTCCATGTTGTTACTTACGCGGTTGTGATCAATGATATCGACAATGACGGCCAACTTACCGGCATCAGCACCGTTGTTGATAAGGACAACACGGCCAACTTCGACTTGACGCTTGAAAGAACCTTGCTAAAAATAAATATAAGTAACGATTCTAATGGCACATGTTTTCTATTTCATCACGCCCCCTTTTTCTCTCTCCTCTCACTCGCTCTATTGATATCATTTTCGGTAAACATCCTCTTTTTTTTTTGTTGAATCCATGCATCTGTCATCTATCATCTCTCTACCTCTCTCCTCTCCCCCTTCCCCTTCCCCTTTTCTCTCTCTCTATAAGATACGTACAACCATTGTTATGGATTATATAGTCAGAGAAAGAACGTTGAATTTGATGCATTCAACTACACATTTACAGGCTCCCAAAGGACCTGAGAGCCGAACCGGACATGGTATCGGGGATCGAATATGGCTCAGGTCCGAGTAGGTAAAGAAAAAGATCAATCATGTCAAAAAAAAAAAATTTATAAAGGATTGCTCTAAGTCTATGATTAAAAGCAAAAGCGAAGAAAGGAAAATAATTTACTCTTTTGTTTTTGTTTGACTGTATAAAGTCAATGTTTGAAAAAAGTTTTTTTTAGAATCTTATGATCTTAGTTCATGCAATATCGGTAACTTGAAGAGACTCAGCTTGTTATTTTTTATCTTAAACAAGTCTAATCTGAGTCAAGATTATCACTAAAATGACTGTTACAGAAAAGCGCGTTGGTAGCTTTTATCTTTACCAAAAATGTGTTCAGTATATATATATTTTTACAGTCAATGTCACTCAAGCCTATCTGTCATTTAATATTAATTTTGAGCCAATAATTAGCCTTTTAAAGTAGTTTCTAATGGAGCCCGGTCTCAAAGAGTACAAAAAAAAAAAAAAAAGATTACATTCCTGATGCGTTTTGATAAAAAAAAGGGGCGGGGGCAGCAAATCATGCGTCAAGCAATAATTTTTCGCACTATATTTAATAAATGTAGATCTTTTTTTTGTTAGTGTTGTTTGACAAACAAGAGTTATGCAATAATAATTAGAAACAAATATTTTTTCTTGAGCTTCGAAAATGATTTCAACAATAAATTTCTAGAACAAAACCCCCCAACCAAGTGACAAGTTACGAGGCCTCTAACTCTATATTGACTTCAGCCAATGTGCATGTTGTCCTTTGTTACAATTTGCTTTGCCAATAACAAACACTACATAGTAGTATTTTTATATCAATATACTTTTTTAGATGGTCATATTGTTATGCTGAACGCATGTTACATGAAATCGTCATCAGCCTCAAAGTAATATAAAACAAAAGCCATTATCAAGAATTTCCTTATCTGGTCATCCTCCTAATTGAACAAACACTTCTTTTCCACTTATTTTATAGTTACAAAATCATAGCACCAATAATAAAATGCAATTTAATTGTTGGTATCATTTCAAAGAAAAAAAAACAACAATAAATAACCCTAGAAAACTATTACAGGTATCAACTTGGGTCTCTTTTTAGTGCTCCGATATGTTTCTAATTATAAAAAAAAAAAAAAAAAAAAAATTGGAAGAATATATAAAAAGTTCTGATTTTTGTTTTCTTTTTTTTTTTTTTTTTTTTTTTTTTTTTGATTATCATTTACACTGAATGAAATTTCTCTTTCTTTTTCTTTTACTTGTTACAAGCTTATTCAGTCTTGCTCTTAGTCTGCCAATTACTGAGAGTGTGCCAACACCTACAAACACTCTAAGCAATGACAGCTTGTCTGATCAAGACGACACAGTAGCAACACAAGAACAAGAGGAAGTGTTTCTAGTCCAAATCGATAGATTGGCCCAAGTCATTGCTACCCACCTTCAATTTGACCATCTCGATGCAGTTATTAGTAGTACAGATAAGGAGATTGCTACTGAGTTCCAGCATCACATCCAAATCAATGTTGAGCCCAACAACGAAGCTTACAAAGAGTCTATGTTGCACAATCAACAACAGGAAGAAGAAGAGTTACCTACACTGGACATGATGGATCTCGAAATTTTGAAATCTCAAATCTTTGCAGCTATTCAAGCCCATACTGAAGGAAGCTTGCCATTAACTTGGGATAAACTAGCAGAGAAGCTCACTCGGCAATCTATTGAATCCTATCTACGCAAATCAGTTGCTCAGACTTGTGCTAATGACCAACAAGATACGGTTCTTTCTTCTTGTCTTTCTGATAATGCCATTCCACTTGCAAATGATCTGGATCAATACATTATGGAAGGCCTTGCTCAAGTATTTAAATTACTCGATAAACAAGCATTACCAGACTTACTTCAACACACTGCCAATGACTTGAAAGGTATTCTGAATTACTTCAACTCTGCCTTTCTTCAAGATGGAAACAGAAAGTTTGTACTTCAGGTCATACCTTGGAATAATGATCCGACAGATATTCACGGATTCGAGTCAAAATTGTTAGACATGGCCGTTCACCCGTCCTACGGTGAAACAAGCCATTCCACTGCATTTTTTATTGAATATGCTACCATGGCACGAGTTTAGATTTTTCTGTACATTCAGCAAAAAAAAAAAAAAAAAAACCCCCTCCCCATCAAAACGAAAAATACCCCCTTTTTTTTTCTATCAAAAAATGAAGAAAAAAGTCGTTTTTTAGATATACACATACATTCGTAATATTTGTAAATAGTAATAAAAATTATACGCCAGTCAATTTGGCACGTGCGGTTATTTTCAAAGTTCATTATCATGAAAAGGTCTACTTTAAGATAAAAAAAATTTTTTTTCCCTCTTTGAATCTCCTGTCTAAAAGGGGGAGAGATTGATCCTTCTCTTTTAGTGCGTTGATAAACTAGAGTTATATGTCATTTTGTTTTCATAAAAGCGTAATATTATTTATCTCTTTAACCTTAAAGAGAAGTATAACGTAGATCTTGGCAAAAATATATCATACAAAAATTTAGTGTTCTTGAATTTCTATTTGGCTTAAAAAAACTGACTAAAATCAGCTCCTTTTTTTAATTAAGCTTTAGCACGTATTGACTTCAAGACAAGCCTCCAACATCTTGCTCTAAACACACACACACACACACATTTAAAGGTCTAAACTGATTATTCGCTTTTGCGCGTCGAATACGAAAACAAAAATCCTATCACAAACATGCGCATGAATAGCAAAGAATGAAGGGGGATATTGAAGGGCTCAGGACAAAGTCTACAGATTATACTCAGTGAAACAGGGACTTTAAGATAAACATGATTTATCAAACGTCAAATGATCCTCAAAACACGAAACATAATTAAATAATCGAAGAACTTATGGATATTTTCATTTTCTTAAGATTGCAGGGGAGCCAGCGGCGAACCACCAACTCCCCCTAAACAAAAATTATGGCCTCGAGACATCCGAAGATGTTCGCAGCAAGGCTAACCGTCGCTGTGCAATGACAATCAGCCCTACTGTACATCCGGGATTCTTGATACCAGATGCACGACCCAGGTAAGTATGAGTTGCAATCGATTGCAAAATGACCTCCTTTATATACTTTTTTTTTCTTGAGTTGACGTGACCGCTTCCTACACTTTTAACAGTCTAAAGACAGTCAACAAGAACGTCATGAAATTTTTTTTAGCCTTTTGCACATGCATCATGCATGATTATTTGTCCGAAATAACACCGTCATGTTGACTCCTACTTCTTACTTTTTTTTCTTAGGAAAATGAAGTAGAATGCATCGTCAAGATTAAAACTTGTTGATAGACGAGCCTATTCTTATGAAAAAGTAAGATAAAGGAATAGAGAAACAGGTTATGGCTTTTTCTTTTCTACAAGTACCAGTCACTTTGTTTTTTTTTGAGAAACAGCTGGATTATAAAAGACGAGACTTGTTTTTATTGCCTTTTTTTCTCTTTACACATCACCGAGACTCTTTAACTATTTGTACTTTTTTACTGTAGTACTCTAAGTCACTCAGTACTCGAAGAGCTATTAGTTTTATCAGACAACGGATCATGATTCAAAACTATTTTATAGTTTTGAACTTGAATGTTCTGTTCACAGATGAAACTTTATTTCTTAAAATAAAACAAGAAAATGAAAAAAAAAAATATCTCGCCAGAGAGACAAAATACCTGCGGGAAACCTTATTGCTTTTTTTTTGTGCGATGGAAATAGTTTCCGTGGGAGAAAGAAGCCCTGATGTTATTAAGTAAAAAAAAAGGAGGATATATATGGTCAGCTGAAACAAGACTTGAATAAATGACAAATATTGTTTGTTTTCTCTTTCCCCTTATCTCTCTCTTCTCTACTTTATATGACTACAACACCCAAGAATGAAAGACCTCGCCGTCTTTCTATGCCTAAATTAACTCGTCGTTTGACAAATGTTACTATTCACGTCAATGACGATAAGGACAATTTGGAAACTGTTACTACTTCTAGTGTTCCTTCCAGTACATCCAAACACGTCAAGTTAGAGGCAGAAGCTTTGAAAGAATGGAAGCAGCACATTAAGCCAAAAGCCAACGATACTGAGTCTATCAAGAAAGACATTGTTCAACATACGGTCGAGACTTTGGGCCGTAGTCCTTATAATTTAGACTCAATGGCTGTCTATAAAGCTGCTGCTTATTCTGTGCGGGATCGTCTATTAGAAGATTGGAATGCTACTCAAGAAGCTGTTCATAATGCGAACCCTAAGCGCTGTTATTATCTGTCTATGGAGTTCTTGATTGGTCGCGCTCTTGATAACGCATTGCATTGTTTGGAAGTCAAGGATGCTTATAAAGATAGTATCAAGGACTTGGGATTCTCTATTGAGGACTTGTTGGAACAAGAACGCGATGCTGCTTTGGGAAATGGAGGTATTGTAGTTTTTTTTTCTCTCTGTATGTCTTTATTGATCTTTGTTATCATGATAGGTTTGGGTCGTTTGGCTGCATGCTATATGGATGGTGCTGCTACTCTTAACTATCCTATTTGGGGTTATGGCTTACGCTATCAATACGGTATCTTTAAACAATTGATTAACAGTGAAGGCTACCAGACCGAAATGCCTGATTACTGGCTTAGTTCAGATGGTAATCCTTGGGAATTCCCTCGTAGTGATATTCGTTACGAAGTTCAATTCTATGGTTATGTTGCCACCAAGGTGAATGAAAAGGGAGAGTCGCGTTTATCTTGGGAAGGCGGTGAACGCGTACAGGCCATGGCTTATGATGTTCCTATTCCTGGTTTTGATACCAAAAGTTGTGGTAACATTCGTCTCTGGTCTTCCAAACCTCTCAAAACATTTGATTTTGCTTCTTTCAACGATGGTGACTATGATCGTTCTGTGGCTGATCAAAAGAACGCTGAAAACCTGACTTCCGTACTTTATCCTAATGATAATCACTTGGTGGGTAAGGAACTACGTCTGAAGCAAGAATACTTTTTTGTGAGCGCTTCTCTTCAAGACATCATTCATCGCTTCAAACGTTCCAACTGTGCTTGGAAAGATTTCCCTGATAAAGTGGCTGTTCAACTGAACGACACACACCCAGTCTTGGGTATTCCAGAGCTTCAAAGATTGCTTGTGGATGTAGAAGGACTGCAATATGACGATGCATGGGACATTGTCACAAAGTGCTTCAGTTTCACTAACCACACTGTTCTTCCTGAAGCCCTTGAACGCTGGTCTGTTCCTCTGATGGAAAAAGTACTTCCTCGTCATATGCAAATTATTTACGATATCAACTTGTTCTTTTTGCAAAAGGTCGAGAAAATGTATCCTAATGATCGTGGTTTGTTGAACCGTGTCTCTATTATTGAAGAATCCAATCCTCAACAAGTCCGTATGGCCTACCTTGCTGTTGTTGGTTCTCACAAGGTCAATGGTGTAGCTGCTCTTCATTCTGAACTGGTCAAGTCCCAATTGTTCCCTGACTTTATCAAGTATTATGGTCCTGACAAGTTTATCAATATCACCAACGGTATTACTCCTCGTCGTTGGCTTTATCAGGCCAATCCTGGTCTGCGTGATTTGATCACTGAGACATTAGGATCTAAGCGTTGGGCAACCCATCTTGATGAACTTCAAGAACTGAAGAAGTACGCAGAAGACCCTGAATTCCAAAAGAAATGGATGAATGTCAAATTGGACAACAAGAAGCGTCTTGCTAGCTACATCAGGTCTCATTTGGGTATTGATGTGGATCCTCATGCTTTGTTTGATATTCAAGTGAAGCGTATTCATGAATATAAGCGACAATTCTTGAATATCCTCGGTGTTATTTACCGCTACAAGAATATCTTGTTGCTCAGTCCTGAAGAACGCAAGGAACTGACACCTCGTATCTTTATCTTTGCAGGAAAAGCAGCACCAGGCTATTATATTGCAAAGATGGTGATCAAGTTGATCAATACAGTAGCCCAAGTCATCAACAATGATAGCTCCATTGATGATCTTCTTAAAGTTGTCTATATTCCTGATTACAATGTCTCACTTGCTGAAATTATCACACCTGCCTCAGATATCTCTCAGCATATCTCTACCGCTGGCACTGAAGCCTCAGGTACTTCCAACATGAAGTTTGTTCTTAATGGTGGCTTAATTCTCGGTACTGTTGATGGTGCTAATATTGAAATTCGAGATGAAGTTGGTCAAGACAACATCTTTATGTTTGGTACTTTGGCTGATAAAGTAGAAGACATTCGCCATCAACAGAAATACCATGGCGTTGAGATTGATCCTAATCTTAATGTTGTTCTTCAGTCCATTCAGTCTGGTGAATTTGGTGATCCTAGTATTTTTGGCCCTCTTATCAACACTTTAACTTATGGCGGTGATTATTACTTGATTTCTGCTGATTTTGAAAAATATTTGGATACCCATGATCTTGTTGATGCTGCTTATAAAGATAAGGCAAACTGGGCCAAGAAGTCTATTCTTTGTACTGCTGGTATGGGATTCTTCTCTTCTGACCGTGCTACTAAAGAGTATGCTGATAAGATTTGGCATCTTGAACCTGTCTCTATTGAATAAATCATTTAAAGCCACAGACACATATTTTTTTTCCCTCTCTTTCTCTTTAAACGCGTTTTTTTTTTCTTTTTCTTTTTCTTTTGTGTTGATCATGACGAGTAAGTAACAAGAATAAAGAAAGAGAGATCACCAACACCTTGTCAAAGGCAAGAATAATGAGGAACAAAAGCGTATTATGGAAGAATATTCACAATGGAAAAAGACAGCACCTGTTTTATATGATATGGTTATCACACATAATTTAACTTGGCCTACGTTAACTTGTCAATGGTTACCAAAAAGGACCATGTGAGTCTTGTAGTATTTCTTCTTCTTCTTCTTATTCATTTATTAGTGTCAATGGCTTTGTTAAGCAACAATTACTGATTGGCACACATACAAATGATGAAGAAAGTAATTATGTACAGTATTTGGATGTTGATATTCCCGAAAAGGGACTCGATACACCAGAAGAACAAAAGACAAAGATGTACATTACTCAAAAAATAAGTCACGAAGGAGAAGTCAATAAGGCACGTTATCAGCCTGACCATCCTGATGTGTTTGCAACCAAGACACGGGATGGTGATGTTCTTGTGTATGATAAAGACCAACTCTTATTGAGACTCAAGGGACACACAATGGAAGGCTATGGGTTGGCATGGAATCCCCATAAAACAAGTCATTTATTAAGTGCTGGTTTTGATAATTTGATCTGTCATTGGTAAGCTATTTTATAGTGATTCTATGGCGTCTAATTGTAGTATAGGGATATTGGCTTAACACCCAACAATGATAGGGAATTACAGCCTTATCAAACATATGCAGGTCATACGGGCTGTGTAGAAGTAAGTACAGATAGAAGACTAATAAAAGGATACTTATCATGATGACAGGATGTAAGCTGGAATTCAGCTAATGATAACCTTTTTGCTTCTGTTGCAGATGACATGAAGCTTATGTTGTAAGTAACAGAATTGTTGATTTCTTTATTCACCCTTGATGTGTCTCTTAGATGGGATTGTCGCGATTCTGTCAAACCCGTACAGCAAGTACAGGCTCATCAAAATGAAGTCAATTCTGTGGCTTTTCATCCCAACAAAGATTGGATGTTGGCTACTGGTAGTTCAGATAAGGTAATTGAACGCATCACACACACACACACATATATATATATGTATATAAAAAGCTGATTCATGCTTAGACTGTCGGATTGTTTGATATTCGCAAAATGAATGAGAAATTGCATTCCATGGAAACACATGAAGGGGAAGTGACACAAGTTGCTTGGAGTCCCCATGATGATCCTATCTTGGCATCAGCAGGTGCTGACCGCAGGATTGTTATTTGGGACCTGAGACGTATTGGGCAAGAACAGACACCAGAAGATGCTGAAGATGGTCCACCAGAAATCATGGTAAACAAACAAATACATGGAATAATATTAACTTTAATTCTTTTATAGTTTGTCCACAGTGGTCACACAAGCCGCATTTCTGATTTTAGCTGGAACCCTACAGATAGATGGGTATTAGCAAGTGCAGCAGAAGATAATGTTGTACAAATATGGCAAATGGTAAGCAAACACTTTATTTTATTTCCTTCTCGCTTACTCTTATTTGTTTAGTCAAGAAATATCTATGCAAATACAGATTCTTTACAGGTAGCTTCGTCGCAATTAGAATAATATTTATACATATATAAATAAAAAAAGGTCTTTATTTATTATATGCACGTGGATAAGCCCATGTATCTTACTTTTTGCTTGTCTGTTCCGTCATCAGTATCCAATCATTTTTTCATGTTGATGAGAAAAAAAGGGGGCACAGACAAATAATGGGTCCGAGTCAGAATATTTTTTTTTTCTTCATCATTTAGATATAAATACGCATCCATACACACTCTTTGTTTCTTTATCTATTATTTCTTTATATATCATGAGTAATCTTAACTGGTGCACATACTGTGATAATGCTATCAACTCCTTTTCTGTAAGTATAGTTTGTATATCAAATCAAATGATTAACAACAGTAGAATTCTCTGTATTGCTCTGAAGAGTGCTTAAGATCAGATGCTCTTAACCATCATCCACTTTTGGGCTATGACTATGCTGAACTCAAAGACTTTCCTCGTTCCTCACCTGTACTCAGTGCCACAACATCTTCTTCTTCATCTACTCGATCTCTATCGCCACTCATGTCTCCCACTCCTTCATTCAAGGAACCTTCTAATTTCAACTTGAATTTTGACCAAGGAGAAGAACAAGAAGATTCTGTTTACCAACACATTTATCTTCAGAAGCCCACTCATCAAAAGCAAATCAAGAAAAACCATCAAAAACCTATACCCATTTACTTGCAATCATGGACAGTAACACACAACGAAAGCGTCTTTTAATACAAACAAAAACAAACAAATATACCCCCCTCTTCTTCTTGTCAACATCAATCTATTCTACTGTTAAAAAAATCTTATCTATTCATTGCTTCATTTTACACAACTTGCATTTTTCTTTCTCTTGTATAATAAAAAAAAAAATTATTGATAATCTAACCCCCCTTGCTCTTATCAGATTTCTATAATCCAATCAGTATGCAGTGATTTATCTGATTATTCCTTTTGATCCTGACTTTAAACCTTGATTATGACTCAAATTATTTTTAATAAAAAGTACAAAAAATTAATATTAAATCTATGGTATCTGGCTTGTAGCAAGCGCAATCATTGTGTTTGCATTACTCAAGTCTTCTTCTGACTGGTCGCTTAATCTTCTTAACAAATGGTCTTGGGACATGCTTGAGGCCAACATATCATGAGGATGGTGAGTGGTTAGCTCCTTTTTTTGTATGGCTTGTTCTTGGCGCAGAAAAGCAAGATAGTCTGGCTTCTTTTGACTAAAACATTGCTCCCACATTTGTAGTGAGTTTAGACTTGGTAACTGGATATACATGTCGGACCATCCTTGTCCATGTATTTTTAGTACATAGTCCTCGAGTTTGGTAGAATAGACAGAGACATGGGAATACGACATGACTGTACCCTTCTTAGCATGTTTCTAAATAATTTGATTAGCATTGGAGTCAAATGATGTGTTGAACTCACTGAAAAATGAGAAAAATAGCCTAGCCAAGGAAACACCATGATGTGATGCATTTCCCATTGCGACAACCAAGGAAAATAGCGAAACACTTTCCGAATAGGCATTTCTCCTTCATGGACTTCGATAAAATTACCTTGTCCGTTCTTGGGTGTTGTTGAAGAGCTTGCAGCACTTGGTTTACGTCTACGCAACTGAGCGTCGTCGTCATCTTCCTCGTCATCATCGTCATCTAATACAGGATTGTCTGAAGCCAAAATTTGTTCAAGACTCAATAATTCGTTGCCATGGGCCGATTGTCGATCGTATAAGTGGCTCGGTGTAGCATTTGTCGACTTGAGAAAAGAAAAGATGGTTTTCCGATTATTCGCTGATGGTTTTTCTTGTCCTTCATCTTGCTTTCTTTCATTGAGTTTGATTCGAAAGAACGCTTGAAGTTTTGGTAAAAAGAGGACGAGCAAAGAAAAAGAAGTAGCCCAGAGTACAGCAATTACTTCAATGTAATATTTTGTATAGAAATCGGCTAATGGATTTACAACGACAGCAAAGCCCACAAGTGCAGAAAACAAAATGTTGCTATCTCAATGATCAGTTACATTCTTTGAGACAAAAAAAAAATTAGACATACTATACAGAAAGGCCCATTTGTTTACATTCACTATATCGACTGTATTGCTTGCCTGCAAATCTTGTCTTGTAAGCGAGAAAAGTAGCAAACAACAGTAAACATGCTGCATAGATTGCAGTTAATACTAGGAACACAATCTTATTGTTGCCTTGTGGCTCACATGACCAATAATGGCTTGAGTAAGACACTTCAAATTTTGAAGGAACAGGTCTTGCTACTAATAAACCTACAACAAGTATAATCTGATTCTATAAATACAAAGTGACCAAGCATGGCTTTTGTGCTCACCACATCCAAACCCACAAGCACAAACACAGTTCTGATCAAATGGGAGTCTGTAATTACATTTCGTGTAATAAAGATATTGTTGAAAATACGATAGATGCGATAGTTTTTGGCAATCATATTTCTATATTAAGTGTTAACAGGAGTGCATGTTAAAATTTATCATACGATTTACCCTATCACCAGTATGAAACCCAGACTAAAAGCAACTGGCGTAACAATACACGAAGTAGCTGTAGGTATGCCGATCATCAACATAACAGAAGCATAAGTCAGCATAAATCCAATCAATTCTAGACAACAAAAAAGCGGACTAGGCCAATAAAAGTCAATACCACATATTGTGTGTATCCTCCCCACTTACCTGGAAGCCTTAAAGACCTCGTGTTTACGGTAGCATAATACAACAAAGAAACAAAAAATAGCAAACAAGATGCCCGCTGAAGAAATGGCCATGATAGCATGTGCGATGGATGAGTTGATACCTGGATTTAAAGACACACTGGGTGGTGAATCTAAAGGAGGCTAGAGCAGACGATAAGCATTCTTCATGGTTATAAGCCTTCACTTGCCTGACTTGTGCCATCAAAAAACATAGGTTGGGCAGTTATGTTTAACATGCCTCCCGTACTTTTACCGACAATGGTTTTATTACCATGCTGCAGATTGTAGACAAGATAGTTACTAAACAAAATATATAAGAACAATAAACAAATACATCATTATTTTTACCCAGTTGTTAAGTCACCATTGGTATCATAATTCATTTGTCCTTCTGGTCCAACGTAGCCAACATTAAAAGCACTAGGTATCATTTCTTCACCTAACCCGCCACTTGCTAATCGAAGCAACTGTTCTGTTTGATTTTTGCTGCCACTGATTTTTTTTCCGAACCCTTCAGCCATAACCATCATGCAAGAATATGCTAAACTAATGTAGTATTGAGTCATGTCGTGCATAAAGAAAAAAAAAGGTGTTATTTTTACCCTTCATAAGAAGAAATACTTCGATGTCCAGCATAAGGATATCTAACAAGATGTCAATACATAAAGCTCTTTTTTTTTTTCGCTAGACTTACGCATCAGGATTTAAAAGTGACCAAGCATCAAGAAAATTTTCAAAAGGAGGGTAGCCATCTAAAGAAAGCCAATTATCAAATAAAAACAAGCCTTGATAATCAGTTGCATAATCAATTTTGGAAGTATGGTTGTTGTTGTATTTCTCGACGCTTGCCTGCAAGTCTTTTGTCGTGTCACCCATCATAAGCCAAACATAATCCTTACTGAGTAAGCCTAATTCATGCGCCTGAATTAAAAGTTGACTTTGTGGAATCGATGTCGCAGCCACCATAATAATGCGTGCACCACCATTTGTAATATTTCTTAATGCACTATTCATATCTTCTGTTGTACTCGTTGTTGGAATGGCTTGATAATGTAGAATATGAAGATCCATTGAAGTCGCTTGAATCAATGCTTTTTGATAAACTTGAAAAAAAAAAAGAGGGGAAGGTGTCAGTATGAGGAAAATGAAGCATTCTGCCTACATTGTTGCCCAAGTGGATCGTCTGTGTATATCACACCTAGCTTGTTCCATCCTTGAGTAGATGCAAATGAAAGCATGACATCTGCAATAATGACTTGAGTAGGTATCGTTCTAAAAAAATATTTATATTGTGTTTTATCTGAAAATGCAACTATATACATAGATGTCAGTGTTTTTTTTCGGTCTAGGGTCAAATGGGCTGAATATTTACTCGCATTAGCAGTATATGAACATTGTGGTATCTCAAGTGTAGAAGTCATTAGAGCACTTAGACTTGTCCAAGAACTCGAAATATCACCTATAACACCAATAACACCTTGTTGTAATAGCGTTACAGATGCATAAACTGCGTTTGTTACAGCCATTTGATCAAGTGATGTATCAGGAAATGAGTCTTTTTCAATCAATGTGATATAGGCGCCTGGAATAATTTGTTTGATGTTGATTTCGTTTACTGCCATTCGAATAGCCGAAGATCCACTAATATAGAAAAAAAATTAAATATGTCTTGTTTGAGCCTAGGTGGTTTACCCCCAAACAATTTGTGCTGTAAGGTCATCCTTTTTTTGTGTAAAAGGTAACAAGACACCAATCTACTTGATCATATTAATACTTAAAAAAATTAGGTTTGAAATACTTTTAATTCAGTTTTTCCTGTGGTGTTATATCTAGGTGAAATATAGACTGTGCCATTATCTGTTTGATTAATACTGTTGTAAAGGTCGTCAACAAGCGATCTCCCAAACGCCATTGAGTTGAAGGCAGGAGATTCCATAAAGACAAAGAAAAAAAAGAAAGAATAAGAAAAAGAGATGCAGGGTGATCAATTCACAATAATTAATAACAATAAAATAAGAAAAGGAGACGAATAGGAGAAAGCTCTTTCTCCTTGGGTGCGTTTCCCCTTATTGCATAAACATATATGTTACACGAACACGCACTAGTTTATTTTGTATGATGGTCTAATCGCTGTAACCAATCTTCTGGTATGGAAGGCACAATATTACTTTCTTTAGCATTCTTTTCTGCCAATAGCTTTTGCTTTAGCTGCAAGTAAATCGTGTCCGATAAGGTACTATTGTCAGATATTTGAGGCTGTTTATCTCTCCAGCCTGAATAGTTGGTCGTGGTCGGTAAAGAAAATGGCAACATGTATTTTGAGTCTCGCTTTTCGGTAATGGAATCTCTATTATTTGATTCAGCCATATCGTCTTCTTGGCTTACGGAAAATCTCTGTTGTTGTTGTTGTTGTTGTTTTGGCTGAGAAATGCTGAAATGTAATAAGCTGCCGAGGCTTGAAATACTAGTTGGTCTGTTTCGGTCTATGGACAGAGATACTTTCTTTTCTTCTTGTATGCTCTTGAATGTATCTTCTGCTAATTGCATCGTATATTTCTCTATTTCTTCTGGCAATTTTGCTTCTGATACTTCGTAGTGATAATCAAGCACAACTCTTTTTAGCTGGATTGGATTTAAGAGGTCAAATGCCTTTGTCGTTGTAATAAAATCCATTAAATCTGTCAACTGAGACATACATTGCAGCACTTGCAATAATTGAATCACAGGATCAAAATAAGCGTTCAGCGTGTTGGGTAGTTGGTATTCCCTCACCCATTCTTCTAGTACTGTCATGTTCATTCGAATCTGAAGTGCTTTTGAGCGACACAGATAACGCTTGTTTGATAGGATATGATTGAATATTTCGCACGACAAGTAATGAAATAGTTGTGCGATAGCTTGAATTACAATCACTGGATGAACTTCATATGAATGTAAGACATAAAGAATGGACGAAAGCAAATTAGTGACTGATTGAGGTGATAGAATTGGCCTGATGTGGTCTTGAGCAATCCATGATTTACGATGAGCAGAAGGTGAAGAGACAGAAGTCCGACTTCGGCGAAAGAATCGGTGCCAATCATCAGCAAATTCAACAGCTTCTACTTCCAGTGGTTCAAATTCAAGTATAGCTGGTTCAAAAATACGTCCTAGTCGTTTTTCAGAATCCATCACAAGAAAGTTGTATGATTCTGATATTAGTTCTGACATCTCAAGCTGAAATTCCGCAGTAGCAACGACAAGTCCAGGATCCTTTTTCAAATAAAAAAGTAGTTGAGATACATTTGATATCCAAAACGCAATGGTATGAACATTATTTTCATTAAGCTACACATAAAATTAGAACTAACAAAAATAAGCTTTACTTGCCTTGATCACTTGATTCATTCTTTCTAGTGTGCTGGATAACAATTGATGTAATAACTCTCTGCTTGTAAAATAATGAGCAAATCTGGCACTCAGAAAGATAATGTTTGCAGGGACGTAGATTTCTGCTTTTGATTTCATTGGTAATTCCAGTTCTGTAATGGCAATATTCAGAATGTGATTCACTTCTTCTTGAGCAAACACAAACATTTGGTCAGGTAAACATTCATCCCAAACAAATTTATGAACTGATCGAAAACTAGCTCTACAAACTTCGAGTTCTTTTTCTTCTTCTTGTTTGTATTCTACTGTTGCTGTTTTTATACTGCATAATGATTTTCTCTTTTCTTTTAGTACGCTGGGTTGTATAGTCAAGGTAGAAACCATTTTTGCATTTTCTACATCCACAAGATCATAAATGGTTCTGCCACTTTTTGATTTCGTTTCAAAAGAAGCACTGTGCTCCAATAACACTTGAGCAATTTGACTATGACCATTTGTAGTTGCCCACATAAGCGCAGTCCAACCAACTAAAGGAGAAAAGTTTAGTTTTAAATCACATCTTTATCATATGCTTTACTTTTATCTTGTACATCTACTTTTGCTCCAACTTCTAATAAGAACTTGACTGTTTCAAGCTTACCAAAACAGCTGGCATAAATCAATGGTGTAGAACCATCATTTTCATCATCTGCCAAGTCCAGATTTAAAAATGGACGTAGCGTTTGATTCATTAAGGTATGTCTCAGTGCTTGAACATCACCATGGGATGCTGAGCGACATATAAATTCAGATAGCTTCTGTTGCTTTTTATCATTGCTTGAGTTTAGGAATTCCTGCAAAAACATATCGTACGCATAAAGATGAATTGGATAATGATCCTCTTCGTCTTCTTCATGATTCGTCAATAAAGTGGAACAAGAAGAGCTTGTGGATGACCATGAAAATGTATTTTTTCTGTTTGTTCTCTGGTCTTGTTCATCATCATTTGGGTTATTCATGTACGCGTTTTAGAAAGAAGAAAAAGAAACAGAAAGAAAATACACTTGGACTTGATAAACAAACAATCTTTTCTGCCCCTTATTTTATATTATTTAGGGAGAAATAAAGGAGAATGAAAGCTAAAGGGGCTTATTGTGTATTTTAAGTTCAATTGTTCTTTTATCAATAAAATACTAATCATACAATTGATATGCACATAAACGATTTGTTTATTAAATTTAATCAAAGAGACCGAAACCCATGTCATCATCTTCTTCCTCCTCTTCTTCTTCAGCAGCAGCGGCAGCAGGAGCATCAGAAGAAGCAGCAGCAGCAGCGGGAGCGGCAACAGCAAAAGCTTCAGGGTTGGCGATGAATTCCTTGATTTGTTCAGAACCAGGGAAAGTGTAGTCGGAAGCGACAGAGACAGCCAACAAGTTCTTGTAACCGTTGATGATGGAGTGAGGAACGGAAGCAACGGTGGGGTAACCAACAGCGAGAGAGACGGAGGCAATGTCACGGATGGCAGCCATGAGGTTAGCAACCAATTGGGATTCTTCAACATCGAGAACATCGGCAGAGAAGAGAGAACCAGCATCGTAAACTTGAACAACACCCATACCGTAAGTGAAGGGAGAGATGTTCAACATGTTCAACAAAGTGGCTTCGGAAGGACCGACCTTTTCACCAGCAGTAACGAGCTTGACATCAGAAACGATTTCAATGGTACCACGGGCAATCTTGGTAGGGATACCCAAAGCTTGGAAGAAAGAGGTCTTACCGGGTTCCATACCAGTGTTACCACCGGGAACAACGACATCAACGGGAGCAACGGCACCAGCACGAGCAGGAGCAGCAACACGGTTGGAGACGATCTTTTCACGGATTTCCTTCAATTCGCCGTTGGTGAAAACGAAACCAATGTTACCCTTAACGAAGTTAAGAAGCTTTTCGAGTTCAGGGCGTTCAGTGATCAAACCCTTCAAAGCACGACGAACCATGGTGTTCTTACCCATGAGAACGGCAGCTTCACCACGAAGGGAGTGACGAATTTGGTGCATTTGGTTGGAGCTGACATTGTCAACGTTGACAATGAAGATGGATTGGTAGGTTTCCAAGTAGTTGTTGAGCTTTTGGAAGTAAAGGGCCTTGTTTTCTCTCTTCGACATGTTGATTATTTTAACTGTTCGAGGACTTTTTCAAGAAACTATGGATGCAATCAGCTCGCTATTCATTATGGTGGATGGATGTATTGTTTACCTTGGGCAGATAAAGAGAAAGAACTTGTGAGATACATTGCCCCTCATTTCTAATAATTCCCCAATTGACATATGTCCGGGCCGGATAATTTTATGCGTTGGAGACTGTACCAAGCGAAGGATCTTTTGGGATGGTTGAGAACTGTATAAAGACGCGGTTATTGGGCTTTGGTGTAGTGACAAAAGTTATAAATCTTTGCTTTCTGAGTCTATTGATACAGAGAATACAGCAGCGTTGCTGCTAAAATATTGAGTAAACAGGCAACAATGTCTATGAGGTTTTTCACTCTTCTCGTACTACTTTTATAGTACAACTGACAAGCAAACACATTCACCAAAAACTAGAGTTTCTGACGCGCATTTTGAGTATTTAAGCGTGTAGATAGCTCTATTTTCTGTCCTGTAGCGTCCAAAAGAAGATCGGGAGTTGTCGAATTTTTTTTTAAAAAGTGTTTTATTTATTGCTCCACGTAGACGAACGTAAACCATTGTCAAGAGGCGGGCGCAAATTAAAGCGTTATAATATAAAATAAAGAAAATAATTGAGATAGAAACAGAAGAGGACAAGTATGGGCTAGATGATTTGGGTCATCTAGTTTATCATCTATCTATTAAAGTCTTGAGTTGATGTGTTTCTCTGCTATTTGTAGCTGCAGATTAACACGAAAAAGTTATTAAACGAGCTTTTTTCATGGCTAATACCCTTTGGTCGAATGGTCATTTTGGCAAGTTGCCTTTTTTGGTCCGAACCAACTCCAAATGTATCATATATGTCAGTAAACATTGTCTTTAGGTATTTGGAGCATACAAAAGTGTACAAACATAATTTATACTGTCATTATATCGATATGTCATTCAATGTATCGACAGGGAAGATGTTCCCATTTCACAAGGTAAAATGCCCTTGGCACAATTCAATGAGAGCAAAGAGACCTGCGGCTGAAAAAGAACTATCTCACTTAATGAAGTTTCTTAGAAGGAGACGCAATAAATGTCAATGAAATGCAGCCAACTAGTAAAGCACCCTTTTTTTTGTTCAAAGACGTATTCCTCTTTTCTTCATTCAATGAGTATAGCTACAGTATTCTCAGTAATTACGAGGAGTTCAGTCTAGCTAAAGTATTTGGGTCATCACTTTTGGACATTCAAACTAGGTAATAGCCCAAAATCTGAAATAGAATGTATTCTAAAATTTCAATAGACATGATTGTGCCTTTTATTTGTATATAGTGGTTTTTAATCCAAAAAAAAGGTCAAAAAGATGTCTGACTAGACGATTTCAACAAGATGACAGCTTAAACTTTAACGTAACGCAAATGAAATCACTTGGAATCATTTTTGTACGACTACTCCTAGTTATAAACTCCCCCTTTTGTGAATATTACATGTTCAGTGTTCTTCTTTTTGATAAAATATAAGACTAAAAAAAGACATGCTGCAAAATATCATGGCTTGTAGTTCTCTTTTTGAATAGAAGCTTCTGGAGAGAGAGAGAGAGAGAGAGAGAGAGAGAGAGAGACGTAGAGAAAAAATTGTTCATTCTTTATATGCATTAACACGGGTTTATTCCCGCTCTTTTGTCATACCTTCATAAAGAGGCTGTTTAACTCTATCTCTGTTAGCTTCCTTTTTTTTTTCTCTCTCTCTTTTTTTTCACGTCGTTCTTTATTTTTCTTTTTGTTGAAATGAAATTATTTTTTTACTTTGTAGTATCAGCTACGGCTATACTACTTCAATTCTCTTGTCTATCTTTCGCAGACAGTGACCAACAACTGCCTATTCATAACCAACACCAGCACCATAGCAATCACTTGAATGTGAAAACTATTCTCGCTCAACACGATAAACCTAACCAACTTGAAGCACACACAAAGCATTTCAAAGGCGAAACATTAGCCTATGTTACTCCTTGGAATAACAGAGGTACATTTAGACACATAAAATAGACCCATTGACTTGGTTTGTTAGGTTATGATATTGTCAAGGAATTCAAAGGAAAATTCGACTAGTAAGTAAAGAAAAAAAATCCTTTTATATCAAAGATAGATATTCATCCTTGAATTTAGTGTTTCCCCTGTTTGGTACTATATTCAACGCAGGTAAAAGAATGACATACGCGTAAAGGGAAAAAAAAAAAGATATTTACACTCAGCCATAGATCGTCAATGCAGTTTGATATTGATGGTGAACATGATGTAGATCAAGGAGTAAGTAGAGTTTTGTTTGATGATGCGATACTTATGCTATATGTAGTGGATAAAAGAAGTTAGAGATGAGTCAACAGGAAAAGGCAAAGTTCTTCCTCGTTTCCAATTACGTGGTTGGACTGGTGATGACTTGAGATATTTTGTCACTAGTGCTGAAGAATCAAAAGTATTGGCAGTAGAGATAAACAAGCAAGTCCAGTAAGTCAAGAAGCATACAGTCAATGACATACAAACCAAGTTGAAATTTTAGGAAATATGGATTTGATGGCATTGTTTTAGAATGTGGTTTCCCTGCTTTCTTTCAATTGTTTTTGACTGAATTATCCCATTTGCTTCATCAAGAAAACAGGCTGTTTATTGTTGTTCTTCCATCGGTCATGACTGATGAACATAAGCAATATATGAAGCCGGATGTTGTTCGTTCTATGGCAAAATATGTGGATCGATTTAGTTTGATGACTTATGACTACTCCAGTCACGATCCGTAAGTGTATAGCCGAATGACCTTGTTTGTTGACCTCTTGTAGTAATGGAGGTCCTTCGTCACCTATCGAATGGGTGATGGACAACATTGAATACTTGACTGACAAGGACAACAGAAACAAGTTTTTGGTTGGACTCAACATGTATGCCATGTCTTATTTGCAGACACGCGCCCCTGAACCTTTGGTTCTGAAGACAGTATTGGAGAAGTTAGCTGAACAGCCCAACGAAATTGATGATGAACTATTAGATGAAAAGGACAGTAACAAGAAAGATTCAATGGATGAAGAATTGAATTGGGATAAAGATAGTCAAGAAGCATGGTTTGTTGATATTGATGAAGATGGTACCAGACAAGGCACTATTTGGATGCCAACATTAAGAGTAAGTGTATGAAAAGAGTAATTTATGTCTAAACATCCATGATAGTCCATTAGAAATCGTGTTCGACTTGCAGAAGATTATGGAGGTAAGGTCTATACACATATGCATTATATCTTATGAGAACTCTATAGTGGGTCTTGCTTTATGGGAAGTGGGTCAAGGCCTTGATTACTTTGTAAGTACAGATAAATAGATAAATAGATAAATAGATAGATATATTCGATTGTACTTATGTTCTATGATTAGTATGATTTATTCTAAGAAACTCGCTGGCTGCATAATTGTTCGCTTCCTTTTAAAAATAAACATAGTCACAGGTCTTTAAAATTCTTTTTATCTTTCTTTTTTTTTCTTTTTCTTTTTTTATTTTATTTATATATAGACTATGTCAGAGCTGACAATTCATGTTGAGTTTAGGTAAGCTTAGACATCGTCTATAGTAAATATTGACACGCATAAAAAATCACTAGTGGAGGTATGGAGCTTTTGTTCCAAAATGTCAGCAAACATACCATCAAATTCCCAGCCACCAACAACAAGACAGGAAAGCCCTCTAACCTTCAAAATTTAATCTTCCATATTCGCGATACCATGATGACTGAGAAACAAGACTTATTTGTTGAAAAGGATACAGTGTAAGTACAGAGATGAATTGTGTTACTAGATAGAATGACATGTTATGGATAGGCGCCCTGGTATTTTGGTACTGATCAACAACACCGACTGGGAATTGTGTGATGAATTAGAATATGAATTAGAAGACAAGGACGAGATTGTTTTTATCTCCACTTTACATGGTGGATAAATTGTCATAATAAAAAAAAGGTTATTTTTATAGACTGCGTAAACCATTGTCGTCTTTTTTATTATTATTATTATTATTATTATTATTAGCATTGTTTGACTATAGTTCGAGATCCATGCTTTCCAGCTAATGAAATGATTCCTTACTTGGTAAAAGTAGCAAACATGTTTCTCTCTTTACATGTTTCCAAAGTAACTGAATATATAGGAGTTCAATGACGCCATATTCAATAGGAGACATCACTTTTATCCTGTCAAATATGCTATATAAATTAATGCAAATGAATTATACAATTTTTCCATATCAATATGTCGCATTTTAAAATTTCAGACAATACAAGCACAATCTTAAAATGTCCCCCCTTCCTCAAATATACATTTTAAACTGCGCTAATTTTGAATTACCAAAAGCGTACATCTAATTTGATATAAAATTTACAGGAACTTTTTTATTATTGTTTCTTTCTCTTTCCATTACAAATTAAGAAACCATCATGAATACTGAAAGTAAGCTTATGCCTGTGATTGTATCTCTGTATTAACTAACTTGTAGTGATCCCTCATCAACCTAAGGCTGGTGTACTTATGATTCGTGTATGTGAAGCGAGAGGCATCACTTTGCCACAAGGCGCAAAAGTACCAGACATCACAGATCCTGTACCAGTCCTTCAACGAAACAAACGCGAATCAATGAATCGAAAGCAGTTTTGGTGGCTACCTTACGTTGTCTTGGAATTCGATAAAAACGAACTCTTGATTGATGCCCTGGGTGGTGATCCATCCCATCCTATCTACAACTACAAGGCCAATTTGTAAGCTCCTGTAAAGAAAAAACATGCCACTCATTCGTTACTTAGTGATGTGTCCCATTATTCACATGTAGCCATGTCTTTTTACCTTAGACAATTACCACACCACACATCAAGGGACTCGAATGATTTGTTCTTGGGCACTGTTAAATTTCAACCAAATTTTGCTTCTACTCATCTAGAGAATTATGTGTTTCCCATTGTGGGTGGTACAGGCGCCATGTATGTTCAACTGTGCTATTTCCCCTCACAACAAACAAATCAGATCTCATTTCATTCGTTTGATCTCTTGCGTGTCATTGGTCGAGGCAGTTTTGGTAAAGTGTATGTGGTTCGCAAAAAAGACACCAATCGAATCTATGCTATGAAAGTGTTGCGCAAATCCCGTATCATTTCTCGATCAGAAGTGACTCATACCATGGCAGAAAAAACAGTGCTGGCCAAAGTGCGCAATCCGTTTATTGTGCCACTCAAATTTGCCTTTCAAAGTCCCGATAAACTATATTTGGTGTTGGCCTTCATTAATGGTGGAGAACTCTTTCATCATCTTCAAGCACAAGGACGGTTTAATGAAGAACGGGCTCGATTCTATGCTGCCGAGCTATTTTGTGCACTTGAGTGTCTCCATGGATTTAATGTTGTGTATCGGTAAGTCAGGCTGAATGGTGTACTGGTTGGCTTACTCATACACGTCTAGTGATCTAAAGCCAGAGAATATCTTGATTGACTATAATGGCCATATCGCATTATGTGATTTTGGTCTCTGTAAACTGAACATGACCGAGTCTGAGAGAACAAACACTTTTTGTGGCACCCCAGAGTATTTAGCTCCAGAACTGCTATTGGGCCAAGGTTATACAAAAACAGTGGATTGGTGGACCTTGGGTGTTTTGTTGTATGAAATGTTGACAGGATTACCACCCTTTTATGATGAAAATACAAACGAAATGTACAGAAAAATCTTACAGGACGAATTAAGGTTCCCTGAAGATATGTCAAATGCAGCACAAAGTCTTTTAAGAGGTGTAAGTGTAATCAACAGACAAAAGTCAATAGAACTTATTCATAGTGTAGTTATTGACGCGAGATCCAACCCTGCGTCTGGGTAACCGAGGCACAGATGAAATTCGATTTCATCCATTCTTTCAATCGATTGACTGGATCAAACTCATGCGTAAACAGCTACAACCTCCTTTTAAGCCTTCAGTAGAAAGTATATATGATACAACTAATTTTGATGATGAATTTACTTCTGAACAGCCTGTTGAATCATTGGCCGCTGATGAAGACTCGCATATCTCTAAAACCATGCAAGAACAATTCAAAGGATTTACTTATAATCCTGACGGTGTCATGACAGATAGTTACAATAGTCATCAACAGACTTCTAATCTACAACAAACACCTTCTTCAAGGTGGTGAAAAAATAAAAAATAAAAAATAGCTCCCCTTTTCTTTTTTTTTTCCTATTTTTCTGTAATGTTCATCATGGTCCAATGGCGTTGTCTAGTGCTACTCTTATTTTATATAGTAGTAGCCTATTGTCATGAGGAGAAAGTAGAAGGCTTCTTTAGTCAAAGTGGACATACAAATAACTGGGCTGTATTGGTAATATCTTGTCTATCCAATATCATCTAACATCAAGCTAAAGGTATGCACATCTCGTTTTTGGTTTAATTATCGTCATGTAGCCAATACACTCAGCATGTATCGCACAGTGAAGCGACTGGGTATTCCAGATTCCAATATTATCCTTATGCTTGCTGATGATGTCTCTTGTAATCCTCGCAACAAATTCCCGGCTACTGTCTATAACAATGCCAACCGTTTTTTGGATTTATATGGCGATAATGTCGAAGTGGATTACAGAGGTTATGAAGTCACTGTAGAGAACTTTATTCGCATGCTGACAGGACGTGTCTCCCCTGACACACCTCGTTCAAAACGACTGTTGTCCGATGATCGATCCAACATCTTGGTTTACATGACAGGCCATGGTGGGGATGAATTCCTCAAGTTCCAAGATGCAGAAGAAATCAGTGCTTATGATTTAGCTGATGCCTTTAAGCAAATGTCTGAAAAGAAGCGATACAATGAACTCTTGTTTATGATTGATACATGTCAAGCCAATACCATGTACAGTAAAATCAATTCCACCAATATTCTTGCTACGGGTAGTAGTAGATTAGATGAAAGTTCTTATTCAGTAAGTCCATGGTTGCTATCTTACTGCCTCACACGCTTTTAATGTAGCATCATACAAGTTATGATGTGGGTGTAGCTGTGATTGACAGTTTTACTTATTATAACTTGGAATTTCTTGAGAACATTGACATGACAAGTGACAAGACATTACAGGATTTGGTAAGCACAACAATGACTTTTCTCTCTTGGCTAAATCCACCCTTTAGTTTAATACCTATGATCCTGCTAAAATTGCCTCTCATCCAGGCATTCGTTCTGATCTGTTTCATCGTCCATTAGACAAAGTCAAAGTGACAGACTTTTTTGGCAATGTACAGAATGTAGAATTAACAAAAAACAGATACCCTCTTTTGACTGAATCGACTGTAAGTCATCTAAATAGGTTATTGTGTATTCAATACTGTATAGGAAATAGAGACCATTCAGCAAGAACCTATGGTCAGCAACCAGACAGTATCAGACCATCTTTATCATTCTTTTCTTGTTCAAAGAAAGACACAAACAGACTCCTTGTTAGCATCTTCTTTAGGCATTTTATTCATTCTCTGTCTTGGTTATGTTATTAGCAAGACACTGATATAATTTTATTTTATTTTTTTATTTTATGATAATTCTATCATTCTCAGTAGGGCAGTAAATCTATACCAAAATCAATACAAACAATGAATAAAAGAGTGGATAGCATACCTGTTGCTCTTGATCAAATTGAACAAGAGAGGGTCTTCTGTCTCTATCTAAAAAGACTTGATTCCACATTGCTTTTGCAATCCATTGATGACCCAAGGTTGAAGGATGGAAGCAATCAATATTACTAATAGGGTGATTACGCAGCTCTATGGAATGATCATTACCTGAATGCCTCAATAGGAAAAGACGTTAAATCAAATGGTATAGGCGTAAACATCACACCAAATGTTCCTCCTGGTTTTGCAGCATATTTCTGAGCTAATATGGCCAACTTGGCATCATATTCTATGATCAGCATCAGTCAAATACGATGTCTATTGTTCTTACCTTCTCTTAGGATATCCATTCGTTCCATGGCTTCTTTTGTCTTGAGTCCATGACAAGGTTGCTTAAGAATACTATATTGACAGTAATCTGAATGGTCTGTAACCAAGGGTTGAATATCTGTTACTTTGAGCATACCAACTCCAATAGCCATCAGTGTCTTGTATTGAAATAAATAAAAAAAAAAAAAGAGAGAACTTACTGAGATTCACTAGTACATTGGGCACTTGAGATTGAATACGTTGAATAGCTGCCTCTATATCTTTAGCATAGTTTTCTGGAAGTGTAGCATTCATAAACTCTTCTTCACTGGCTCGACATAGATCATTGCCTAGTAGTGTTAGCACAGTCATTTTATGATAGGAGTAACTTACTGCCTATATGAACATGAATGATTTTCCATTCCTGTTGATAGTTATCTGCTGAACTTAATTGTTCAAGTCCTATATATATATATATATATATATGGAAACAGTGAATGATAGTTATACACTCTAGAATACTTACGAGGAAGTAAATAATCAAGCTCTGATTGTAAATTCAAGGCCATAGCGCCTGTATGTGCTGCATTCAACCCATTCATTTGATCATGGTCTAAATAACAATCAATAGTTTTGATGCATTCTTATGACTTACAATGAAGAGGAAAACTTCCTCTGACATAGCCTAATGGGTGACTCTGGCTAGAAGGACCCACAAGAAAGGGACTGTAGTGCTTGATGAAATTAGCTATGCTTACTGCACCTTCATCTGCACCCATCATATAGTTTTGACCCCGAAATTCAGTCAAGATGTTTTTATTCATAAAACCAAGAGGTGTTTTGGGTATATTTTCCATACCATAGCCTGCCATGATACTATAGAATCCACATGAATAGATACTCCCTCATACTAAATGAACCCTACCTATCTCCTAAAGAAGCCATGATTTTGATATCATCCATTCTTAAGTCAGTCACATCTTGAGCAGGATGAATTCGAGGCAATAGTCCAGGACAATCAGATATACTCGATACATTCAATGCAGTAATCAAACAAGAGCAAGATAAAACTAAAAAGACCGACTTGAACATGAACCATGAAAGAATGAAAGGCTTCTCATTTTTATATCCGGGCTATAATCCGATATGTCATTACTTACAATTGGAATGTTAATTTTAATACACCTAAACTTTATGTCCACATCAAGTTAAAATAATGAAACGTCATCATTTTTCCTTTTTTTTTTTTTTTTTTTTTTTTTTTTCACTTTTTCAACACTATTATGAAGAAAAAGACTTGATAGAACATGACTGAATCTACTAGGAATAGTCATCATGATCAACTTCCTTCTATAAACACTATTGGTGCTCATTGTCATAGCAATATTTCGCTTTCTTTTGGCAGTCATCACCATCATAGTCGTCTGTTACATTATATTGCTAATCGTTCTCAACAATCAGCTTCCTATATCCCACCACCACCACTGCCACCACCTACTTCTAAATTCACCATATCCTCTGTACGTACGGGCATGACACCTAGTCTACCCTTATTACCACCACCTCAACCAACAGCGCCTATTGATAATTGCTGCGAAGCTTGCTGCCCTGACACAGTCACGATGGATGTTATCTTACCTTCCATCAAGCGCAAACGATCCATCTCGGACGATCCATCCAACCTGATCAACAGAAAAAAAGCACAATGCAAATGGTCTAGCTGTCTCGCTAGTTTTGATACGTTTGACGACCTTACACCTCATCTTTATAATACACATCTTAATCATCCAATAGAAGAAACCTGTTCTTGGGAATCATGCTCAGAACGCTTACTAGACACGTCGACACAGGCTCTCATCAACCATTTAACCAGTCAACATCTGCAGAATGCCTTGTTGCATGCATGTCGCTGGATCAATTGTACGGAACGCTTTGAAGGATTTGATACACTCACATTGCATTTATCTCAAGTCCATGTGGGCTCAGGTAAAAGCGAGTATCAATGTCAATGGGTAGCATGCGAAAGACAAGGCAAAGTGTTTACACAACGACAGAAAATCATGCGACACATACAGACGCATACAGGAGCGAAGCCCTATCAATGCCAAACATGCTTAAAACGCTTTTCAGAATCCAATATGGTGGTTCAGCACATGCGGATTCATACAGGCGAAAAACCATTTAAATGTGATCAATGCTCAAAAGACTTCTCTGTCTCTGCTGCCTTGACTATCCATAAACGAGTCCATACAGGCGAAAAACCTTTTGCCTGTAAATTCCAAGCATGTCATAAAAGGTTTGCAGAAAGCAGTAATTTAACAAAACATGTAAGTGATTTGATTGTATGTTTTATTTACTTATATATGTTGACGATAGATGCGAGTTCATACAGGCGAAAGACCATTTAAATGTACAGTAGAACCTTGCGGTAAAGCTTTTTCAAGGCCTGATCAAGTAACACGCCATTTAAAAACACACAATAAAAAGAAAAGAAATTAAGCTGAACCCGCATTGGTTGAGCGAGCAATCAGTTTGGAAAGAATCAAATAAACAAAGACAACCAACACAACAATCCATCGTTTTCCTCGACTGACTGCTGTACGAGTGATAGCATGATTGTCTGTATGAGCAACAGTATGAGCAGGAGAACTGTTCTGTATGTTGCGCTTGATTAAAAGTTGATCTGTTGGCATCTGGTTTAGATTGATAGTACAAAGTTCAGGAAAGACCTCTATGATAAAATGAGTCTTAAATCTTCTGTATAAAAATACCTCTAAACTTTGGGTTTCTAATGTTCCATAAATGAGACCGAGCAGCATACATTTTCTTTTCATGGACACCTGTCTTTATACTGCCTGTAGTAGCTTCATCACCTACCTAAACAAAACAAGATAAACATGATGTCAACTCAATATGGATACATACCATAAAACTCAGCAGTCCATTCAATATAGTGGCAATAGACCAACTTGGATTCCATGAACTTGGATGGAAATCACTCATACTGAGACAGAGTCGAGTATCAGGTTGAAAACGACCAGAAGGTGTTGTCATTCGAATAGCAGGTGGTTTAAAGGGATATTCAGCTGGAAAAGTAATTCTGCCATAATATTCACCACCTTCATAAGGTGAATCTGGTGGTCCTGTAATCACATAATGCCTAAATATAGACTTTGAGTACTCTAATTACATTCAATTAAATCGTACCAGTCTAAAATATTACTTTCTAGAGGCCTTGCAATAATATAAGGAGGTGGGCTAAAATAGAGGTAACACACATAAGGGATCTTTTATTCATCTATATACTTTCTTCTATACTTACTTTTTCTGTATTGCCAAGTATTCTTTAGTGAGCCTCTTATAAGCACCTTTTGTTGCCATTGTGTGTGTGTGTGTGTGTGTATATTTAGAAAAAGAAAAAGAAAAGGTGAAAAAAGGGAAGAAAAAAAAAGGGAGTATATATTATTTTTATTCCAAGCAAAAAATGAGCCAATCAAGTACAGTCTTTTTTTAACCAATCAAAATGGCTTTTATTATTATAAAACGATTTTATGTGTTGTAACTTCCTGTGTTGGTTTAATTGTCGTACTGGCTGAAAGAATACCTGCTGATAGTCGACTGTTGTCTCTTAATTCTGAAGATATAAGACTTGCTTCATTGACAAGCATGGTATGGTGACGATAAGAAGGGTCAGAAATAATGTCAAGACTAGAGAATGATATTGGTCTATGCATAGTCTTGGAAGTGCCTTCATCTTCATCTTCGTCATTATTGGTTGTACTCTTAGTGCCATGGGTCTTTTGGCTAAATTGTTTGATCAATAAATAACTGGTAATGACCCCTATGAATACAGGTAAATATTCAGTATTTTATCACTGTATCATTTACAGTCAAACGAATACAAATCTGCTGATAAACCACCCATAACTCGACAAGAAATCAAAATGGCAGTAATAATATTGGATCCAATCACGCCAACACTATAAAGAACGTATTAATCAAGATATCTAACTATATAACATACTACTTTACGAGAAAATAATGCCACTGGATAACAAGGACTTGTGAAGACTATTTCCACAAATACGATAATGACGATGAATCACCATAAGAAAAGCAAAGGATAAGAACACATTGCTTGCAATATCAAGACCAAGTTTGGCTAAAGCAGGCCATTCTACTATACATAAATATTAATGTACATCTACATGACAATTCGGTACTTGCAGTTCAACATCTAATTAAAAAAAAAAAAAAAAAAAAAAAAAAAAGTAAGTCTATCATCATAGGCATCAGTATGAATCACTTTACTACACAGTTTCCCATGAAATCCTTGTAGGTGGGTACCTTGGCTAAAGTGGCATAGACGATGGTTAAAGCAATGTATCCCAAGTTGATAGCAGAACCAATCAAGATCAACCACTTTGCTTTACCATAGCAGATATAAGCTTTATAGAGCAAGATAGTTTGGATACAGCAACCACCTAAATTCACAGAAATGATAGACACCCAGAATCTCTATTGAAATGACAGTGTAAGAACATGGAGATCATCATCGAGGATATTACAAATTCACAGCTGAGATCTGTCAATGGATTGAGAACACTACAAAAGATCACCATGAAAGACAAGATTGTTTCAAACAAAACTGTAAAATGAAGCCATTTACGTACTCTCCAGACGAGTTCGATAGCAGCCATAATTTGCCATACAGAGCAAGTAAGACATATACTCATATAGACAATGGTAGATGCCGTGTGTCGAAAATATTCCCTTGTGTTGTCATTTAAGGCATCATACACAACTTCGTCTGCAATAACGCTACCAAGCAAGTCTTGGTAATACTTAAGGACTGCTGGTGAAGGATAATTCATGAAAATAGATTAAAGAGAAAGAAGATAAAGAATAGCTCATGGATTTATATATCCAAGGAAAAAAAACCCACCAAACTGTCAATGCATAAAGGGAAATTCCCTTTTCTCTTTCTTTTTGAAGTGATAGAAAGGAACAAAAGTAGATGACTCTCTACCTCTTCTTCTTTTTAAATGATTCATTATAAACATAGAGCTTTGGTTTATTTCTAACAAGTCAACATAGACTTTCTTTCTTTCTAAACACGCTTTTCTTTTGTTCAACTAAAAAGGAAAAAAGCAGGAGTAAAGCCAGAAAACCTGTAAATATAATATAATGCTCTTTTTTTTTTTTTTGATAAGACTGAATCATAAAAAAAACATTATCAGTTATTGATAGAAAGATAAAAAAAAATCGAAACTCTATCTATATTGATAACAGATAAAAAAAAAAAGAACGCAAGACTTTAACTTTTGATTAAAATAATATAGGGAAATAATCAACCTTTTCATCTAAAATAGGTGTCCTAATTTGTCTATTTCATTCTTTTTTTCCCATCATTTTTCTATTAAAGTAGTCGACCTTCTTGACTGGTTACGATTGCAGATCGGTTCTGAATAATAAGGTTTGAAATGCCGCATTCACACGGACTTAGATTGACACACTCTCTTACAAATAAAAGTGCATTTCTTTTTCATCTCTTTTTCTTTTTTTTAATATGATTCGCTCTGCACTGCAGAATTCCTATATCAAAGCTTGCTTAAACCCTTCCCGTACCGCTCCCGTCAAGAAATTCGCCATGTCCACTAGAAACATTGTCTCTTCTGTTGCTATTCCAAAGGTAGAAAACCCCGATGATATAACGCGTTCTCTTAACTTGTTTGAATAGCTCAAGGATCAATCTTTATTCAAAGAATCTGGATTTATCAACAACGAGTGGACAACCAAGGACATTACTGAAAAGTTCACTGTTTATGATCCTGCTACTGATAAAGAGATTGGCCAATTGCCTGATATGGGTGCTAAAGAAACTAAAGAAGCTATCCAAGCAGCCTCTGAAGCCTTCAAGTCATGGTCTAAAACAACCGGTAAGCAACGCCATGATCTTTTGATTAAGTGGTATCAAGCCATGATGGAAAACCAAGAGGATTTGGCTACTATCTTGACCTGGGAAAATGGTAAAACATGGACTGAAGCCAAGGGTGAAGTTGCTTATGCTGCTTCTTTTTATGAGTGGTTTGCTGAAGAAGCTGTGCGTGCTTATGGTACTGTGATTCCTTCTCATATTCCTGGTCAACGCTTTGTGACGATCAAACAACCTGTTGGTGTGGTGGGCATCATTACCCCATGGAGTAAAGTAAACTAAGAGTCATCATGACATAAACTGACAAAACATGTATAGATTTCCCTGCTGCTATGATTACCCGTAAAGTAGGTGCTGCCCTTGCTGCAGGTTGTACTGTTGTTATTAAGCCTGGTGCTGAAACACCTTACACTGCTTTGGCTTTGGCTGAACTCGCTAAGCGTGTTGGTATTCCTCCTGGTGTAGTCAACATTGTGCCTACTGAAAAGAACGTTGCTGAAGTAGGTAAGGAGTTATGTACAAACCCTATTGTTAAGAAGATCTCTTTCACTGGTTCTGTAAGTTTCATATCTACACATCCATAGAATATTCACTCTCTTTTTTTTTTTTTTTTTTTTTTGTAGACGGCTGTGGGTAAATTGTTGATGTCTCAATCTTCAGGTACCATGAAAAAGGTGTCTATGGAACTCGGTGGTAATGCTGCCTTTATTGTCTTTGATGATGCTGATGTGGATGCTGCTGTGGATGGTAAGTAACGATACTAAACGAAAAAAAAAAAAAAAAAAAAAAACTCAATGTCATTAGCTGTCATTGCTTGTAAATTCAGAGGCAGTGGTCAAACATGCGTTTCTGCTAATCGTATCTATGTTCAAAAGAGTGTCTACAAGGACTTCTCATCCCGTCTTGCTGAAAAAGTCAACAAATTCCAAGTAGGTCATGGTTTTGATGAAAAGACAACCCATGGTCCTTTGATCAACTCCAAGGGTATTGATAAAGTAAAGAGACATGTTGAAGATTCTGTTTCAAAGGGTGCTCAGATCTTGGCTGGTGGTAAGCATCATGGTGGTAACTTCTTTGCTCCTACTGTCCTGGGTGACATGACTGCTGATATGGAAATCCATTCTGAAGAAACATTCGGTCCTGTTGCTGCCTTGTTTCCATTTGAGACTGAACAAGATGTCATCTCTTTGGCTAATGACACACCTTTTGGCTTGGCTAACTACTTCTTTTCTCGTGATATTGGCAGATGCTGGCGTGTGGCTGAAAACTTGGAAAGCGGTATGGTGGGTGTAAATACAGGTATTATTTCAAGCTGCTATGCTCCATTTGGTGGTGTGAAGGAATCTGGCGTAGGTCGTGAAGGCAGTAAATTTGGCCTTGATGATTATATGAACATCAAATACATCAATATGGGCGGTATTTAATATGTATAATAATAACAATAAAGGAATTTATTAATCATCATCGATTTGCCAACTATCATGTGCTTTTTGTTTACGAAGATTGTTTTCAAGATCCATCTTGGCCTTGACATTTCCTCTTTGGACAAATGGCTTAAGGCCTTTGCCAAAACTGCGCATACAAATAAGGCCTAATACACAAGTACAGAGGGTCATGACAATACCCAAACACACTATATCAATGGTTAGGAGACAATATCTATAGCATACCAACTTACCCAAAGCAATCCAGGTATACCAATTGTTGTTGGGCTGAATTGTCTGTGATAAAATCAAAGCGAAATGGAATAAGACAGTGCATTCAAAGATAATGAACACAACCATTCTTATATTGCTTTCAGCGCTTCCCTATAACAGCCATTAGTCAATGATGCTTTCTATTGTTTCTACTTACAGCTGTACGGGCAAAATAAAGCATAGGAATGACCAAGATAGTAACAATCAGCTGAACAACAGACTCCCACATAAGCCCTTGTTTCAAAGCAAATTGGATCATGTAAAAGACAGAGACCATGAAGCATGTAAAGATGTCAATCTTGAGAGCCAAGACAAAGAACTGAAACATACGGTACATTTCTATAAGAGTATAAGCAACAAGAAAAAAAAAGAAGGAATTGTCATGCTATTTACTTTGAATCTGTACATCGGCACCAATCTTCTTATAAATATTCCAGCCAAATTGTTTTGACATCTGATAACTGAGAAATGACATGATAATGGCAAATGTTAAAATAGCAGCTGACAGAGCAATTTCAATCTTTTCTGCCATGTCTAGCGCACTGACTGAATAGGATGTTAATAAAAGTTGCTTAAGCCATTTGACACCATCGACTACTTGAAGTGCGCCTAAGACAGCACATACCATATTAATAATGGCTAATGCTAAGATCTCGGCTGTGTTTTGATAGACCGTCTAAACAAACTATAAGTATACATTTTTATGTATTCTATCATCTTACAGCATCAAACACCATGCCTAAAAACCAGACTTGAAAGCCCATAAATGCAATGTTCTCCCATTTGATTCTGCCAAGACGATCTGCAGCGCGAATAGGAATCCAATCATCTTGTGTAGAACTAGCTGTAAGAGCACTATTTGAAGTTGGCTCTGGAAGTAAATTTGCTTGATATGTATTTAAATAACAAATAGAAGCTTGAAGTGCGATAATAATCAAACATTGACAAGTAGCCATTGAAACATATAATTTAGACCATTTTGTTTCAGTGACTCGATCTACCTATCATGGTTTGTTAGTATAATGCTTAACAAATACTACTCATTCTTACGATTTTTGTTACTGTGACCATAATGAAATATGTATGTTTATGTATATATATATATATATGTATATGTATTAGAAAAAAGAGCCAGCTTTAAACTATAATTTGCTTAGATACAAGGACAAAGTATATGTACAAAAAGAGATAAAGAAAAAGAAAAGAGAGAAAAAAGAGAGATGAAAGCTTGTTCCAATTTAATTTAAAAAAAGAAATCCAAGATCCGCCCTGACTGTATCAAAGTGCGTTTATGTGTTACATAGGCTGTGCATCTTATTTTCTGATTGAATTTGGAAAATAACAATTATCGTGTTTCCCCCTTCTCTTTTTTCTCCTTTCAACGCAAATAAAAAAGAGAAAAAGAGACAAAATGCCCATCCAAGCCCTTCTCTACGCTTGTCTTGATCCCCCCTTTCTTTACTTATTTGAGTAATAAAAGATACACGAAACACAAGTAAATAACACGTAAACTAAAAAATATATTTTTGATCAGGGAACTTTTTAATGTCTAGAACGCCCCCTCCCCCTTATTGAGCCTGGGCTCTCTTTTCTTCTTTTTTCTCTTTTTCTTGGTCTTCATTCTCGAGCGAGTCCAGTTCTTTATCAAGAGCATTCAGCATTTTCTCTAGGCGTTTACTTAACCGAGAAGCTGACACATTGGACTCTTTATTCGTGGCTGCCCTAATGTCTTCCACCAGCTTAAAAAAAAACCAATTTAGTAATTGAAAGTCAGAGATGGAATTGTCATTGCACAATTACCTGTTTATAGTCTTTATGGTGGAATTTAATCTCATTGAGTTGGGCACGTTGTCCAAGAAAATCAACCTTGGAACGCAATTTAGACAAAGCCTTTTGAAAATTGTCTTTTTGCTCCTCAGTCAAACCTTTGTGATCTGCCTCCGATTTTGTCTCCTAACCAATTCGTTAATATCATTTGATTGATCATCGTATTTTCACCGTACATCACTTGGCATTTTTTCTGACAATGCTTCGTGTACTTTCTTTTCTTTCTCTTCTTGCTCAGACTCATCTTCTATCATTTCTTCTTGTTGTTCTAATACATCTAATTTCTGCTTGTATGTACTGGTACCCATTGTCTCCAGCATATGTAATTCAGCTTCATTTACCAAATTGTCTGGCAAACTATTAAATGTTGCACGAAGCGCTTCTTCGTGTGTCATACCGTCTGTGAAACAAAATGCGCGTGACAGGATCAATAGGGTCCAAGGAACATGATGATTCAATTGGAGATCAAGCCATTGAGCCAATTCTCCCCGTAGACGCTCGTTTGAAGCGCCAATGGTTCGTATGCCACGAGCAGCGCATGCAGCATGCAATTCTGTCGTAGTTAAATGATCAATTCCTTCTTGTTGAATCGCCTGATCATCTAATTTCAATTGTCGCATATGGTTTTGAATCTGAAATCTTAGAAAATTATCCGTACCAAAAGCTTTGATGTTCATATAGCGACACATGGATATTAGTTGAGGCCGAGACAAATTATCCAAAGTCAATTCGTCTTCAAATTTGCTGGCTATCTTTATCAAGTCTTCAGTAGAAGGTTGTTCGCCTGTAGTTCGCATCTTTCTGAAAAAGTCTACAAATTCTTGACCATGTGTCGTATCCACCAAACTACCATTTTGACCAGACTCGGCAATAGTTTCTTGTAAGAATTTTGCCATTTCTAGTCTTACTTTGACTAATTTAAGTTTCTTTTCTTCTTGTATTTTTTTATTTTCAAATGTGCTCGGTAGCATATTAGGAAACACTTTCAATGCCACAGGCAAAAGAAACTCCATAAAAGGAACCATCAAAAATACAGAAAGAGGTACTAGGCGAACAATGTCTGCTGTTGTACGACGAAGCTATAACAAGTGTGAATGTGCTTTTGTTGACCAAGTGTCTTCTTACCTGTCTATGTTCGCGTCGAGTTAATGTTGAACCTGTTAATAATTTATAGGTTAAGCGAGACGAAATTTTAATGTCGAGGCCTAATAATTTCATGCCATGCCAATAATGCGTTGCTTCGTCCTTGACTTTTTGCCACATGGATTTTTTGACTTCTTTTGAGGGCTTGTTGTTCTTCTCAATGGTTTCTATTCTCTTTAGGATCTCTTTGGGATCCATTGATTCTTCGGCTCTTTGTAATTTGCATTGACCATTTTTTGAGAGCTTTTGAGGAGATAAAAATGTGCGTCTCTCAATAGGATAGATCATTGGGCGGTATAGAGCATTAGACCGAGATATGCTACGGCGGATAATGATCTGTGCTAGTTTTGATGCTGAAAGCATGATGTATGAAAGAAAAAAAAACGAAAAAAAAAGAGAAAGTCAAAGTCAATCGAGAGGATGTACCAAAATACGTCATATGTAAAAAGGACTTCTTCAAAAATTAAATACCCGCGACAACTGTCATTTTATTAAGCTCTTTGAGCAAACCCAATACGCTTATTTTCATTATCATAAACAGAAACAAATTGTTGAAGGAAACCATAACCAAGAATAGCATCAACAAAAGGAGGGCTTTCTTGAAGGTAAGTGTAACACGATTCAGGTGTGTAGGCAAGCTTTTTTTTTAAAGAGAAATGTTAGCATCATCATATCATAACTCATTGGGACTTACAGCGCCAGAAGTAATTACATAGTGTTCGGGTGTAATAGTGAAGTTTTCATTGTTCATTGTGAAAGTGATATCTGGAAGATGGGTGGTATTACAAGGTACAATAAACTGGCCCAAGAAATCTCTACGTAGGCCTGGAATGCCTTGAAATACGCTAGACATAATTTCTCTTGGCAAATAGACTAGTGTCGATCCTATAAAATAGGTTTAGTTTGTGCAATATGTCATTTCATTACCTGTGTCGACTAAAGCAGCAATCTTTGGTTCATATGTTTTTGTAAAGTTACTTCCAACTGAGATAGAATCAACATCAACAGCCCAATAGCTCTATATTATTATTATTTTTTGGGTTAAGCTTATGATGGATAAGTTATTGCTTACAGCGAATGCATTTTTCTGAGTGATAGGAACATAGCTGACATTACTAGCAATGTGCCGCTCTTCAACTAGGAAACCGTCAATACACATGTGTATATATAGATCAACTTACCACCACCAAACACAATCTCACCATTGATACGCTTTTCTTCTCTAGAAAGTCCATCTTCGCTAACAGGTTGAAAATAAATGGAAAAGACATTATGATCAATGACTTTTTGTTGATGCATTGTTGTTACTACTGTTGGTACAATATTTCTATCTGGATTGTTGAATGCACTAAGAGCATCAGGACCAACACCCAAAATACCATCTATAATTAATATAAATAGGATGTTCAAGGGGTAAAGAGTCTACTTGCCTGCACCATCAGCAGTTAATTCACCATCATTGTAGTCAGAAATGGCAAAGTTCTAGCCAAGAATTTAGATTCAGGAAGTATAGCACATCAGACTTACTGTTTGAGGTACAGACACACCGGTGATTGTCATTGTGTCTTGAGCATAAAATCCTCTTGAGAATCCTTCACCATAACGAATATTAAACAGGGTGTTGGATGAAGAAAAACTAGAAGAATTTAAAGGATTGAATGTATTCATAGGATAACCACAAAAACGACCACATCCATAGACAGGTACCCAGGTACTTGAAGAGCCAGTATCCAACAACAGAGTAAATGGTTGAGGAGGTGTACCTAAATGTGTAAGGCCATATAATTATAAAGTGCTTAAGGTTACCAAGTTTAATGTCAATAAGATAAGCTAAATCAACATTTTCTAGAGGAGCGTCAATAAGCTCATTAAGTTTCTTGCTTCTCCAGGCTGAAGCGTGAATGCTTTTGCGGTCTGTAGCAGTAAAAGGAATAGTCACTATTTTTGATGCAAATGCAGTAGTTGCAATAGCTGCAGTGATAAGTAATACAGCCTTCATTTTGATGAATGCAGAAAAAATAAATGAATTTAGCTTACATTTTATAAGAAAAAAAAAGCTCGAGAATGTTGTCTTATTTGTATTCTGTTAGTAGCATAGTTAAGAGTTCAATTTAAAAATCCACCAAAGACCTTCATTCTCTCTTTCATGACATTAGCCTATCCCCCATAAAAACAGAAAAAAAAAAACAAAAAAAAAAGAAAGGAAAACTTGCTTTAATGTGATACATGCAAAACAGATTGGCAAAAGACAAATCAGCCAACAATTTATTCCTTTCTGGGCTTCTTGGACTTTCTGACACCACGGAACTTCTTTTCACGGTTCTTCTTTTCCTTACGTTGCTTACGACCACCCTTGGGAGCTTCAGCAAGACCAATACGGACAAGACGGTGCTTGGGTTCGAATTTCTTCAAAGCTTCGACGTTATCGTAGATCAAAGCGAAACCAGTGGTCTTTCCACCACCAAAGTGAGTCTTGAAACCAAAGACAGAAACAACTTCCTTGTCAGCCTTGTACATCTTACCAATCTTGGAACGGAGTTCATCCTTGGAGACGTTGGCAAGACCGGGATGGATGACATCGACGACCATTTGCTTACGTTGAAGCAAGCGGTTGGTGAGGAACTTGCGAGTTCTGATAGTGACAGTAGCGTCGGCCTAATAAAAGAAAGAATGTCAGCAACTAGTGTACTCATATTGATGTTGTTTGTATATGAAAACATCGCATGCTAATCCCATTATGACAATATAGCTATCAAACGAAATGACACGTCCTTTTCTTTCAGCGCGCATATGCAAATCAATGAGTTGTGCATGTATGCAAGAGAAAAAGAGAGAGACTATAAGCAAGATTGAATTGCATGAGGTGCATTGGTTCATGTGTCTCCCTTTTTTTTCTGGCTGGTTGGATACAGATGACAATTCTTTTAGGGGTTGTGTTCTCATTCATGTCCAATGCAACATTGCATAATGGATGAGCTTGGATGCCTTCATATCTAGATGATATTATTACATACCATGTTGATACAATTCGAAAGAAAGCTTCCCTTAGGCGTGCCGTATAAAATTTAATATCCTTTCGTCCCGCACACAAGGTTTCTTTGGTGTCCCCCACTTTCTTGCTCTCCATCTCGCCAGATTGCCGGACATTAATCTTCCGACAATGTTCGGTCATAAACCCGCACTTGCAAAATGCCATAAAAAAAATTAGCAGTCAATCAAGAACAGCAGCTGTGGTACAGTCAGAAGACTCTCTATCGCTTGATGATGGTTTATAGTCAATCAAACAGTTCACAAAAACTAAAGACATTTGAATGATTTTTTTTCTTCTTTTTTTCTGGTGCTCAAAAGTAGTATCGTTTCTTTCATGTCAGCCTATTGTCTATAACCACACTTCTTTTGTATATCAATATCTTGTTATTCTGCAAGTGATTGTATTGATATGATTGCTTCCCATTATGTATCAACAAATTTGGTCAGTTTAACGTTAACGAATCTGCATAAATTATTACTATGCTCCCCTTCCTTTTTTTTATTACAATCAAAGAGCGCGCTCTGTTAAAGCCATGATAAAAGGCTATAGTAAGCTCTGGACCATATTTTAAGTCTTTCTAAGTACTTGGCATTTTGTTTGGTCTAGAAGTATTTGAGGGTAAAAGTTTTACTTGATTTAATGCAGCAATTATTCTATTAAGATAGCCATTGTGGAACTATGACTGTCTAAACAAGGTTAAAATGATCAGTCAGGAATCAAATAGCTACTCAATAAAACACTCACAAACCAAGTGCCACTCTAAAGGGAAAAGGTTTTATCCCCCCTCTCTCTCTCTCTCTCTCTTTTTTTTTTTTTTTTTTCACAAATTTAACCGATGTATTAAACAGCTTACATAAGAAAAAGATAGAGTCAAAATAAAGTTTAGTGCTTGCAGTATCTCTTTGACAAGCTCATATTAACTACGCACATTATTCACGTGTATCATGTAATCTGAAAAAGTATTACAAGCGTTTATTGATGCAAATGAATATAGACCTAGTAATGAATGTGTTACTTCTTATAGCTAATGAATAAATGAGTGTACTGCATAATATATATATATATATATATATATGTGTGTGTGTGTGTGTGTGTGTGTGTGTGTGTGTGTGTGTGTGTGTGTGTGTGTGTGTGTGTGTGTGTGTGTGTGTGTGTGTGTGTGTGTGTGTGTGTGCTTGAAATGAATGGTTTGGGAGTAGTAAACAGTTAATGACGACTGTATAAAAAAAAAGAAAGATGGTTAAAGAATGATAAGTAGGGGGTATACAACAGAAAAGAAAGGAATGATGTTACATTATAATATGATGGGTTAAGGTTTTCTTGCGGTAAATATCTTCCACTGAGCAGAACTTTGATATGCCTCAAACTCATCCAAGGCTTCTGCGCAAACACGATCGTATTCTTCTTGAGTTACTTTAATCTCTGAACACCACCAACGTTTCATGGATTTGAATAGTGCTCTCATTTGTTCTTTGTATAAGTAACCGTGCTGTTTTTTCACTATCATGGTATGGGTATAAAAAATTAAAGTAAATACAACTTACATTCACCTTCTGGCCATTCGCCAATCGCTATATCAACTAGCTTGACTTCGACATCTACAAATCCTGCTTCTTTCAAGAATTCACTCAAGTAAGCAGTATAATCTGGGTTTACACCGATTGTAGCTGCTGCGGACCGATACCATTCATTGACTTGCGTGAGAACAGGACCTGGGTTGCTGAACAATAAATCTATAGTCATAATAAGCCAGAAATCTTTATGAATCGTTTCACATACCGTATTCGACAAGTTCTATCTGCCCTCCAGACTTTGTGATTCGAAAGAACTCATCAATCAAATTTGGCCAAGACTTGAAAGGTAAGACAGTGGCAACATCTCTTTGATAGACAAGATCAAAATGGTTATCAGGAAACATCAAATCTGGCTGCAACAAATCACCATACTGAAACTTGACATTGTTGTTATTATTAGACTTTCCAAATTCATGATTAATTTTGGCAGATAAATTCCAGCCCTCCTTTTCGGAAGGAGGTACAACATCAATACCAATCACTTGACATTTTGGGTAATCGTGAGCCATTTCAAGCGTCCATAAGCCTATTTATGGTATCAGTATTTATGCATTTCAGGGTGGAGTAATAACAGCACAGACCTACTCCACAAGCGCTGTCTAAAATTCTTGAGGGTTCATTCAGTTCAAGATGAATATTTCCTTGAAAAACTTGTTTCAGGACATAATGCTGATATGTCGTTATTACATAATCTTCATTTAGCAATTAGCTTACCTGTCTTGTTTGTCTAACATATCAAATGAGTACACAAAGAAGCTAAGAAAAAAAAATTACCTGTCGCGTTCTTTTTCTGCACCATATTCACAAACCCAAGCTTTTTCTGCAAAGGGTGTTTGACGATTGATTTTTGCAGTTGGATTCGTAGTCTCAATCACTATGTTGTCAGAATATTTAACAGGTAATGAACTAGAAAGTCTTTTTGTAAGATTATGTTCATTCATAGAAGAATGATTTGCTTCGTCATAAGATGATCTTGAATGATTGTTTGAGGTAGGTGTATTGGGTTCAACTTCCTCACTTGTGACAGAGTTCGATGACATTCTTCTTTTAGGGTTTCTTGAACCAAAAGAACTAGCGCTTGAAAGCGAAACAAGAGGGGAGACATGATCATTCAAAACAAGTTGATGTCTGACTGGAGTAACAGCAATGGCACTCTTTTTCTTTGATAACATTCTTGACCTTCTTTCAAATGATTGTTGTTCATCAAAGATGTTATTACTTTTATGCAAAGGACGAATGCGTCTTTGATTTATGCTTTCAATTAGGCTATCTTTACTAGATTGATTACCCATAATTTAAAGAAAGTGTATAGAGAAATGAAAGGGAAGAGAGAGGGAAGAGAGAGGGAAAAGTGAAATATAAAAATAAAAATAATGGGAAAAAAAAAGAGATAATAATGACCCTTTTTTTCATATTTTATTTTCTTGGTGTGAAAAAAATGACCTTTCAATAGGTTTGATTGGCTTATCTTTGAATGGTTGTAATATGTGGAGAACTATAAGTATATATATATATGTCAATTGTCATCTTTATTCTTTTTGTTATCTTGTCATTGTATAGGGAAACTTCTCATTCACAGAAACGTTTGTTTTTTTTTGTTCATCTGTTTAATCAAAAGAATTATATAGATTGTACATCTGCTGACTTGAAAAAATGACTGTGTGTTAGTATGAGTGTTACAAAGTAACCAGAGTTGTTTTAAAGTTCTTCTCGTTCATTTTCTGAAGAGAAGGAAGAAAAAGAAAAAACTTGGGCTGAGAATAGAGAGAAATAAGACTTGTAGATGTCAAGTAGATCATTAACAAATATAAATATTTTGTTGTTGTTGTTCCTGAAGTATGTCCCTGAGTAATTTGACTTAAAAAAATTTCAAGTTGAGATGTAATAGGAGCGATATGAGTTGGAACTTTAATAGAGTTTATACCGTTTAATGTGTATTTGTAGCACTGAAGTGACTTGAAAAAAGACAAGGGGGGGGGAGGGGAGCATATAGAGATCAAGGAAATAAAAACAACTCATGTTTCATTTAGGTCACAGGCACAGTAAAGCTGGCCAGACTTACACAGAAATCTCTGTGTACTAAAAAAAAAATAAGTCATGCAAGCTTCGTAGAAGCCCTTCTTATCGCCTTAATTAAGAACTCATGATTCTTTCGTCATTCATTAATTAAACACCAATAAAAGGATCAAATACACAGCCATCATAGAAAAAAGGTACCTGAGCTGAGATTGAATCAGACAAGAATGTAACTGATGTTCTCGCGTGGCGAGGAAGAAGAGACATAAATCATGTACCCTATTGAAAATATGTATAAATGTATCAAAGCAAGGTACATGCATGTCAAATAGAGATAACCATAAATTGCAAGCACATTGATTGATTTAGTTGCCTAGAAAAAAAATAGGCTTATCTCAAGAGAAACCAATTTTTATTACAAAAGAAACAATCATATCTCGCTAACAATCAATGCGTTCATTTGAGGCATTTAAACTACTCGATGATTATTGTATGACAAAGAGGCAACTAAGCAGAGAAACAAAATTAAAAAAAGAGAGTTTTCGGGTTTGATCTTCAAAAGTTTCCATACTTTCCCGATGCTGCATAGACAAAAAGAAACCAATTATATTGACACTTTTGTACTAAAACTTTTTGGGTCTACTGAATAAAGCCTTTGTCTTAGAAGCTCACTGTAAACCCATGCTAGGTTCAAAACTAGTGTTGTCTTGCTAGAAACTTAATGCATATCAATCAAACCATTATAAGGAATAATTTGTTACCTTTATAAGAATAATGCGACTGACACAGATGTTTTGTGCTTCTTATAGTGTGTTTGTCAAAACAGATGATAGATTTTGGTACATATGAAGCATTATTATCTTTATTCAGGCATTACAGAACAATACACTCATATAGTAATTAGCAAATTATTGCCTAGTTTCTACAACTTTTTTGTGTCTTTTTTCATCGTCATTAATTGTCATATTTTCTTATCCTTTTTTTTTTGTTTTCGTTAATAAACAAAAGAGTTTTGGTGCGAAGCCTCAGTGCACGGAACTGGTTGAACAAAAGATTGTTGTACAGGGCAGTTTTTTTTACCTCTGTAAACCTGAACCAATCAAAGCATGCTGTCTGTCGACGGCTTAGCATAAGAGATCAAACATGCATCTATGAGCTAATTTTGCTTGAGGCGCCATGTTGCCAAATCTTTTTGTTGTTTTTGAGCCATGTGTGCAAACAAACAACATTTTTGACCTACTTTTTTTTTTCAGTTGATTGTATCAATCAAAGTCAATTCTACTATTCGAGATCATGGTGAAATCAACGATTGATATTCAGAAGCTTTGTGATTTGTTGATCATTATGCTAAGCATATACGAAGGCTATGCTGAGCATGTATATAAACTTGTTTCCCAAATAAGAGGATTGGTACTACAGGACTATCGGCAAAAAGGCTCAGGTGATATCATCGTTTTCTCTTTTGTGGAATATTATAGTGCCGCTGTTTTTATACTGGCTTGAAATCATTCAATAAAAAGAAAAAGACCTTTAGAGAAAAACCTTGGTAATTCCACTTTAAGAAATTGGTGTTAGAGTTAACAAAAACGTGGACCTCTCTTTTCTTTTCCCTTTTTTCCTGTTAAAACATTCAATGACTTTAAATTTAACAATTAAAACTAGAAAATTGTAACAGAAAAATTTATAGAATTTGAATCTAATTTTCTAAACCTGAATGAAAAGAAATCTGTATTACCTATAACTAGTACAAAAATTCCTATTCCAGCAATTACACAAAAAAGAATATAAGACAAGTCTTTCTCTTTTTATGACCTTTTTCTTTTTCTTTTTTATATTTATAAAGACAAACACACATACATAGTTTAAGGCCATGGCACACGCATTGTTCAATATTTCACCCGTCAAGTTTCTTAATTCTATCCAAGATAACATATTCACAATCACACCTTCATTTAAGAACAAGACATACAAAGAAGATAAAAAAATCAATACAAATCAGAATGAACAAAGAAACACTTCAGCGTCTCCAGTAACATTACAACTTACTTTGCCTACCGAAACAGTTGAACAACCCCAAATGACAGAAATTAATCAACCTTCTTCATTATCTGTTCCTATTGACATTCCTCGCTCTTATCCTATGAACAATAGTAGTACAGATGGCGAAGGTTAGAAGCCATAATGAATACTATTGTTATTGACTTGTCTTAGGTTTCATGGCATCCTGCACCTCTTCTGTTTACCACGATAATACATTGATTGCTTTAGCTAACAGTTTAGGTCAATCACCTTCTTATCTTGCTACTGAAGATTTAACAGCTTGCTTTGATGGATTGGCAGTAAAATCACCTACTGGCTCTTATCATAATGGCCTTTATTCACCTCAACAGATACCTAGTCCAGTTCATATAGGAAGCCCTGCATCTCTCAGTCATTTCAACGGTAATTTCTTGGCAGGCAGTCCTTCATGCACTTCATTTGTAGGCAGTCCAGTTTCCCCTCCGTTTCTTGGTAGTCCTGCCACGACCCCATTCTTGGGTGACAACACAACTCCTCAAGATATCTCATCTTCTTATGGTCTTTCCTACCTCTCACCTACCAATCAACAACAGACATTCTCCCCTATCAACAGTCCTTCACCCACAAGCAGTTATGTTGGTACCAATTATCTATTCCCACCTACACTAAACGCTTTTTCGCGCCCTTCTTCACCTGTGCCTGATGATTTGATCTTGACTACTTATGAAGTAAACGATTATATGAATGCATCTCCAGGTCTTGTTTCACAATCGCTGACTATCGACACGATGGGTCTGAACGATGACTCTCCAGTGTCTGACTTTCTATTGAGCTCATCTACAAACGATGTTGAGCTATTCCCTACTGCTGTGGAACCTATTGTGTCGCCACATACACAGCCACAATGGACGGATCAAACAAACAAGGCAACAGTCAAAAAAACAACACCTTCAGGACGTAGAGCCAAGATCCATAAATGTCCTCATTGTCAACACACTAGTAACCGTGCCAACAACATGCGAGAACATATTCAGATCCATAACCCTAACCGTCCTAAACCACACGCTTGTAAATTATGCAATAGAGCCTTTGCTCGTAAACATGATATGAACCGTCATTATATTTCTTGCAAGAAGCATGTTAAAACCATGGTGGCGCCTTCTTTTATTCCCCATATATAGATTTTCACTTGTACATGATGTAAATAATAGATAGAGTACTGATTTCGCTTTCGTACCTTTTTAAATAAATTTCTGAAGATAGAAAAATTGTATAATTTCCATCTTTGAATAAGTCCCTTAAAACATAGACGGTGAACAGTATAAATTGTGTAGAATAGAAGTTTAGATTATTCATAAAAAAAAAGATCCAATACTTGGTGCGGTCACCTTTTGCATCAATCACCGCTTGGCATCGGCTTTTCATGCTTCCGACCAAGCGTGAAGCGTATTCTTGGCCGAGGTTCTCCCATTCTTGTTGAAGTATCGACTTGAAGTTTTTAATATTGTGAGTCTCAGACCTTCTGTTGTCCACGAGCTTATCAAGAGCATTAAAAATATGCTCGATGGGGTTCAGATCAGGGCTTTAAGTAGGCCAGTACTGAAAGCACCTAATCTAATGAGTATTCTTCCATCATCGAGCATAGGAGCCTGTGTGGCAAGTGGCATCATCTTCTTGCAAGGTGAAGTTCCTGTCCTGAGTTGTGTTGAGCTCCATTAACCAAGGATGTAATATCCAAGCCAAGATACTGACATATACATCTTGGTTAACGGAGCCCTCTTCAGCAATAGCCAAAGGCTCGAAACCTCTAGCCCAAAAGCACCCCAGACCATAACACCACTACCTGCCCTGTTTTACTGTTGAGATGGTGTGAGCATCCTCGTATTGATCACCAACCTTTTGAGACATTCTTCTGTCTGAATTGCTAAAAAGACTTATCTGACCAGATGATATTACGCCATTGATCCTCTATCCAGTTGATCTTGCTGCTAGCACAGCGAAGTCTTTTTTTCTTTGCTGTTCAGAGAGGTGAGGCTTCTTTGCTGCTACAAACGATTGGAAACTCATTCGGTGAACAGCTGAGATCACAGTGTCTCTGTGAATGTTGATACTCATTGTTGTAGAAAGCAAAAGGATTTTATCTTGACATTAGACAATGTCATTTTTTTTTTTTTTTTTTTTTTTGGAATGAATTGAAGCTAATTTCCAGACAAACCAAAAGTTCCCCTTGTTGTATTTGGAAACGGTATGTTTAACAAAGATGTGTTAAAGCTGAAAAGCGTACGTTGTGATGCTGTCAAAACCCTGTGAAGGTGCCTTAAGAAAAGAGAAGCTGCTGGAGATCTTCTGGTTGTTCCTATCGATGAATATCTAAGATATGCAACATTTGTAAAACTAGAACGATGGTAAATCACTCTGATGTCAAAGGTCATAGTGTATTTGTCTGTACAACTTGCCACACACTTTGGCAAAGAGACACTAATGCAGGAATTCCGGAAATGTTCAGAAGGATCAATTGATAGACTTCATATGTTCTAATCGTCGTAATAAACACGGTTTCCTTAGTACAGAATTAAAACAATCAGATGTAAGATCAAAATCCATGCAACTTTATTGATTTATTTTTTTAAACAATTTTACTTTTGGCAATACGATCAAGTAAATTTCTTGCTTTTTCATGATACTATGACACTATGTAAATGGTATTTTCATAATAGAGGTTTTGGGAACTTACAGGGTGTTTAGCATTTAATGCTGCATGCGTATATTCTTCTGCTTCAGCAATCTTGTTCTTGGTGAGTGAATAGTGAGCTAATTTTAGACTGATTTCAGCTATTTCTTCAGTAATGATCTAATACACATAAATTAGTTTTCTTGTCTAATAGACTATATAGACTTGCCTCTTTATTGGCTTTTTGCCAGATAGCATGATAGAATCCCATAGCTATTTCATGCTTACCCATTTTCTCAAATATCTGTGCAGTCATGATACTGGCTGTTAATTTGCTACTACTATCACATTGAGCAGCACGCTCAAGACACCGTTGATGTTCATCCACACGTTGCATGGATCCATAACAATTGGCCAATGCTAACCACATACGCTCATCGTTAGGTCTTAATTCAGCTGCTTTTCGGTAATGATAAAGTGCATCATAAGAGAGTCGCATCACTTCATATGCTTGTCCAAGACCATACCAGGCTCGATAGTCACGGCAATTAGCCCCTACGGCTCTTCGATAGCATTCAATGGCAGCACTTGTGTTCTTGAGCTCAATATAATCATGGCCCAATAAGGTCCAAGCAAGGTGATAATTTCTGTTGAGTTTAAGGGCTCGTTTGAAGTATTCCACTGATTCCGGCATATCACCCTTTAAGCTATAGTAATTGGCTACATAGAGTATAAGTACAGTAAGTATGCTTTTGTTGTACATTATTACCAATCACATTGCATGTTTCTGGTCGATATTTGTCAATTTTGGCACATTCTAATGCAAGCACACATAGTCGATCTATTGAGTTTTGTAGGTAGAGTAGGTTGGAAAACACATCCATGTCTTCAAGTCGTGAAGGAAATGTTTTGTGTAACTCTTCAAATAAAGCAGAAGATTCATTGTAATCTAAATTTTGTAAGTATGTGCATTTTCTTTCTTTCTTTCTTTTTCTCTTACTTTGCGTATCGTAAAAGAAGACAGCCCATTGAGATAATACATAGGCACTCTTTGGAAAATAATCTGTTAAGGGTTCCATAATGGCCTTGAAAGTAGAGCCTGGCTGGTATACATCAATACACAGTTTAGCTAAAAAGAAATCCTTCATGACACTGCCCTTGAATTCTCGATTCAAGACTGTCTGTAGATCAAGAAACATCTTTGTGTTCTTGACTAATGAGCCTAATTCTACCCAAGCAGACCAGTTGTATTGATATTTTCGAATGCTTTGTAACAACACTTTGGCTGCTTGATCAGGTATTCTGCGTCTATTGAGTATAATACCATATCTATCAGAATTATGAGTCATTGGATCTCTTAAGCACTATTATACACACACAAGTATAAGCCAAATGCATCCAGGTTTTGCCTTGAGTATTCTTCAGCTAAATCTTTGTAGATTGACTCCAATTCTAGGTTTTCAGTCTTTGCATCTTCTGTAACACCAAGGATTTCCTGGCTTAATTCTTCTTTACTTTTTTCGCCAGACTAGATATGTTAAGTACCTTGTATTGCTGATAGATTTCTTACCAAATATTTAGCATAGAGTCTCAAGAAATAAAGCTTGGGTGATTTTGCATTACCCAAGACATCTTTGACACTATCAAATTGTCGTAACTGAAATAAAGATTTTGCATATTGATACAGATTATATTCATGTTCTGACAGTGGCTGTAGACTTGCTTCATAGGGTATATGATAGGGTGAAATTGTGTTTAGATGAATATCGTTTTGTGTGAAAGGTACTCGACTGTCCAATAAGTCTTCTCTTATGCCAGCCAATACTTCGGCTGTCCTATAGATCAATAAGCGATGGGCCTAGATCAGTACTCATTACCATTTCACCGACTCATAAAGACAACGTTCAGAGCAAACAAGAATTGACTGTTGTAGATTCACTTTGAATTGTCGAATAGATTCGTCTGTAAGTATCATTTGGAGAGACAATGAAGAGAGAAAGAAACGCGCCTTTGTTTAAACGCTGCATTGTCCTGATCAAGTTCGGTTCGGACTTGCTTCGGTGATTGAATTTATCATAGTGACAGAAGAAGAGAGAGGGAGGCTGAGTGAATAAACGCACTTGAAGGACATCCATCAAGTTGAATCTTCCTCTCTTTAATCCATAATCGAAATGGCTGCTTCAGGAATCGCTGTTGGCATCAACAAAGGTCACATCGTCACTCGTCGTGAACTCAAGGCCAAGCCCTCTAACAAGATTGGTGTATGTAACAACATATGGATGGATGCATCGATGTCTTGAGTCCTTCCTCTCTCTCTCTCTTTTTTCTTGTCTTGTCTGATTCAGTCTACTCATTATGAATTAACATTACGATCAACAGAGGAACGAAGAAGAAAAAGGAGAAGCAAAAACAAGAGAAAGAAAGAGAGAAAGGACATGTGTAGATAGACATAGTTGCCTCCATGTTCGAATGACAAACTAACTCTTTTTCTCTCTTTTAGGCTGCCTCCAAGCGTACCACTTTTGTTCGTGGCATCATCCGTGAAGTTGCCGGTTTTGCCCCCTATGAACGTCGTCTTATGGAATTGATCAAGAACTCCAAGGATAAGCGTGCCAAGAAGCTCTGCAAGTCCAAGGTAAAATAAAAAGTGTATACAATAGACGTGTATTGACCATGTATATATAGCTCGGTACTTTTGTTCGTGCCAAGAAGAAGATCGAAGAACTCACCGCTGCTGTTGCTGCTTCTCGTCGTCACTAAGTCTCTTTTCTTACTTTGGTTTCTTTATAAGTTAACTTGAAGAATAAAAAAGAAAAAAGAATGGACTTTATTTATGTTCTAAGAGTTGTTGTATTTGATACCAATCATCAACACGGTGAAGGGAATGATAACCAAATGTCTTGAGTGATGAGAGTAAAGATGCATTATTGCCTATGATAATGCCCATGTCTGCTTCCACTATAGAAAAGAATGAGTCATAAATACTATGGTTTATTTGCTTGCCTAATGCTTCAATATCACCCAAGGAATCACCAATATAAATCACTCTTCTTCCTTGTTTAAATGTCTCAATCACTCGTTGTTTATCGCCTGCTGTCAATATGGTGGGCACAATGTCACCTGTGCACTTTCCTTCATTGGAAAATGTCAATTCGTTACTATAGATATGCTCTTTGGGTATATCTAATTCACTCAAGAAGCCTTGAATCCAGTCCTTGGACCAGTTGAGCGAGACGATACGAACATGGTCTCTATGCTGTTGAAGAGTCTCTATCACATGGGGTCGAAGGTATTCTTTACTGTGTTCAGCACCTTGGTCAAACAGTTGTTGTCGAGTTAGACCTTCAAATACTTTATATTGACTCACTCGCTCCAAAGAAGCTTTTTCAACAGGTCGATAACTATCCAAACTGGCAGCATACGATCGAAAGTCTGTATGGGTGTCTGGAATAGACACTTTGTTGTAGTCTTGGAGATAGTTGTCAACAAAGAAGGACCAAGGTTTATTTTGCTTTAGAGAGAGACCAAACTGTCCCAAGAGAGCAATGGTGTCCTTTGTTGTAATAGTCTGGTCAAAGTCAACAAGCAAGAGTGGTGACATAAAGACGCGTTTAAGAGAGTGAAAGAACATGAGCCAATCAAATACCTGAAACGCTCAAGCATTGTATTTGTGAAATGTTGGGGGAATTTTTTTTTTTACACATCTTCATATGAATTGCTTCAAAATGGTCTATGTTTACTTGTATCACTTTCACGTGAGCCTGTACCTATGAATAAATAGAAATAAATTGTTCTTCTTTTTTTTTTTTTCTTTATTCTATTTTTATGTCTACACTTGTCTCTCGGGTGTTATCTCAAGCAGATAAAATACCCATTATTCATCATGCCAGTTCCTGGTTACCTACTGCCGAGAAAAAGGAAGAAATGATAAACTATGACTATCATACGCCTAGGTATTCAATGGCACCACCTTCTTATGAAAATGTAGTCAAAGAAAAGCTCGAAAATAAGCGATTTGGTAATACTCTGTCAACTATTTGGAAGCGCGCTTCATTTTCATCTTCCAGCAGTGCTCAACAAGATGAGAAAATGATACCTACAGGATTAATTGATAAGAAACAGATTGAGCATGCTGCTACATTGATCAATGTGGCTACTGATATGAACAATTCTGGCAATCAGCAAATGGCCATTGATCTCTATATGATGGGATTAGATAAACTGGTGGCTGCTTTGCCTTGTAATTATAGCTGCAATTGATCTCTGAATACTCATGATTATTTTAGTGGAATCAGATCCTATTGTAAAGACTTCGCTTGAAAGAAAACTAGTTGAATTAAACAAACGTCATCAACTCAGTCCTGTCTCTGTTGATGATGATGAAGAAGAAGAAGAAGAAAAGGAAGAAGAAGGCAAGTCTGTTCGAACTCAGATTTCCAATTTAGTCATCAATGCTACTGTTTTGAGTGCTGTTGCCCTGAAAAAGAGTCCCATTCCTGGTAAAATAGTAAATAAACATGTGTATGGTCATACTCATGCTATTAGATGTCATGTCACATATCATGAATTATGCTGTTGACGGTATTCAATGCATGGATGAAAAGCACCAAATTCGTAAGCGTACCTGGGACTTTGCTGCATCAGGGTTTGCAAAGGCTGTTGAGATAGATCGCCAATATGAAATACATCAAATGGTCACCGGTGTAGTTTATACAGGTCTTGCTGCTTTTGTTAAAGCTGGCATCGCTTATGCTGAAACGCCTGGTCCTAAAGATAAAGAATTTTAGATCCGCAACCAACAATAAAGGTTCTTGTTATGAGTCACGTGCCTAAAATCAAGATTTTTTTTTGAACTCATGTGAAGACAGATAATGCTACGTAAAGAAAAAAACATATCTCTCTCTTTTTCTTTCTTTTTCTTACTCCCCACTCTATTTCCTTATGATCCCTATTGTTAGACACCGTTTCAAGACGGCTTTGCCTCGTGCAGCAACGATAGTTGCCAAGCACGTACCTGTTATTCGTCCTTCTATGGCTATTCGTTTAACAGCTGCTCGTTCCTTTTCTAGCTCTGCCAGTCAACCTATTTGGATTCCTTTTGACAGAAACTCACTCCCAGAAGATGATCCTCGACGTAGTGAACAGTTTATTGACGAAACAGACGTCGTTATTGTTGGTGGTGGTCCTGCCGGTCTTTCTGCTGCTATTCGCTTAAAGCAATTGGCCAATGAGCAAGGCAAAGAATGTCGCGTTATGGTAGTTGAGAAGGCAGGCGAAATTGGTGCTCATACATTAAGTGGCGCTGTGATAGAACCTAGAGCATTGGACGAATTGATTCCTGAATGGAAAGAAAAAGGAGCCCCATTAAATACACCTGTCACCAAAGACAACATGCGCTTCTTGACTAAATCACTCTCTATTCCTTTACCCCACCCTCCTCATATGAACAACAAGGGCAACTATATTGTTTCCTTGAGCAATTTTGTCAAGTGGTTGGGCGAACAAGCTGAAGAATTGGGTGTTGAGATTTACCCTGGTTTTGCTGCAAGTGAAGTCCTTTACAACGAGAATGGTAGTGTAAGTGGTGTTACGCTGAATGATGTTGGCCTGGATAAAAATTTTGAGCCCAAGGTAAATTCCCACGATGGCATATGGGAAAAATTAATCATCGCTTATAGGATACTTATGAAAGAGGTATGGCTGTCAATGCCAAAGTAACTCTTTTTGCTGAAGGTTGTCACGGTTCTCTCACCAAGACATTGACAAAGAAATTCGGATTAAGAGATGAAAGTGGACCTCAAAAGTATGGTATTGGTCTTAAAGAAGTATGGGAGGTCTTGCCAGAGAAGCATAATTCTGGATCTGTTACACACACTGTAGGTTGGCCAGCCGATATACATACTTATTGCGGTAGTTTTATCTACCATTTTGAACCAGAACGTCACCTTGTCGCTCTTGGTTTAGTGGTTGGTTTGGACTACTCCAACCCTTATTTGAACCCTTACAAGACATTCCAACAATTCAAGCATCATCCTTCAGTTAAGAGTCTTTTGGAAGGTGGTAAATGTATTTCTTATGGTGCAAGAGCATTAAATGAAGGTGGTTATCAATCCATTCCTAAACTTGTTTTCCCTGGTGGTGCCCTGATTGGTTGTACTGCTGGTTTCTTGAATGTACCTAAAATCAAGGGTACTCACACTGCCATGAAGTCAGGTATGCTTGCTGCTGAATCTGCTTATGAAAAGATCTTTGGCGAGCAGGAATTAGAAGGCCCTGTCATGTTGGACAATTATGAAGAGAGCATTAAGAACTCTTGGGTGTACAAGGAACTCTATGAAGTACGTAATATACAACCTTCTTTCCATAGCTCCTTGGGTCTTTGGGGTGGTTTAGCTTACTCTGGTCTTGACACCATGTTCTTGAAGGGTCGTACTCCTTGGACATTTAAGCACAAGAAGGCTGATTGGGAATGCATGAAGACTGCTGCGTAAGTAAATTTGGAATATCATTCTTTCTCACGCACCTTTTAGTGAATCGAAGCCTATTGATTATCCCAAGCCCGATGGTGTTATTTCATTTGATTTGTTGACAAGTGTGTCTCGTACTGGTACTAACCATGCTGAAAACCAACCTGTTCATTTGCGTATTCGCGATAAGGACATCCCTGTTGAAAGAAACTTGGGTGTTTTTGATGGCCCTGAAAACAGATTCTGTCCAGGTAAGTTTTTTGTTTAGATGTGTGTGTATGTACTCATTCTTTTTTAAGCCGGTGTCTATGAATATGTGGAGGATGAAAACAAGCCTGGAGAAAAACGCCTTCAAATCAACTCTCAAAACTGTATTCACTGTAAGACTTGTGACATTAAGGATCCTTCACAAAACATTGATTGGACTGTTCCTGAAGGTGGTGGAGGACCCCAATATGTTTGGACTTAAGCGTACAGTTTTTTTTTTTTTTACATGATATCATTTAAATAAATAAGTCTTTTTTTTTCTATGAAATTGTTGGGGATATTTTTGTTTCATACTTTATATTTGTTGTGAGTTTATATGTCATTGCTTTTTATGGAGGAGTTTGCTTCTTTTATAAACATGACCATAAATAAGCATTTCCTTTGATTTAGGGAATCAAGCATCTTTTCGATCAAGTATTCTATTGGAATAAAGTATTTTGGAGTACATAGCATATTTATGTAAAAGAGACACCAGGCAAATAGACACTTCAGCAGTGAAAAAGGCATTACTTCATGCAAATCTTGCCTTTTCTTGGGCGTACAAAGTAAAATAATGCTTGTTCTTATTCACATAAATGCTCCAAATACCTAAAGACAGTGTTTACTGACATATATGATACATTTGGGGTTGATTTGGACCAAAAAAGGCGACTTGTGAAAAATGGCCAAAATGACCATTCGACCAAAGGGTATTAGTCATGAAAAAGCTCGTTTAACAACTTTCTTTTAATAAACACATTTTTTTTTAAAAAAATATATCTTCTTTTGAACGCTACAGGACAAAAAAATAGAGCTATCTACACGCTTAAATACTCAAAATGCACGTCAGAAGCTCTACTTTTTGGTGAATGTGTTTGCTTGCCAGTTGTACTATAAAAGTAGTACGACAAGAGTGAAAAACCTTGTAAATATTTTTGCCTATTTACTCGATATTTTAGCAACAAATTTGTTGTGTTCTTTGTATCAAAAAACTCAGAAAGCAAAGATCTACAGCTTTTGTCACTGCATCAAAGCCCAATAACTGCGTCTTTATACAGTTCTCAGCAAAAGCCCGATTTTTTTTTTTTTTTTTTTTTTTTTTTTTTATTACGGCGGCAAGAAGAGCTGGAGTTGCCTTTCATTTCAATCTCCGCACCATAGTTACATGGTAAGCTCTATGTCCATTTGCCCCCACATTTGCATTATAAGATGCATATCTTTCTATGTTCCTTGACATACTAGATAGCATATGATATGCCTTATAAGTCTGTATCTAGCAAGTTTCATATACCATTTAGAATAAAAATGCTCAAAACACAGCTTAAACATGCCAATCTTTGATACCTCATTACTTCACAACTACATTATCAAAACAGCCCGCTTTTTATTTAGAACATGTTCTTTCGAGCCCAGAAATTGAATGGTACCATTAGTTTAGCTGCTTTGTGATATTTATATTTTTGAATGAGCCAACGTAGGTCTCATGACTCTTTCCGATTCCCAACACTTTTCTCGGGCAGCAGAGTTAGAAACAGCTCTTAAGCCTAAAAGCACTAGCAAACAACGATCATATGCTCAAGTAGTAGCTGCGAAGACTCGAGTGTCCTTGATGCACAAGGACATTACTAAACCTCACCCCGACGACTCTTCACTAAGTGAAGTACAGTCGAGAATTTTCAAATCATCTAGATCTAAGAATGCTTTTCTTCTTGACATCACCAAGGTCAAAGCTCAATACACAGACATTCAGTGTCTGCAAGAGATCAAGGGCCAACACCCTAAAGTTCATGCTTGTTCTCTTCTCAACGATGGACCAACTCAATATCTCGAGATTTATGTTGAATCTCAACATGATGTCAATAATCTTGGCACCAAAGGTGTTGAATTCAAAAAATATAGTCAAAATAGCACGTACATCACTGGGTGCATGTTTTGACTTAAGTGCTTCGGCGGAAGAAGCCTTCTGAACTTCTTTGAGTGCAGACTGTGACATTTCTTCGACAGACTGCTTCTTGACAGCTGATGTCTTACGCTTTTTTGAGGGACTAATCGGTGCTTTTCGAGGACACTCGAAAGACCAATGCCCAAGGAGATGACAATTGTAGCAAATTATCTTTGCTTTAGATTTCGCACACTCGAATTTGGCGTGTCCGGTTTGGTGGCAGTATCTGCACCAAGTGGGCATGTTGTTCCATGTGGCATGAATTATTTCATCTTTATCTTCACACCATGGGGTAGTATGAGTTAATGTTTGGTAACTGGATTGACCCTCAACTGAGTGTCTTGGGACACCCACCACTGCGTAACCTGCCCCCATGAAGAACCCTGTATTAGGCTCGGTTATAGTGCCGACGTCAATAACTTGGCCGAAAGGAGATAAACTGACCTTTAGGCCATCCAGAACTTCGGATCTGGGTAACATTGGTAGGTGAGACAGTTTGGTATGGTTCACCATCCAACTGTCATCAGTGGCTTGGCGCGGAATGATTCGCAGCTTAGAGCTACAAAGAATGTCAAATCATCAAGTATGAAAGACGATGATAGTGCCGACGAGATGTCTCAAGATGAAGAAAGTGACGAAGAAGGGTTGAATTATGTTCCCAGTGAAGGTTACGATAGTGATATTGAGGTCGAAGAGCATAAAAGCAATGAGGATATTTCGGAAATAGAAGCGGATGCCGTTAAGGCCAATGTCATGACTGTTGTGAACATATAGAATCTAAATAAGTCTTCAATTACATACTAAGAATATATCATAACCAATTCACATCAGAAATAGACATAAAAGAACCTCTTGTACTGAATAAGACAATGTATTTTTTAATAGATCAAGACTTATAACCGAAATCCATAATTTACATTATTTAATTAATTTAAAGTAGTCTATGATAATAGAGACTCAGTCATTTGCATGAACTCTACTACTACTTCGACATCTCTTCATGTATAAATACCTAGAGAATGAAGAGCTAGAAAACAAGATATATATTTTTTGGGAATAATAAACCTATACAAGTTCTAATCGACTTCTTTGTTTTTATCTTCTCTCTTACATCACAACAGACGAGACTAACAGACGTTGTGAGATGAAGAGAGAGTAGATATTCAATAAGAGAAAAGGTAAGAACACAGAGAAAGTCCGTTAGAACTTGTATAGGTTTTTATTTCTCCAAGAAATGTTATCTTTCAATTGCTATAAAATGTCGAGGTACTTATACTTTTTCTTCTCGGTCAAAATATTGTTTTGGGGTTAGCTTCTTGAGTACAGATTGATTTGTTAGATCAGGAGTAATTAAGAGAAATGCCTTTAGAGGAAGTTGTCAGCTCAGCCAATAGTGCATGATCTGATCTGATCTGACCTAAACTTGAATAAACTATTACATATTCGTCAAATGCCAATGCTAATGTATTTGTCAGCTCTAACTGTCACTTTATGAGGGCCATTAATAATAACAGAGTCACTGGGTTCATAATCTCTGACTATGAGGATGATGTAGTACTTCTAGTAGAATGAGTGAATGTCAGTGACTATAGATCCATTGCAATTGCCATATATGTGGTCTGGTCTTTTGCCATGATCATCATTTATTGATCTATGCATATAAATTCATATATTTTCACAACATGAGGTGTGATAGAAACTCCTTACGGAGTTTTGGTGATGACTCCTTGAAAATGCTGCGAACATTTAAAGAGTCTATTCTAATGTGGTTACTATTTACTAGGTCTCATGGCCATCAGCACTGGGTTTGTGTGTCGCATCTGGCTTAGTACTGTTGCGCTCTCCTTCAATTAAATCCAGCTCCATTCCTCGAGACCCGATCTCCTCCTCAATGTGTTCCTCCTCGTCTGTATGATGATCCTGAGAAACAACCACGGGAGAATCTAAATTCATATGAACTGCCACTGTATCTGAGGCCCATTGAGAGCGAGACGATCCATCAGGACGGAAAACCGGCACGGACGGTTTCTCTCTAGGGGCTGGTTGTGCCTTGCGATGGGCTGCCTTATCCTTGACTGCTTCATATTCAGCTAACAAGGTAGAATCATCTTTCGAGCCTAAGTCTGCCTTGCAAAATCGTCGAGTGTGACCCTTATCACCACATTCAAAACACACCTGTGCCTGCAAAGTAGGTCAATTGCGACAAACATGTCCTGCTTGGCGACAGTAGTAACAAGTTGGTGCAGCACCCTTAAAAGAGGCTGTTGCATGCTTATCCCAGTAACTGAGATACAGTTGTCGAGTCAAATCCTTGATATCAATGGCCTTGCCATCCTTATGCTGAGCTGCTTTTTGTGCGTCAATGATGAAACTGATCTTTCCATCAAAGAAACCTTCGCACGTAAACTTTTTGATCTGGTGAGCTGTGCCATAATATCTAAGCGATTGCTGTAGCCCTGTCAACAGTTCCTCGCTGGTAGGGATATGAAGCAGAGTCAGAGCGACATGAACAAAGCTTTTGGCTGTGTTTTCCCTGGTAGGAGTGCCCAAAAATGTACGCTCTCTAACGGTGACTCCAGTCGTTATAGCCTTCTGCTTGGAATCCTTAGATTCAAATCGTGCCTCGATCAAAATATCCTGTTTGTTTGGATTGGGAGTGTAGCCACTTAGATGTTGAAATCCTTCAACTTTGCCAAAGGTATCCTGAATCGCTTTATAAGCCGCAATATGACTGACAAAAATACCAGGAGGAAAGGTGAACAAAATAGTGCCTGTAGTAAGCGATTGACTAACAATGCTAGCTGCTTTGCGATTCAACATCTCAAATTCAAAGCTATGCGATTTGAAGATGATTTTAGGTACGTACTTAATCGCGTTGTTTTGGGAGCTGATCCTCGGTATATGAGGGATGCGCAGTCTGTTACCGATCTCGGCAACCTTAGTCCAAGGTATTTCACCAAAGACCGTCATAGTTGGATAGGACAAAGAAGTTTGTTTTTATTATTACTACTCAAATGGTACACTCAAATTTTCTATTAGTTATGAATATGCAAAAGAGCCTGGAAATAGTGTACGATGGATGTCTTGTAGGAGAAGGGTTGGCTATTTCAAGCGTCGATATTTTCATTTTAACTGACTAGGTCTACTCTGCTTTGATGAGTATGCTTTTTTTCTTTGTCAATAGTTGCCAACCGCAATCGCATTTTAATCAAGTTGAACCAAATTAGTAAAATAAATGATAAAAAGACTATTGGCTTGACGTGATATCGTAGCGTATCGAAGACATCACCATAGTTTTGCAAGTAGAATGGACCCTGATCCACTCATACTGAAAATGAACGACAGCAATAAAACAATTGACTTGGGTCGATAAAGCTTTTGATAAAAGTGGATTACAAGCATAGCTTTTATTACGCAAAGACAACAACAAAGGCCTGGGACATACACAATACAAACATATTGTGGGTTTGATCAATGTAATCAAGCCTTTTCAAGTCCTCTTCTTGCCTGAGTAAGAGTTGATCAGATTCCCAAACAGAAACAAGAAAACTCAAGAAAGTACACATGCACTACGTAAACTTACCAAGCCTTGAATGAATATCATTCACACACCAAAGAGAGTCAAAGTTTGAAGAAAAGATCTTAAAAGGCTTATATATCCATGCAATTGAGAGGATAATGTAACACAACAGAAAAAAAACAAATCACTCTTGTAATGAGGTGCACAATCATGCTCCATACATAAGCCTGTTTTAAGATTGTTTATGTGACAAGATCTTCTCTAAATAAATCCATAGACCAAAGAAACAATGCACACTATTTGGCATCAAGTTTATTTAAAGATAAATATTGTTTTTTTGACTTTTTGCATCTGTTAAAGGAACATACTGTATAGAGTAAGTGAATTAATCGCTTGAATGTTCTTAGTTACCATAACACCTATCCACTTCTTTTCATGCAAATTGCCGTCTTTGTCTTTATCATAGATCATAATGTATTGTGAATCTGCGCCAACAGGTACAAACAATCTATGGACACATGAGTACAAAGATTCTTTTTTAAAAAGATAAGCCTACCTTCCTGGTGCTTTCAGTTGTTCAATCAATTTCTCAGGTGTAGAAGGTGAAGCAGCTCCTACATGACTTGAAGATATGAGTACTCCCAAAAAAAAAAAACGAAATACGTTACATGCAATCATAAGGTGCTTCTTTTTCATAACCAAGTCTTCCATCACCTTCAATGACTTCGATCTGATTATTATCTAACCAATCTTGGTGGCTCTTTTTTAAATTGCGTGTAGAAGAATCAACAAGTTCTCGAATATGTTCAACGCCAACAACTTTGCCAGTAGAACCAACCTATGCATTGGATGAGATATGATACTTGATGTCTGATGACTTGCCATGGCTGCCATACAAGCACAAAGATAGCCTGAACCAGACCCAATGTCCAATGCTGTTTCTGTTTAGAAAACATTTATTTTCCATGCATTTTACCCTTCATGCCAGGTTGAAGAAACTGCTCCAAGTTTTCTAGAGCATATCCATGCATATGTCTGTTATTGTTATAACGAATTGCTCTCACAAAGAAGGTTATACATACGGAGCTGAGATGGTTGCACCATATCCAATCGTTTGAGGAGAATCTTCATAAGGATACCGAGGACAAAAGTCCTTTCTATATAGAATCATAAGTATCTCCCTATTCTAGATATGCTTACCTGTCCACTTTCTTCATAGCAGATACCACTCTTTGATTCTTGATGATACCTGCACCTAAAAGGTTTTCAACAAGTGCTTCGTTTGTTACTCCTTTCATAAGAGTGAGAATACTAGACAAGGCTTATAAAATTGTATACCTGAACAACGCCAAGCCATATTATTTTCAATGGAAAAAGAAAACGATGGAATCAATGTGTCTCAAATGACGTATTTATGCATTCATATTGGGAAATGTATACTCAAGACATTCCGGAAGGAAAGAGTCTTCCGGGCTTAGGACATCCACTGTATGTCTTTATTGATGTATGGCTCTCATTTACATAGTTGTGTGTTTGTTGAATGCCTCTGAACGTATGTCTTGAAGGAAGGTTTGATTAAAGCTTTTCTGAATTTGTAAAATAAAGCAACTTCTTCAAAGCACCGCTAGTTATCCCGACTTTTTTTGTTTTTCTTTCGATTATTATACATAAAAAAAATGACTACACAAAAGAAAGCAATCGTATTCTTGGCAAATGGTGCTGAAGAAATGGAATTCACTATTTCGGGTACGCGTTCTTTATACCTTTAGACCCCACTAACAGTTATAGTGGACGTATTACGCCGAGCCAAAGTTGAGGTAACTGTTGTTGGTGTCCAACTTGAAGGTCAAGCTGCAGTTTGTAGCCGTGGTGTCAAAATTCTACCTGATATTGAGCTGGAAAACACAAAGATTGATCCTGTATGTATACAGAAAATAGAGACATTTTACGAATGATGTGTTTAGGAACACTATGATCTTGTACTTGTTCCAGGCGGTGCAGGTGGTGCAAAGACATTAGCTGCTCATGAAGGCATCCAAAAACTCATTTTTGACTTTTATAACAAGAAAAAGATTGCTGCTTTTGTTTGTGCAGGTACACTTGTTGCTAAAGCTGCAGGCATTCCTTACAAGCACAAAGTCACTTCTTATCCTGGAGCTGTTAAAGAACAATTGGTCAACTGTAAGTACTTCTTAATCAAACAATAGCTTTGCTCATTCTATCTCTCTTTTTTTTAAGTATATAATTATTCAGAAGATAGAGTTGTTGTTGATGACAATGTAATTACAAGTCGAGGACCTGGTACTACCTTTTTATTTGCATTAACTATTGTTGAACACTTGATTGATGCAAAGGCAAGTTTCTTTTTTTCATCGTATATCTGCTAACACTGTTCTAGACCGCTGAATCTCTTAAGGAAGAAATGCTTACTTGTACTGAATTGTAACTATAAATAAAGAACTATACATTTTTTATGTATGTAAATCATAGCACAAAGTTTGCTAATGAGCGGCGTTCTAATCCATTATGTGACTCGACTTCCATTTTCAGCTTTAAGGCGAGTGTCAAATACACCAACACACAAGGCACAATAGCAATCCTTCCTTTAACCAGTTCAGCCAGTCGCAATGGTAAGGATGCATAGATCCATCCATTGAAACGAAAGCAGCTTGGACTAGATTATACGAGATATTAGATGGATGACAATGTTTAACTGTGGATACGTCGATGGATGGATCATGTCACTATTGCTCATTTTATAGACAGCATCATTGACATTTTACATTATAGCCTTTCGTCAAGCAACAGAAGAACAAGGCCTACTTCAAGCGTTACCAAGTCAAGTACCGTAGAAGAAGAGGTAAACATCATGATTAATGGCGAATGACAACTAATCCATATATACAGAGGGTAAGACCGACTACTATGCTCGTAAGAGACTCGTCGTTCAAGCCAAGAACAAGTACAACTCTCCCAAGTACAGATTGGTTGTTCGTTTCACCAACAAGGACATTATCTGTCAAATCATCTACGCTAAGCTCCAAGGTGACTTTGTCCTTGCTGCTGCTTACGCTCACGAACTCCCTCGTTACGGTGTCAAGGGTGGTTTGACCAACTGGGCTTCTGCTTATGCCACTGGTCTCCTCCTTGCTCGTCGTACTCTTGCCAAGCTCGGTCTTGCTGATAAGTACGAAGGTTTCGCTGAACCTGACGGCACTGTCCAAATGATCGAAGCCGCTGAAGATGCTCCTCGTCCCTTCAAGGCTTTCCTCGATGTTGGTCTTGCCCGTACCTCCACTGGTGCTCGTGTTTTTGGTGCCATGAAGGGTGCTTCTGATGGTGGTATCTTTGTTCCCCACAGTGGTAACCGTTTCCCTGGTTTCGATATCGAATCCAAGACCAACGATGATGAACTCCTCCGTAACTACATCTACGGTATTCACGTCGCTGAATACATGGAATACCTCGAAGAAGAAGATGAAGAACGTTACAAGAAGCAATTCTCTACTTTCATCAAGGCTGGTATCACTTCTGACAAGGTTGAAGACATGTACGCCGAAGCTCACGAAGCTATCCGTGCTGATCCCTCTCACAAGCCCACTGAAAAGAAGGGTAAGCCCGCCAAGCCTTACCGCAGAGCTGTTGCCCTCAACAAGAAGCAACGTCTTACCAAGATCAAGGAAGCCAAGGCTGCTTTCGAAGCTTCTCAATAAACTGCCCCTTATCCATTTCTTTAATAAACTTGAACTAGATAAAAGAAAAAAAAATTAATCCGGTCAATTCGGTTTTTTGTGTAATGAGATTATCTTTTAATTCCCTTTTTTAGTCATTTTTTCGATAAGCATGATTGAATATGTCTGCAGACTGGGCTATCTTATCTCGGTGTGTTATTGTGTATTGTGAAAACGAAATAAGTCAGTAAACATCTTATCACTTTTTTTTTCCCTGTTTACTTATCGTTGCCTGTGAACACTCGAAGCATTCTTATCTTGCAAGCTAATACTACGTGTAACAAAAAATGTATTGTTGTGATGATCTATAAGGATATAAAAATCAACTTTTTTTCTTGGTTATTCTTTTTCCTTATATATAAATAAAGCAATGGCTATTTTATCACAAGGTAAACTTACTTGACATTATGATATGCTCATACTTCAATTAGGTGCTGGTTATGGAGTAGTATTAGGGTAAATAAGCTTTGATCTATAATTGAAATAACATTGTTTCAATTGTTATAGGTTTGGTGCTCTATTTGCACTTATGATGACAGGCATTACTTATCTCTGTCAACGTTATTTAAAGGAAGTTCAAACATCAGAAATGTACATGACTGCTCAACGTACAGTCAAGACCGGTCTCGTTGCTAGTGCCATTGTCTCTTCATGGACATGGGCTGTAAGTTCTTTTTTTTTTTTTTAATCGTATCCTTCATTTCTTACGCATGCATATAGGCCACCTTATTAACAAGTACAGAAGTTGCTTACAAATATGGTGTTTCGGTAAGAGAATAAAATGCTTTTTTTTTATGGAGAGATGTTGACTCAAATTATAGGGTCCTATTTGGTACGCTTCTGGTGCTGTTGTTCAAGTCTTGTTATTTGCTGTCTTGGCTATCGAACTAAAGCGCCGTGCTCCAAACGCGCATACCATTTTGGAAGTCGTGCTGGCTCGTTACGGAAAAGGTGCCCATATTGTCTATCTTATATTCTCTCTTATCACCAACATTGTAAGTTCAACATCATCCATAAGATAGTCGCTAATACCAGTTAGATTGTGACAGCCATGCTGCTTTTGGGTGGTAGTGCTGTTGTCAATTACTTGACAGGTATGCATATTGTGGCTGTTTGTATGCTGTTGCCACTAGGTGTCATTGTTTATACTTTATTTGGTGGTATCAAGGCTACTTTTATGTCTGATTATTCGTAAGTGACCCAAGATAAAACATGAACTCATATGTTGTACAGACATACAGTAGTAATCTTTATTATCATCATTTCTTTCGTCTTTACTGTTTATTGCTCCTCTCCCAAAATTGGGTCTATTGGCACAATGTATGATCTTTTGGTAGCAGCTTCAGAAAGAACGCCTATTGCAGACAATGAACATGGATCACTTGTCACGATGTCTTCTCTTCAAGCACTTATCTTTGGGTATATAAAGAAAGAGAGAGAGAGAGAGAGAGAGAGAGAGAGAGAGACACCTGACTGACCATTGAACTTTAGTATTATCAATATTGTAGGTAACTTTGGTACTGTCTTTTTAGATAATGCTTACTGGCAACGTGCTATCGCAGCTCATCCTCATTATGCTGTGAAGGCTTACTTGGTGGGTGGCCTCAGTTGGTTTGCTATCCCTTTTGCATTAGCCACTACCATGGGTTTAGCAGGAAGAGCACTTAATATCAATCTTACACCATTTGCTGTCAGCCAAGGTCTTGTCTTGCCTGATGTAGCCTCTGCACTTCTCGGACAAGCAGGAGCATTTGCCTGCCTTGTGCTTGTGTTTATGGCTGTCACAAGTGCATCTTCTGCTGAACTGATCGCTGTCTCTTCTGTATTTACCTATGATATTTACCGCACTTATATTCGTCCTGAAGCAAAAGGCCATGAAGTCGTCCGCTTTTCTCATATCATTGTGATTGTCTTTGGCATCTTGATGGGTGTGCTTGCTATCTTGTTAAACTTGACAGGCATCAATTTGGGCTACCTTTATACTCTTATGGGCGTCTTGATTTCTTCTGCTGTTGCTCCACTTGCATTGACTTTGTTATGGAGTAAGCAATCAAAATTGGCTGCTATTGTATCTCCCATCTTTGGTTTCTGTGCTGCTATCAGCACCTGGCTTGCTGTGACAAAGAGTATGTATGGTACGATCACGGTGAATACAACATCTCAGAATATGCCCATGATGTCTGGTAACTTGGTAGCTCTATTCTCGCCTATTCTTGTGACTGTGACCATCAGTTTGATCAAGCCTGATAACTTTAGTTTTGATGCTACACGAAACATTCAAAAGGTGGATGATTCAAACCAAGAACAGCAAGTCGCTGGCGACTTTGATGAAGTATATGCTCAAGCAAGCTTAGAAGACACAAACAAGAATGAAGAAGAAGCATCCATGGCCAAATCCTCTCGTTTTGCTAAAATCTCCAGTCTTACGCTTTCCTTGATTCTATTTGTGCTTTGGCCCTTACCTATGTTCTTTTCTAAATACGTCTTTTCCAAATCTTTCTTTACAGGCTGGGTTGTTGTTTCTATCATTTGGGTGTTCTGTAGTACAATTGCTGTTGGTATCTATCCAGTCTTTGAAGCCAGACATACGATTGCCAATATCTTTAGAGAAATTTGGCGTGATATCACAGGCAAACGTATTCCCAACTTACCAACGACTGTAGGGAACCCAATGCTTACTGAGGAAAATGTCGTTGTATATACTGAAGACAAGAAGGCTAGCGGCTTGTAGATTATTTTAATAAACTTAATTTGCCTTTTTAAAACGTGCTCAGGTACAGACCTTTTTTCAGTGACCGATATAGCTTTTCTCTCCCCCTTTTTTTCTTTTTCATGACATCTAAGTAAAGACTATCTCTATTCAACATAAACAAAAGACTCTAACGTGCTTGTCTATAGACGCGACTTGGAAGACTTTTCTGATGATGAGCAACTTTTTGCAGAACTCGAGAATGAAGAAGATACCGAAGTCTCTGCTATTAGAGAGAGAAGAATCAGAGAGATTCAAGATGAGTAAGGATCTGAACTAGCAAGGAGTTATCCTAACCCATCATCAGACTGAATAGACGTAATGCTCAGGCGGAAAATGATCATGGCTTATATACAGACATCAGTAAAGAAAAGGAATTCATGGACATCACTACTTCTGAAAAGTACGTCGTGGGACACTTTTATCATAGAGACTTTAGAAGATGTAAGATTATGGATACACATTTAGAGGTAAGAACAAGTTGTGCCTGTATGTGTGTTGATTCATTGTCTTTGTAGTCACTAGCAAAGAAATATTATGATACCCGTTTTATCAAGATTGACGTCCAAAATGCACCTTTTTTGGTAGAGAAACTTCAGATCCGAGTTCTGCCTTGCGTTATGGCATGGGTGAATGGCTATGCACAGACAAAGTAAAATAATAGAGCAAGTTAAAGAAGAACACTGACATACTCTCTTTACTTTAGAATTGTGGGTTTTGATGAATTGGGTAACTCGGATGGTTTCCAAACAGCTTCACTTGAATTGAAACTACTTCATGCCAATGTTATAAAGAAAAAAGAAGAAAAATCACAGGGGGCTAAAAAGTCAATCTTTCAGTCTAACAATGACACAGATTCAGAATTAGAAGACGATTAAATAAATAGCTATTATTGACCAGTCATGCTTCTGTAAAATCTTGCTACTTTTTGATTCACTGTTACTTTTGCTTTGCTAAAGTTGAGTACTTGAAGATTTTCCATTGTGACTGATCTTGATAAGGCAACATAAGCATGTCCTTCTTCAAAGGAATGCTCCAAATCAACTTTGACATATTCAATGGTCTGTCCTTGAGATTTATGTATCGAAAGTGCCCAAGCAAGTATCAAAGGAAGTTGGTCTCTGTATGCTGTATATTTACCTATGTAATGTGTATTAGTTTGAGTTAGGATACTATGACCATGTTTACCATTTGCAATATTGACTTCCCACTTTTCTCTCTTGATTATCTTTTCTTTTCCATTCGTGAACTTGACGACAGGACATGCTTCTGATAGTCCTTCTTCTTCTACAAATCGAGTAACTACACCAAGTGAACCATTAATCAGATCGGCTTCAAGTTTTTTGATCAGCATCACTTGTGCACCCACTTTTAATGTGAGTTCGCTTAGTGCTTTAAAATCTTTTAGATACTCAGTACGCCCTGAGTCTCTAGCCTTGTATAAGTATTCTTTTCCTTTAATAAGGTCTAATCTTCTCTTGTTGGATTGTGCTACTTCACGCTTCGTAGGATATCTATACAGTGTCAGTAAGGATACGTTTCAAATAGACTACTTACAGTTCTGTAGGATGAACACCTTCTATAATTTTTGGTTCTCTATTAAGTGATTTGAAGATTCTTTCTGTTTCTGCTGATACATGGCCAACCCGTATTTCATTCAACATTTCAATCAGTTCTAAAAGAGTTAAAGCACATCAAAAGATAGAGTTAGCTTACTTGAATCTTTCTGTCTAAAACAATGCTTTAAGCTGATATTTTTGTGAATAATCTTATTCCAGCATCTGGCTTCAAAGGCAAACTGTGCATTGCCCTTTTTACATATGGGAGGTAATTGAAAGAAATCACCACAAATAACAACCTGTCATAGTTGAGTGAGTTTGTCGTCCTATACAATTTTTACCTGTAATCCCCCAAAAGGTGTTTCCCTTCTGCGAACACGGCGAGCAATTTCTTCAATTTTATCAAGCAATCGACCATCAATCATGGATATTTCATCAATAATCAATACTTTTACTCTAAGCCAATCTTTTTCTGCTGCACGGTTTTGACAAATAGTTTTTACATAAGCAGACACATCTTTTTCACCTAAACCTATCTTGGCAAAACTGTATTTTTGTTTGTTAAGTATAAGCACCTATTTGTCAATTAAACTTTACCTATGAAGTGTGATACCTCCAATATTGATTGCAGCAAGACCAGTAGCTGCAGTAATACCAATTTCATCTGTATCGTATTGACTTTGTAAAGTATTGATAATGCATCTCAATAAAACGGATTTACCAGTGCCTTAAAAACTGCATAAGCCAAACGAAGGTATCCTTAACAGTTATAAATACCTGCAGAACCAGTAAAAAAGACATTTTTCTTTTCATTGACAACATAATCATGGATTTGCTTTTGTTCTTCAGATAATGCTTCGTACAATGCCATATTCCTTGGTGGTCGATACGTTAATTTTGGTTGTCGTTTATTGGTAGAACGAAAGGTTGTCTTGGGCTGTAATTCAGGTGCTCTGACCTGTGACAAGAAAGCCTTTGGATCAATGAATGAAGCTGATGATGAGATCATTGTTTTTGCTCTTTTCTGAAAGCCAGATTTTAAGCTCTCATGAATTGGCATCCTGACTCTCTTTTCACCAAGACCGGATAAAGAAAGGCTGCCTCCAAGACTTAAAGAGTGCGCAACAAGTCTTGCTGACTCTCTTGTTTCCTTTTCTTTTCCTTTTTCGTTCTCTTTTGGTTTTGTGTTTGTAAATCGCTTCTCAAGCACATCTGATAAAGGTGATCTTGGAATAGCCATCCAACGAATCACCCAGCCTTCTAGCTGAGGATTAGGGTGATAGATTTCTTTTAAATCCTTCTCTTCATTTTCACTAGTTGTCATTTGATTCATAAAGAAAAAGAAAAAAAAAGAAGTCCAGACGTGTAAAGTAATTTATGCAAAATCAAAACTCAATTCTGTGCAAACAGAGGACTGTTGAATTCACTGCTTCTTTGCGCCTGGAATGAGTATCTTGAACATAACAAATGAATAGCAACTACTTGCTATCCAACTGAATTAAAAACTCCAGAACAAGAGTCTATCAAATGATATTCTGTTTGTCTTCTAAAGCATACATCCATCCAAAGCTTTAGAAAGGCTGTACGTAAATATGTCACAAAAAAAGATGACATTGGCCTTAGTGACTGTTATTCTTGAAAGAGAATATACTTACCACTCAACCTAGGAAGGTGTTACTAATGGCACCTAGGTCACCTTGGCCTCTTAAAAGCTGTTATGGTCTGCTGTTGTTGTCATAAGCCGAACGAATATATTCACATAAGCTGCTTCTTTTGTTGTGTGTGGCATTAACATCTCGGTTCCAGTACTAAACATTTATTTACGCTGTGTAGTGAAATGAGTTAGACGAGATTGAGCATTCAGAAGTGGGAATCAAAATATCATTCAGATGGCTAAGACTAGATTTGAAAGATCTCTTTGCTTGTGAGGATCATCCATGTAGCCGTTGAACACTGCTTTCACATTCTCAAAACCATCGGAAACAAGCTAAGAGCTTAAACCAGAAGCAGTCAAAGAACTAGCTTAATCCGAGTATTACTATCAAATACGTTCCTGACGATTTTACATATCTTGATAGATACTAATGATAGGTTCGATGCATTTCAACAGATATATGTGCTTGCAAGATGTTTGGTTCCATTGAAATCAGCACAAGAACAGCCTATCATGACATTATTCTCTACCTCTTCTGTGGTGAAGGAGGCAACACTGTAGCATCCTAGTGCTTCTAATGCCACCATTAATACTAAGACATTATTGTTAATATATTTCTCTTCTTCCTCTTCTTTTTTCTTCAGGTCCCATTCTGCCCACATCCAAGAACTGTTTTGTTGGTAGTCCTTTTGGATATAATCTCTGAAATTTCTCTGGATAGAAACTCTAGCGCCTCTCTTTCTGTAGCAATCTATTCTCAATCAACAGTTTGGTGCTTTTCAACAGAGAAAGATGTTGGAAATCTTCAAGCTGACCAAATTGCATGATTATGCTGCTTTAAGAACAATGTTTGGATTATCTTTCAAAGGAAGGTACCTTCAAAAGCCCAGGATATCTGGTTTTCTTGCAAGTCTCTAGTCTTGGCATTGATACCGTCTTTCGCAGTGTCAGCTCTTACTTGTTTTTCTCCAGATCTAAGCAGACATTGCTCTTTGTCCTTCTTGGTGACACATCTCTTGTGAACCCATTTGACACCAAACACTGCTTCAGAGTTTTTGATCTCTTCCTTGTAGTTCTCAATGACATGAATTACAATGGTTGTAGGTAAAGGTAAGTACTTCTTCATAATAATAATAATAACACTGTTGGATAAAATTGAAATGAAATGTTTATTTAGATGCACTTTTGTTAACTATTTTAGAAATGTACTAAATAAAAGTCACAAACTTGGTCGATGTTACTTAAAGTGGGTGATATAAGGAAGGCTTTACGTCACTCTATTGTGCTATCACTGTTGGTGCGGTGTCTTAACATCCAAAACTTTTAGCTGTGCGGGGAGCACAACAAGGGGTTGAATTTATAAGCTGTGTAGTATGTGGTGCTGTGTAGTCGGGTCTAATTTTCAAAGTCCAGTTGTTTATTTGCTCTCTTTTCTTCGACTGCACAATTTTTTTCTTTTTTGTGTGTGTGAGCTTACCCCCTTCTCTTCTCTTTTTTTTTCTTCAATAAAAACCCCCCACTCCAATAATAAAAAAAAGTATGTTGCGCGCCATTAACAAGACAAGCGTAGCACGTAGAGCACCAACCCTTCTTAAGACTGGAGGTAACATTCAACCTATTGAAACCCCCCCTTGTTAATTTACATTCGAAAATAGCTCGTGCTTTCACTGCATCAACCAATGTTAAAGAAGAAGTCGAAGTTTTTATCGATGGCAAGTCTGTCATGATTGAACAAGGTGCTGCCTTGATCCAAGCTTGTGAAAAGGCTGGTGCTGATGTACGTATTTTTATTCTGCGCATTTCGTAATGACATTGACTCATATTGTTTATTAGATTCCTCGTTTCTGTTATCATGGTATGAGATTGTGTCAATAGCGACTTATTAAAAAGAGAGAAAGAGAGAGAGCATAGAGAGAGAGAGGGGTTTCTAATGTGTGTGTGTGTGTGTGTGTGTGTGTGCGTGCGTGAATGGGCTCGATTAATGCGGAAATAACAACATTGGATGATGGAAAAAGATAGAACAAAATTAACCTTTTTATTACATAGATCGTCTTTCAGTTGCTGGTAACTGTCGTATGTGTCTCGTTGAAGTTGAACGTGCTCCTAAGCCCGTTGCTTCTTGTGCTTATCCTGTCATGCCTGGTATGAAGGTGAAGACCAACAGTCCTTTGGTACACAAGGCCCGTGAAGGTGTCATGGAATTCTTGCTTTATAACCATCCTCTGGACTGTCCCATTTGTGATCAAGGTGGTGAATGTGATCTCCAAGATCAAAGTATGCGTTACGGTGCTGATCGTGGACGTTTCTCTGAACCTATGGGTAAGCGTTCTGTTGAAGACAAGGACTTTGGTCCTCTTATCAACACTGAAATGACCCGTTGTATTCAATGTACTCGTTGTGTTCGTTTCGCTAACGAAGTTGCTGGTGCCACTGAGCTCGGTACCAGTGGTAGAGGTAATGACATGCAAATCACTACCTATATTGAAAAGACCATTGACTCTGAAATGTCTGGTAATGTCATTGATCTCTGTCCTGTGGGTGCCTTGACTTCTAAGCCTTACAACATGAAGGCCAGACCTTGGGAATTGAAGAAGTACGAAACCATTGATGTTTCTGATGCCATTGGTTCCAACATTCGTCTCGATACCCGTGGTGTTGAAGTAATGCGTATTGTCCCTCGTTTGAACGAAGAAGTCAATGAAGAATGGATCTCTGATAAGACCCGTTTCTTCTATGATGGTCTTAAGGTCCAACGTCTTACTACCCCTTTGATCCGTGACGGCGATCGTTTTGTTCCTGCCACTTGGGAAAAGGCCTTGAAGCGTGTCGGTCAAGAATTGAACAATGTTCAAGGTAACTCTGCCAAGGCTATTGCTGGTCACCTTGCTGATGCTGAATCCATGGTTGCCCTTAAGGATCTTCTTAACCGTGCTGGCTCTGACAACTTGACTATTGATGCTCCTAATGGCTCTAAGCCTCTTGCCCTTAATGCTGATTTACGTTCCAACTACACTTTGAACACGACCATTGCTGGTGCTGAAGAAGCTGATGTTGTTCTCTTGATCGGTACTAACCCTCGTCATGAAGCTCCTATCTTGAACACTCGTTTCCGTAAGGCTTTCCTTCACAACGGTCAAGACCTCGGTTTGATCGGTCAAGCTGATGACTTGAACTATGAATATGCTCACATTGGTGACAACTCCAAGGACATTGAAAAGATCTTGGATGGTTCTCATCCTTTCGCTAAGCGTCTCAGTGAAGCCAAGAAGCCCATGATTGTCGTTGGTTCTAGTGTGATTGAAAACTCAAAGGACAGTGAATACCTTCTTTCCAAGGTCTCTGAACTCTCTGATAAGTTCAAGAACACTTTGTTCCAAGATGGTTGGAACGGTGTCAACGTCTTACAACGTGCTGCCAGCAGAACTGCTGCTTACGAAGTTGGTTTTATCCCTACTTCATCTGAAGCTTCTTCTACACCCGTCAAGTTCATCTATCTCTTGAACGCTGATGAAATCACACCTGCTGACATTCCTAAGGATGCCTTTGTTGTCTACCAAGGTCACCACGGTGATGTTGGTGCTCAATATGCCGATGTTATTCTCCCTGGTTCTGCTTTCACAGAAAAGAATGCTACCTATGTCAACACCGAAGGTCGTACACAAATCACGCGTGCTGGTGTGAACCCTCCTGCTGCTGCTCGTGAAGATTGGAAGATCATCCGTGCTTTGTCTGAAGTTGCTGGCCATACTCTTCCTTATGACGATCTTCCCTCTATCCGTTCTAGACTTTCTGATATCAGTCCAGCTCTCACTCGTTACGATATCATTGAAACTCCCTCTATCTCTCAAATTGGTTTAGCTGCTCAACGCAAGCCCAATGCACAAAGCTCTGGTGAAATCATGACTTCTGTCATCAAGAACTTTTACCGTACTGACCCTATCTCTCGTGCCTCTAGTACTATGGCCAAGTGTACTAAGGCTTGGGTTGCCGGTAAAGATGTCGAGTCTGAGCTCAAGGCTGCCACTGCTTAATTCCAATTTTTTTTTCTCTTTGATAAAATCATCTTTAAAGATAAAAAGCTCTTTAAAAGAGAGATTGTAAACAATAATTACCATGATATTAGAAACACCGGAATAAAAAAAAGGAATAAAAAAGAAAATAAATAGTAATATAAAACTTGTTGGCGTTTCCTTAATACACTATTCTTTTAAGCGAATGATTTTTTTCTGTCGATCCATTTGTCAAAACGAAAGGGGAAGTTGTGAAGTGACAATGCAAGTGCTAAGGTGACTCAAAGAGGCTAAAAAGAAGGTAAACAAACACTTCAAAATTTTCTGGTTCTATGTAAAACAACCTAGAACTTTATGGTAAATAAATATAACTTTTTTAAGAGTGATGTTACATTTTTTAAAAAAAAAAACAAACACTATATCGCAATTCTTCCTTTAAGCGATTGACATTTTCTGGAGAACACTGTGACTAGTATATCTTTGAGTGGGTTTTTTCGTCTGTTTAACATCACTTGGTCTCTAGCTTCTTCAGGACTCTTTTTGTTTGAAAAAAAGAAAATGGATGGTATTAGCTATTTTGAATTTAGTTTCTCGTGGGTTCATTTCAAATCCACATGAAGCCTTGATTGATCGATGAAAGCGCAATCAATATCCGAGTTGTATTCTTCAACTTGCCCAAGCAAGGTTGAAAAATATGATAAGGGATAGATTTTTTTTTTTTTTGTCAGTTCATAAATTAACCTTTGTGACATACTTTCGTACTTTTGCTTGCTTTTACTCGGCCATCTTCAACTTGGATTGAAGAGTCTGGATCGTTTACTATCTTTGGTTTATTCTTTAGACTCAAAGCATCTTTCTTTTCATATATGTCAAATGAACAAGATTTCATAAAACTCTACTGATTGATTTTTTCTATCTATAGCTACTCCATGACTGACGTAAGAGTGAATGTCTTTAAGTTTGAAGGGATCTACATCCTTAATATTCATATGCTCATCGATCAAGTAAAAAGAGAAATGTTAACCTATTTCGTGAATACAACACTTGCTTACAGAAAAGCATGAAAACCTTATTTTCATAAATGCAACTTCATTAAATGTGTATCCAAAGGAGTTTATAGCAATGACATCACTTGAGCTGATACCACCTCATCGCTACGGCCAAATTGCTTTGAGCTATGTTTTACAGCTCTAATTTTGGTGCGCTTATATACAAAAAAAGAAGTGAAGCACCATACATCTTTCTTTTGTTTGGAGTGCTAATCCATAAAAGTATATATTGCTATGTTGATACCAATCGCCATGCTGCCACTGCGATGTATTTTGACAATCTAAAAATAAGATGCTTTGTACGGAAGTCTCCGTTTATACTGGAGAAAGAGGCGATTTCCTAAAATGTCGCAGAAAGCAGGTGCGCAAATGAACCAAAAAAAAAATTATTTTGTTCTTTTCTATTTGTCAAATCTTTCGAGAAAGATACAAGATGTTCTTCAGCGAACATTTAGAATACAAGAGAACTAAAAACAGGTTTTTTTTAATACTTCTATTTTACTTTTATTCCAAATAAAGGAAGAGACGGAATAAAGAGTCTTCTGTGATTGACTTGTTCAAATGTTCTATTTCTTATAAACTCTGTGAATATAACCAGTAATATAATCACACCGAGTCTTTGGTTAAGTAAATCATACAGGGGAATTTTGTGTCATTAATTCTTATTTTCTTCCCCCGCTACCCCTTCCTCTCTTTTCTTTTCTGGAGCATGAACTTTTGTTGCGCACACGCAATTTTGGGGTCCCTTCATTTGGAAAGGAAAATCTTCTCCTCTTTTCTTTTCTTTTTCTATTCAACTCCTAACTTTCGTTCATCGAGAGAAATCAGATCAAATGAAAATGGCTATCTTTTGCTATAACATTCCATAATGTTCTAATTATTGCCTTTTCCATACTGACTCATTTAAAACAATCATGCCTGATCTTGTGATAAAATGAAACCATTTGACTATACATTTAAAAAGTAACATATGCTTAGAAGCTTTTTCTCCTTCTCATCTTTCTCAACTCCCCGCATAACAACTTCTTTACGGCCTCTCCTCCAAAAAGAAAGATATAAAGTTTATAGATCGAGGTTATTTTACTTAAGCTTTTTTTATGTTTATAAAATAAAGAGAAATGCAACCAATGAATTAGTTCTCCCTTCCCCCATATTTCCCCTTCTCGCATGAATCTTTGTGCAGCCAATCAATTACAAACTCCTGGCAGTAAAGTTAAAAAAGAGACATCATGAAAATAAAATAAATAAATAAAAAAAAGGAGGAACAACTACACAAGACAGAAAATTTGATAAAAAAAGGCAATTCATCTCTGATGTTTGTAGGACAAATTATTTATATATTGAGATGCCTTCTCTTTAAACCGTTGTCTTCTTTAGTTTTTTTTTTGCGTATATAAAGGGCTTTTTATTTTTAAATATTTTTATTTTTATTTCTTAATTATCAATCAATTTCCTTTTACAAAATGTATCAAGACTTTTCTTATTTAGAGCCAGTTCATAACATGCCTCTTACAAAAGAATCTGATTTCACTTACTTTGATCATTCGTTTAACCCATTATACCAACAACAGCAAGATAATTTACTACTGGCAAGTAGTTTTTATCCTGCAGAAACCGTCTTTCATGACTACTCTGGACAATTCATGGACAAAAACGTGGTCTCGTCTTCTTGTTACTTTTCTTCCCCGTCAGTCACGTATGAATCCTCTTGTTCTTCATCACCTTCTCTTGATTTTTATCCTATTTTGTCAATCACTTCGTCCGAAACTACACCATTACTTACTAATGCGTTAGTACTACCACCATCGCAATCACCTGAACCATGCAACAACCGATCAGTCAAACAAAAAAAGTCCTGCAAACGATTGAACGATTTAGATCATAAGCCTTTTGTTTGTCATTTGTGCTCTCGATGCTTTGCAAGAAAGCATGATCTTCAACGACACATTAGAGTTCACACAGGAGCCAAACCATACTCTTGTTTAAGTTGCTCAAAAGCATTTGCCAGAACAGATGCATTGAAACGTCACCTACGTATGGAAGATTCTTGTCGATTGAGTCCGGTCATTCAAGCCTTGAAGAACTCTGGAAGTAGACGTTATCGTAATCTTTAGTTGTTTTACTCTATATCACCCTTTCCATTCATTCGTTACTCTTTCTCCCTCCCCCTTTTTTTATTCTCTCACTCTTTCTCTCTTAAAACCATGCTTTTTTTTGATAGTTGTACAAAAAAAGCTTATTATTATGATTTTCTTCTCCCCCACAAACCCCCCAAAAGATTTAGAATTTATATATATATATATGGACAGTTGTGATAACATGCTACGTTTTTTTTTTCTATTTTATTTTTTATATATATTTTTTTGTATAATATCAAGCAAATACGATAACCTGATTTTGATCAATGTGATATATACATATATAAAAAAGAGCTATATATGAATCAATTCTATGTCAATTGAGCTATAAGGCTCAGGCTGAAATGTTCGGATTTTCCCCTTTGTAGCTAGCTCTATTTTAATATGATGTTAGGGGTAAACATAAACAAACAAAAGGTATATTACAAAAAAGCTTAAACTACATACCAAGAACATGCGAAAATATTCTGGCTATTTCAGATCGAGTTTTGTATTGAAGTAAATAATCCAGCTGTATCCTTTGTTGGGCGCCCAATGATTTTAACTCGCTATTAGAGCATTTAAATAAAAAAAAATAAGATTTTGATAAGTTTGTCTTACTCGAGAAATTGATTGGTTTGTTCTTCTGTTTCCTCTAGATTCAGTTGATGACCATCTAAACAGAGAATGAGTGATGGCACCATTCCATTTTTGCCTTCTTACCAAAATCAAGAAATCCGTAATCGATATCCATATTGTCACCGTACGATATCTGTTGATCGTCAAATTGCCAACCCACTTGATGATGCTCCTGTCTAGAGAGAACACAAAATGAGTTACCCCTACAAAGATGCTCTTAGAATATAAAAAAAATGCACTTACAATAAGTTCATGCTGGCTTCTTCACCAAGGTCTAAATTGATGTTGTGCAGTTCAGGAGTATGTACATCTATCAATCTATAAGCCACAAAGACACAAGTGTAGCCTACTTACCTGATGTGGACCGAACAGAGACGCCAGTGCTCTGATAAGCACCTATAAAAGAAGCAGAAGGAGATTGTGACCAACTATTCAGACCATCACGTCGTCTGTCAAATCGCCTTGATTTCTCCACCGTGCGGCCAAATTCCTGAAAAAGAAGGGTAAGTGTCTGTTCTCTTTTGAATGGATAAATATAGTTACTATCGGGTCCCTGTCATAGACTCGGTTGGAATTAAGAAGTGCTCCAACTTGTCTTGCCATGCCTACTCCTTTTTCAACTGTGATCATGGATGGATATCGAATCCAGTGTCGAACATCCTTTTTTCGTTGAGGTACTCCGCTTGTCACGATACGGTCTGTGGCTTGGTATTCATCAAATGACAGGACGGTATCTTGTGCTCGACTCAACATCATGCGCTTAACCGCTCTAGGACGATGCAAAGTAGGTGGAATAGGGGACACGAACATTCTGTCAGGATGGTCTTCAGGGACCAAAGAGGCATAAAGTTCTGTGTTCATAGAAGCAATGCTCTCCTCGTCTTCTTCTCGAATAAGAGGTGGGGGACTACTCACACTTGGATTACGATTTCGTCCACTGGTTGCAGGAGAATGACTCGAATGATGAGGAGATAGTGTCGCCTATAAAAAGGTGTATTAAATCCCTTCTTTTAGAGATAAATGCATTCCTATATACCTTGTTTAAAGGAGAGTGCGCAGTTACACTCTTTGTTAACAGAGGATCCCTGGAGGCATGAGGAAGGTCGAAAATAGTATCGTATGCTTCTGTGCTAAGGCGAAATCCTTGTTTATTGTTTTCATTGTTCTCTTCAAGGGCTTCAGTGAAATCTTGGCCCTCATCATGACTAAAATAAAACAAATAAGCTTCTATTGATAATTACTTGTAAATTACTTGCATTGGGTCATGATCATCCATATCGAAACCAAAGTCAACCATCTCGTCTCGTAGGTTTATCATCGCTTGTAATGGAAACATGACTGGTTGTTCTATAGTTGAATCCCTTAACATTTGAAACAATCCTGAATTTGACTCGTCAATATGCATAGAAGAAAGTCTAAGCAAAGGTGAGAGGTCCGTTTCGAATTGATGTAGATTATGATCTTGTTGGCTTGAATAAGCATTATGACCATCAAACTGGGTTTTTATCATTAGTCTCAATATGTTGAACGCAAGTAGCATACCAAATCTGAAAAAGAAGGAGCATTTATACTGCTCTTAAACACCAGTAGATCATCACGCTCTTCTAATAAAGTAATGGCACTTTCACTATATGGCATGAGTAAGGGAACTGGTGCAATATAAAAAAAAGATACCTTGCAAAAAGCTTTTCTAGATTAATATCTGGTTTGACTTCAGGACGAGTTAAGCCAGTTTTGAGTTTCTTGCATAATTGAACTGTGTCCTCTAGATGCTTATGAGCAATACGATTACAACATGCCCTTTACCATATAGAATATTAGACTGCTGTCTCATGATAGTGGATGCGCCATACAATAAACATGCTTTTGCGCCAAGTGAGATGATGCATTGTTCATTGCTCACTAGTTGACTATCCATAAAATCAATCGCTTAGTCTACATTAGACTATTTACCATAATTTAGGCACATTGAAGGACACAATGATGTTCTTTTTAAGCATTCTTTTTCCTCTCCCATGAACACCTAATGTTCCTGCATTCCTTTATATTTTGTTAAATCCATATTGTTTTATTATGACAACTTGCCATGCAATCTTTAATGAATTGTCTTGATCTTGATTTAAAAAGTTCATAAGCAAAAGAAAAGAAAAGAAAATGACTAGAGTTGTATCAAATAATTGTCCGGTTTTCTGTTGGATGTGGTTGATAAATTGGACAGCAATTGTTCTTTTTGTTTCTTGAGTTCTGCAATCTATAAAGAAATACTTAATGCCTCCCATACAACTATAGAACCATTACCTGTCTATCCAATTCAATTGCTTTTAAATCAAGCGTATGTGTAGCAGGCACAATCATGTTGTCTATCAAACTTGTTACAAGTTGACCATAGACACCAGCATTATACATCTGAGTCATTGTATGTGGTAGACTGGTTGTGTCTACATGTTTAGAAGACCTTAGATCGTATTGAATACGGTCATTGGAAGTAGAATACTCTTTCTTGTATTCTTCATAAATATGTTCTGGTAAGCGTAAATACAGTTCTGGGACATCATTAGTGGAAGGTTGGATCAAGATAGGCACATTGACCTTTTTGGGTGTATTGGTCTCCTGGTCTAATTGTGATTGAAAGCAAGTGATTTGTATCTTTTCAGTCTATTGAACCTATAAGTCTTATTGTTTGTAGCAACGCTTTTTTTTTTTTGTTACATTATCATGATGGGTATCAAAACAAGATACAATGACCCCAAAAAAGCGTTCATCCATTAACTGCTGAGATAGCTGTGTTCTTACATCCACATGGGAAGGGAATACAGTGATATGAGGATGACTATGATACTGTAGGTGTGGTTTAAGAAAGACATATAGTTATAAGAAGCTTACCCAACCAATCACCATCATAGGAAAGTTGCTCTTTTTACTAAATTCCTAGATTTGCATTAATGCTCTGATTGATAGCGAGTAGGATAAGATTACTTCTGCTTCTAGGGCAGCCAAGTGTAAACTCTCGGGTGCAATTTCAACACGATCTTTTCGCTTGTCTGACCGAGTCAGGAATGAGATATGCTTTACTTTACCAACGGTCTTTTCACTTAAATAGGGGTTGCTACTAGGTACTGTCTATAAGACAAATGAGATGAAGTTCGTTGTAGATCATCAAACTACCTCCCAGTGCCCAATCAGCATACCAATGATCTCTTCCTAGTAAAAAAAAGAAAAGAAAAAAGAAACAAAATAAATAACGACTTTGTATGTTTATAGTGTACATTTTCAGTTGAATAAGCATGAGACAATATTAAATGAAAAATATGCGCAGGAATAATGACTTGGTTTAGCATACAAGAGAGAAAAAGAGAGAAAAAAGGGTTTGATTGGTTCACTATGTCATTTACATACAGCAAATGACTGTTTATTACTTATGAGGACGATTAAATGCAAATTATTCTAATGAGATAATATAAAGAAGGTATCAACGCTTGCTATTCTTGCTTTGCCTGAGTCTTTCTTTAGCCAAGGGATGATCGGCTGGTGTAAGTAATTCAAAACTACATAGTAACTCTTCATTCACACTCATGATAGCACCAAAATTATCAAATTCACCACAATAGTTAGGAGCAGAGAACACAGTGACAAGGGATCGATTCGAAAAGAACTCATAACCATCCTCAACCACCTAATAATTCAGTCAGATAGATAATAATCGGAATAAGGTTTACCATATGTGCTCGACAAACAAGGTCTAAATCATACTTGGATAAGAATTCATTAATAATCTTCTTGCCAAAGACATAAGAGACGCCTCTCTCATTGTCTTCCCAATCCCCTTCTATATCAGCTGGGTCAGACCATAAGAGATCATTCAATAAACCATAATCAGGCACGTCTGTCGGTCTCTGAATGTTTCGAATATCATCCATACTATGCAAAGAAGGTGATAGACCACCATGAACACAAAAGATTTTACCTGCTACAAGAGCAGCAATAGGCAATGTATTAAAGACGTCTACAAATGTTCTCCACATTTTAGGGCTCAATCGACGCTTGCATTCATCATAGAATCCATAGACTAAATAATCCCAATTAATTTAGAACACGCTATAGAAATCCAAAATTGTACCTTTTGTCACATTGGCGCACTCGTGGTTTCCTCGTAAAAGGAAGAAATTTTCGGGGTACTTGATCTTGTAACAAAAGAGCAAGAGGATATTCTCCAAGCTTTGTTTGCCTCTGTCAACATAATCACCCAAGAACAGATAGTTGCTGGTAGGAGGAAACCCTCCCATTTCAAATAAGCGAATCAAATCAGTGTATTGACCATGCGTATCACCTACAACCTTGACAGGTGGAGAGAGTTCTAATAAAGACTATGATTATGTTAGTCTCTGTTCTTTCTAAAAAAAGACAAAAGAAAAACGAGCAATTGTGTTATCATTTACATTACAGGTTGACTTAGGAAAATATCCATGGCAGCACGACAAATGGCTGTTACTTCAGAGTTCTTGAGACAGAGTTGTTTAGACACTTTGGATGCATAACCCGCTTCTAACAAACGATGGATATACTCGTCAATGTTTGTAGTAGAAGAGTAGTCACTCGCCATTGAATTCACAGTGAGTTGATTAAGTGAGCCTACAGTAAGTTGATTATAATCCTCATTTTCTCTTTGGGGCTGAGCTTGTTGTTGTTGTTGTTGAGGGGGCCAGAAATCAGAAGCCGCCAAGAGTTTGTGTTGATGAAGGTTTTCTACTTTGCCCTGGAAAGGATCATTTCCCCGGGGAATGGTATCTTCATTGTTATTATTGTTATTAGAAAGTGGGTAATCGGGATTAAGTTGAGCAAGGGTATTATTGGTTGTGTTGTTTTTTTTAGAAGTAAGCAAAATAGAATTGACAGAGTGAGCAGTGTTGGTCGAATGTTCATTTTCAGCAACTTCAATACGAGGAGGCAAAGGCATACTTTTGGTCTTATTCGACCTATCTTTCTTTAAGTTTCGTTTGGTCGAAACATTGTTTCCCATTTTATATACACAGAAAAACAGGAGAGAAAGAAAGAAAGAGAAAAAGAAAAAAATTAAGATTTTATTATACACTCAGAATTAGTTTCTTGTTTAGGCAAGTCTTTATTTGTGGCACTCACTGAATGGAATGTTCAGTTTTTCTCGGTTTTGACAGAATAACAGTAGCTTATGTGATGCAATATTGACATCTCTCTCTCGCTCTCTCTAATTTTAGTATTCAATCTATTTTGAGTGGGTTTATAAATCAGAGAAAAATAGGAGGTCTATTTATGAGGAGATATAAGTAAATAAAGGCACATTATCTTCGTCATCGTCTGGAACAGTTTGGTGACTTGGTATAACAGGCAAATTGAATTGTACAGTAGGATTAGGCTTTGGTTTCTTGAAACGAATCTTATTTTTCTTTTGATGCGTGTCTGGTATAGGAGGTGATTCTGTTTCTACACGCTGTTCCTGATAATCTGTTGTCTGTTGAATAGAAAGGTACCAAAACATTAAATTAGATATCAAGACTTGTTGACGTAATGGCCTTCGAGGATCTGCCAATTTCATGTGTGACAGACGATAAATAGCTCGTTCCACATGCAATGGTAAGCGAGATGGGTTAAAAAAAGTGTGTTCTGCTAGTGGTGGAGGCAGTAGGGCTAATTTACTAGACCTCTTTTTGGGTGTATTATTGATATTCTTTAGTGAAAGTGAGCGTGTAAAAAGGGATGCCAATCCAGACAAGGGATTTTCTGCTTTCTTTGTCTTTTTGTCTGCAAATAATCCCCCAAACCAAGAGGTGCGTTTCTCTGGTTTAATGACTGATTCTGAACGAATGATAGCAGGTCGCTTAGGTGGTGGCTCTTCTTTTTCCTGCTGCTGTTGCTGTGAGAGAAGTTGTGACTCCGCATCATGCACACGTGAAAGAATACCCCTTTGAGAATCCTTTGACTCAAGACTTGCACTGCCTAAATCTATCCATTCACTCATATTGACAGGCTGATCAAACAGACTGATACCAACCGATTTATCCCATGAAGTATTTGTCTTGTTGGATTTGATTGAAGTTTTGTCTTCATGACTAGGACTTCTTTGCGATAATGAACGTCTTTGCAGATCTGACCTGCTCTTTCGATTACGACCCCGTGCAGAAAACGCAGATCGTCGAAGTAATGATTTGTCTGTTCTGGGTGCAATAATACGAGAGTCGTCTGTAGATACTGAATTCCTATCAAATACTTGACTGTCTAGATAGAATGATTAACAAATTAAACTTGAAGTGGCTATACCTTTCAATTGACCATCTTCCATCACTTTCTCTAGGAATATTCTCTTTTTTTCGGATAAAGAGAGCGTCTCTTCTTGTTCTTCTTCGTCTTGTTCAACAGATTGAGATAAAATTGAATTTCTACGGTGTAGACTTAACGATCTTTTTGTAGGCATGTTGGCACCATGTGTCTTTATGAAATTAGCAAATTCGTTGGGTGCAATTTGAGGATGTTTGTCAGCAGGAACCCTATGATTAAAGAAAGCATTAAACTATATATATCATTTAATTATGTTCTTTGTTTTGTTTTCTTGTCTACTTACCATATCACATCCTCTACTGGTATTATATGGTCTTCTTTAGCTAAGGAAGGTAATGTTGACATCTCTTGTTCAGTGTCTAATAAGTTAGAGAGCATTAGAGCAGCATATAAGTCATTATCTGAAAGTTTGTTTGAGTCGACCATAAAGTGAAAGTGTAGAAGAATGAAAAAAAAGGGGGAGGAAGCAGGGTGTCCGAGAGTTATTTTTTTTTTATTGTCTCTCTATCACAATAGTCACTATTTTTTTTTTCTGAACCAGTAGTACACAATAATCTCCTCTTGAATTTTTTCTCCTACTAAAGAAAGCATTTGCTCCTCTTTCTTTCTCCTCTCTCTCTCTCTTTCTTTCTCCTCTCTCTCTCTCTTTCTTTCTCCTCTCTCTCTCTCTCTCTCTCTCTCTCTCTCTTTTTAAGAATTGCGCTTTTTTTCTTCCTCATATCGTATTACTTTTTAAGACATGTTTGAATAAAATTTTTGTATAAGCTTGCTTACTGACAAAAAAAAAAAGTGTCGCTATGATTATCACCTGAAGCAAAATATAGCTATGGTTTTCTATAAGAAGATATCTTAGTATACGTCAAGGCTGAATATATCTACATAGTAATTGAGCATGTCTCAAATACTACCTGAATACTCTCTTGTTCAATGAACCAACGAATCCTTAGCACTCTATGATTTTATTGAGCCGTGGCACAGAATATCGGAGATACAACAATGCCTTTCACCTAGCTGCATGAATTTTAAAGCAAAGTAACTTGAACTTATCCAGACAGAAAAAGTGTTGGTTTCAATAGTCAGCCTACAGTATTTCAATAGATCACTCTGACCAAAAAAGAATTCATCTCACTGTAAGAAAAACCAAAACTATATCTATTCTTGAATAGTTCTTTCGTTTGGCCTTGTAATATTCAATTCTAAAGAAACCTATGACCAAGAACCAATGATAATTTGCTATGAGCAAAAATAAGTATAAATTCGTTTTGAAATAGACAGTGCATCTCATATCATGTTATGAGGATGATCTGATATCTGACTTTGAATCATACATTTTATCTCCCCCCTACCTCCAAGCCCATTCTCTCTCAAATTGATATATAAAAAAAACTCTCCGTGCATTCACTCATGGATCCAGAAAATAAAGAAGAGACGCGTTACATCATGTCTACTTCTTCACACTGCTCCTTAGAATCGAGTAATTCTGAAGCACTTTTAACTGCTCATCCCGAGCCAGTCAAGGATGAAGAAGGCACTACTTTTTTCTTGCTAGACGTCAATGACGAACCACAAGAAACCACCAAATCAAAGCGCCATCGACACAAACGAAAAGATAGTGACGGCAAAAGCATATCGAGCCAATCGTCTAAAAGCAGTACAGATTCATCCAGCTCAAGTGTATCAGCACAAGTTGTGATTGATCATGGCAGCTCCATGCCTCGTCGCATGGAGAAAAATGGGGTTGCACACTTGTTAAGATCAGGAGACGATGAGTCAGAAAGTGATTATGCATTTTGCTATACGCCTGTTCGACGTGAATCAGATACTGAGTCTATCTCTACCCAACAACAACAACAGCGACGAAAGTTGTTTTCGTTACACGCAGATCAGGGCTCATCACTGATGATTCCCTCACCCAACATTCACCCTGAAAGCGACTTATCTACACCTGAAAATGATGCTGATGAGGAAGGGGAAAATGAGCAAACGAGCATGCACCTGAACAGTGTGAATCCGACCGATAACCTTGATTCAACCAAAAATACACCCAATCGTCATAACATAGCCAAAAGACGCAGACACCATCATCGTAGACACCACAGAAGACCATTAGATGGCAAGAAAGACATGCTCACTGACAGTAAAGCAATGGTCACAGTATATACAGAGGAAGATGATGATTTAGTAGATGAAATGCCAAGAGGAGATCGCGAACGTATGCTTAGACACAATGAGAGAAGTTACCGTGGCTATAGAAGAAGGTCTGTACCTCGCAGATTGCATAAGCGAACACAGCGTGTATTACAGACAAATCTACAGTCACATTCATGGAGTAGAAGAGAAAGTCTGCAGTCAAACAGACATCCAGGATTATCCAGTGAAGAAGCCTTAAGGTAGAGAATACCATATGTGTGTGTCATTGAGTATTGATTTCATTGGTCTATAGTAAACTGTTGTATTTAGCAAACAGCATTATTGATGAAGAAAGGGCTCGCGTTGATAAGAACATTGGTAATAGAGAGCATAGTCTAATCGTTTATTAACACTCTTCAAAAGATATTCGTCATGTATTGTTCAATCCTGCTATGTTCTTGACTGCATTTATTGGACTCAGTTTGTTGGTATTCTATATCGTTGGTTATTTGAAGAGTGAGCCATACCAATATCGCATTACCGGACTATTAGTAGAAGCTATCTTACTGCTTGTTATTTCAGCCTGGAATGTCTATGTGTTCTATAGAGAACAGATTTTGACATGCAGAGAAATGACAGACAGGGCATCCACTATCATTGGTGCTTTGGAAAGAAGTGGCATGAATATGGTTCAAGACACAAAAATCCCTTTTATACCCTCCATGTCTGTAGCTAAAGTAGTTCGTGATGGTGTTGTACGTATTTTTCCAGTGAATTTGCTGGTAGGAGGTGATATTGTTGAAATGTTATATGGTGATATTGCTCCTGGACGTATGAAATACATGCACAAGACAATTCATTCAGATGAAGATGACTCAGTCAAGAGGCAAGAAGATAGCAGTGATAGTAGCTCAAGTAACAGTGAACCACCTTTAAATACAAAAGAGTACTACATTGCTAAAGATCAAGCCTTTAAGCCTTCTTTCTTTGGCATACCACCACCCTCTGGGCTTATGGAAGAATACATGCGATCTCGTGGCCGACATCAGTTTATTTTGTTAGAATCCCCCTTAGAAAAGAATATGAGACGAGCATTGAACCAAAAGAGACCCAATACTGTAATTCAAAATGAGGCATTAGTGATCAACCGTATACTGTATCGTTATATTATCTGGATTGTGCTGGGTGTATCTTTCTTGATTAATTTCCTGCGCTTTGGTCTTCATAGCACACTTATTCATCATTTTCCTGTTGATCAACTAGTGGAAGAAGTGTTCACCATGTCACTTTATGCTATTATTCCTCTTTTGCCTTTAAGCATACCAACCATGTGGATTATTGCTCGTAGCTTTGGTAATGCTCAGCTACTTATCTTGTTTGAAGCACTTCAGATATCCAAAACAGAATATGAAGATGATGATGAAGTAGACGAATTTGATGCAGAAGCACCACCACCTACAAAAGATTTGGAGTTAAGTCCAAGTAAGCACCTTTGTAAGATAGCACGAATGAATAATTACTTGAATAGACGCTGTTTGGGACAGGTTCTTGTCTTTGCTAACAAAATGGGATCGACTATCACTTACAAGGTCAACTAATCTATTGGAATCACTTGGAAGTACTACAGTCATTTGCTGTTTAGATAGAGAAGGCACCATTGCCAACGTATGTTAAAAACAAACATTGATCTTGTGCTAATGGTTTTGAATAGCCTTTTCCCACTGTAGAGCAGCTTATGTTTCCTAACAATGAAGAAGACATTACTTTTCTGGATGTTGAAGAGGATTCTGATCAAGAAACAGGCCTCAAATTTGAGGATCAGGATTGGGAACAGTATTTACCGTATGTTGATATAGACATTCAGATATATGGTTTTGACTCTTCTGTGTATAGATGTTTAAAGCCTTTAGGGCTGAACTTTATGCTGAATACAAACTGTGGTGTTGTCCAAAGCCGTAAAAGATCAGAATATCATAGAAGACGTTCCAAGTTGCATGTGTACGGTAAAACCGCTCCTGCTAGACAGTGTAATGTATAGTTTTTTATATGAGTATATTGACTAGATGAACTCATTTGATTGTATAGCTTGTCTTTGTAAGTTAGGAAAGTGCATTGGTTTTAGAGAAGAAGCTCTTCAATCATTCGCTTTAAGAGCTGAAATATATACATTTGCACCTTACCATGAAATCTTGAACACGCCTCGCTTCAAGTACAGCAAATACTATCAATTTGAAGTGCCCAATGCACTCTCTACTGTTTTTGAAGAAAGAGCCTCAAGAAGCTATCAACTTTTAACAGATGGACACCCTTCGCTTGTCCTTGACAAGTGTTCTGATTACTGGGATGGTAACTCACTTCAGACCATGAGTGAAACAGTATGTAGCAACTATTTCTCTATAAAAGAAAGCAATGCTCACTATTCTATAGATGGAAAAGAAAATCAATGATTTCTTTCAGAATGCAATTGTCCATGATATGCAATGCATTGCTTATGCATATCGTCCAATCAACACAGTCAATGATGACCGTATTCCCTTCCTAAATCCTTCTGATGATGAAGATGAAGACCCCGGCTGTGCCTTTGTTGTCTTACCTTATAAACCACCTAGTTCAGATAGTAGTTCGTCTGAAAGCAGTAGCGAATCTTCTTCAGAATCTCCTTCTTTACCTTCTGTTCGAAAAGAGAAAAAAAAATGGACACACGACAAGCACACATCATCCAGTAACAGCAACGACAGCAGCAATAGTTCTTCTTCTTCAGAAACTGGTTCAAGTGACTATTCATTTGAAGAAGATGATCCTGTGGACGAACAAGAAGAAGCTACTTTTTATAAAGAAGTTGTTAAAGGACAAATCTTTCTTGGTATGACAGCTATGTGTCATCAACCAAAACAGGTATATGTGTCTCTTTGTAAGCAATACCATGCATTAACTCTATTTCTTTTTGTAGAATGTAGTTGATTTCATTGAAGATTTGGGACTTGCTGGTATACGTTTTGTTTATTTTTCACCTACAGCTGAAAGAGAATCCAAAGGTAAAATCAATTTAATGCGCTTGATTCGATTCATATGTATCCAATATAGCTTTTGCAGAGCGTCTTGGACTAGAAACAGACTGGAACAGCTGCATCTTGTTATCTAACCCTGATGACGAGAATAATGGAAACGGATACCTTCAAACGCATGACATCAAAGCGCAACTTCCTCGAGGTATTGATGAAATTCGTCCTCATTTAGAAGATGTGGATGATATTCCTCTCCATGTCTCCTTGTTTGCAGAATGTACTCCTCGCGCCATTAAAGAAATGATTCGCATCTTTCAGGAAAATGGTGAAGTTGTCTGTAGTATTGGAAATGCTCTGAATACAAAGAATACAGAATCTTTTGCACTGGTAAGCTTATTTTGATCTATCATTAATTACTCACTTCTTTCATAAAGTCTGATGTAGGCATTGCTATGGAACCTATGCATACACGGGCTCAAAGCAAAGGTAGGCTATCGACGAATGATCGTCAGCCTCCTTTGGCAGTGGGAGCATCTTTATGTAGTTTACCATGTGGACTGTTTATGCAATACGAAACCAGTCTTTATGCTGTAACACAGTTGATTCGTGATGCCCGACGATTGCTTACCTGTGTCCGTATGGCATTTGCGTTTTATGCAGCAAGTTGCATGTCAGTATCTTTTATTTTTATTATCAGCTTCTGTTTGCTTTTACCGCCCATTCTTTCTGGATATCAAGTTTTATGGTTGTTATGTATTATTTTGCCTATTTTATCAATGTCGATGCTTTTTACGCCACATGAAGACGGCATTATGTTGTTGATGCCAGGTAAACTAAATGCGGAAAAAGAAAACTAATACTGATCTTTATCCAGGAAAAAACATTGAACATCTCACTGATTTTTGGAGATTCATGACTTACTTTGTTCTTCGATTCATTCTTCTTATTGCTATGTGCATAGCTATTTATACCATGTAATGTAGATGCGATACATGTATATTTTTTAGACTGATTTATTTTAGGACACTAATTTATTCTTTGGGAATCAATATTTCTGATGCTTTTGGAAACTTTGGGACTAATGGATGGTATCATTGGACTT